AGCCGGCCCCGCCGCGGCGAGCCCGGTCGCGAGTGCACCCCCCCCGCGCGCGCGTTACGCGCGCGTTACGCGCGCGCGCCGCGCGCATGTAACGCGCGCGCCTTATTTCGCGCGTAACGCGCGCGCGCGTAACGCGTTATAAGGCGCGCGCGTAACGCGCGCGCGCGCGTAACCCGCGCGCGTAACGCGCGCGCGCGCGGTACAGTTTTTACACTTTAAAAAGATGGAAAAGTATAGCTTAATAATATATTAATATATCGCTCATTAAACTTAGATCGGAGTCGGTGTCGTTATTCCACCTCGTATTACGTTTACAGCATCACGATCCCTGTTTCCTAGATCAATTGCTTCTAATACATAGATACTCGTGATTACAACATCTATGCCGTTACAACACCTTACCCGTGCCAGTCACACAGTCTCACTCATTCATTCATTCACTCACTCACTCTTGAGCCACAATTACTTCTAAAATTCGGCGCCGACGGTTCTTCCAAGCGTGTGCTTACACAACTCGAGGTCTCACGGAACGCCAGATTCGGAAAGAAGCAAGCGACCTTGTGCCACATCTTCAAACAGCAACTGGATGAACTCTTGAAAACATTATCTTCGGCAGAACCGCACTTCATTCGCTGCATTAAGCCGAATCTGGAGAAAAAAGCGGATAAGTACGACCGCAAGTTCGTGTGCGAGCAGCTGCGTTACCAAGGCGTCCTTGCCGTCGTAGAGGCACAAAGAGCTGGCTATCCGATTCGCCTGTGTCACGCTGATTTCTGGAACCAGATCACTATGAAAGAAAAAAGTGCACTCACACTCAAAAAAGTGGCTATTTTCCTATTTAAATCCTAGCCAATTTCTTGAGTGTGAGTGCACTTTTTCGTTTCATAATCACTTGCCTAGTCTCACTAGACCTGAGGAAGCAGATCAAGGTGACGCTAAAGCAAACGGTGAGGGACCAGAACCAACTGAGCCAGGCTCTGTTGCAGTATATCGGGGAACATTACGAATTCGTCGAGCAATTGCTGAACACGCCTCCGTCAGTCGTGTGTCCTTTCGCTGTGGGCAAGAGTTTATTAAGGCTGACGACCCTGAAGATAGTCATAGTCACCATCCTCTTTCTCTACAGGATGGTCGATCCTCTTTCTCTACTTAGGGTTAGGCATCTTTATTACATAATTAGAAACGCAATGACTTGAGGTGTGTGTTTTTATGATTCAACCTTATGGTCTTAGGACTAGTGTTGGTACCGTAAGGAAAGCATCTGAATGGCAACAACGTAAGACGCTGCTAACTTAGATGCAAAGCTATAATCTTTAACATGGGCGCACTCGGTCAGTCATTCGTATATCAACTCTTCTCCCATTAGATAGTACTTCGGAGAAAAAGCAAAAGAGCAGCTCGCTCTAAGGTGAATCCTGACATAGACATATAAATATATAAAAAATAGCATTCAATAGTATTAGTACAACCCGGGAGTTGTCGGAGTTGGTCGTGAGCTGCTGCGATGGACTACTTGGGTGAGCTCTAAGCCTAGTCTTTTTGAAACAAAATCTCTACGAGCAGATCCGACAGTTGGCCTTTCAAGTGCAAGATCGAGGCCAGAAAACCATCGTTGCTTATAGGAGGATGCGGGCGCAGCGCGATAAGTATCTGCAAAATCGAAAGCGGTTGGTTAAACTCCAAGCTTTTTGTCGCGGTGTGCGTGCGAGGCACTACGTTTATGGCTTACGAGAAGCGCAGGAAATGCTTAGACAGAAGAAGAAGCGGGAAGATAGAGAAAGCAGGATGGACAGGATAAGGAGGAGCATGTACGCAAGACGGATCCAGAAATTGGCCACAGCGTTTCTGCGCAAACTCGCCTATCGCCGCGCCATGGAACAAAGCGAAAAACAGCAAGCCTTGGTCAGAGTCCAAAGCGCTTGGCGTGGAAGGATCGCACGCAGACGGTTCTTGAAAATGAGAGCAGCAGCAATTGAGTTGCAATCTCTGATGAGGACTGTGGCGGCAGTAGCGAATTTGAAGCGCGATTTGCAAGCACGCAAAGTGGCATTGATTTGTAGTGAATGGAGGAAACAACGTGCTGCAGAACGGGCCAAGGAATTCGGAAAGCGGTGGTTGGCCAGCGCCAGACGAAGAGTTGCTCAAAACAATCAAAAACTCGCGGAAGAAGCAAAAACAGCTTTGGAATCGCAGTTGGAGGATGCAGTAAAGGATAACATTGCAAAAACAGAACGAATAGCATCCTTAGAACGCGATGTGGAAGAGAAAACATCGTTGATTCAAGCAGCAGAAGCGGAAACGGAAACTCTGCAAACTCGATTAGCTGAGGAGAAGTCGAAGTTTAAACAGTTGTCAGAGGAGAAAACTTCGCTACAAAATGCAAAACAGGCTTTAGAACAGAACTTATCCACCGAACAAGGAGCTAAAGCATCTCTAGCGCAAACGTTGGAGGAAGAGAGAGCAACCAGCGGCAAGTTAGCCGTGCAATTGAAAGACTTGCATGCAGAAGCTGAACAGCTAAAGAAATCCCTCGAGGAAACGCGGGAGTCCGCGCACCGAGAGCAGGAACGATTGGCGCATGACATTGCCACTGAAAAAGCACAAGCTGCAGAAGCTTTAGCGAAGTTGAAGATGGGAATGGAATCTGAGAAGAGCGAACGCGAAACAAGACACGCAGAGGAAATGGCCAAGCGTGAGGCCGAACTCTCCAATCTCCGCGACCGCATCGACACTTTAGAGATCGAGCGGTCCGAGGCTGAAGTCGAGGCTGAGACACGTGCTGTAGAGCGCGCCGCTGCCGCAAGGGTGGAGACCGAGCAACAATACCTCTTAGAACTCGAAGCGTTGCAGAAGGAAGTGAAGGAGAGTAATGAAAAACGTGGCATGCTAGAGCTCAAACAACAAGCTAGGGAAAACGAGATGCGAGCTCGAGAACAGCAACTAGAAGCGCAAATCAAGCAGAAGGAAGAGTGCCTTAGAAGCTTAGAACAAGAGGTAGAGGAGAGTCGGGAAGGCCAAGAAAGGGTACAAATCCAAGCAGGAAGATGTGAACGTTATGAAGACACAACTTAGAATAGGCATCCAAAAAATGGCCTCCCGAAAGCAGTATTTAGAACACATACAGAGATATTGTTGTTGTTCCTCTGTCTCGTCATACATCTTACCATGAAGAGCTTCCATCTCCTGTGTATCACTCCTACTTGATCATGTACTTCTTCTCATTACAACTACGCTTACTTCTAACTTCACCAGCTTCTTTTATTTGTAGTAGAGTACACCTCTCGCTTCATGTTCATGCAGCATCCCTCTTCCTCTAACCCTTAGCCGCACTTGTTGCCGTGAAGAAATTTCACGGCCGTGAGGAGAGCTACCGAAGGATGGAGTTGAGGTTGGATCATTACGAGTCCAGGCTTCTTCGAAATGCGGCATTGCAGAGTCTAGAACGATATCCTCAAATTTTGGCAGGTCGGTCGTTTCCACGTGCGGCTGTGAGAGATGGCGACATCGTCAGGGAATTTTGTAGAAGTGATGGCTCACCGAGGAAACAAGGAAAGAACAGTTCTCCAGATCTTGCGGACGATAAAGCAGTATCGATTGGTGTACTAAGAGAAGTATTAGAGAAATGCGCAGACGAAGACGTCGAGGAGATGCAGGAAGAAGAACAAGGGGTCTTGTACGCTGGCAACGAGGGCGAGGAAGACAAAGGATTGTCAGACCCTTCATCTAGCGCTGCGCTGGTACCAACCATTTCCAAGCCAAGGCAGACCTCAGCGATCAATCCTGAGGACGAGGAGGACGACGGGAAGCAAGAGCTCGACATGGACATGCACGTGGACACCTTGAACAAGAACAACAAGAAGATAACAAGTCGTGGGACGGCAATGAACGGCTATGAAGAGGGTCCTTCACATCAACGTGCTTGCAATGGTAATCACATTCCTCCACGTGATCTCGATGTCGTGATAGTTGGTGAGAATGTTGGAAAAATGGCCTTACTCGGCAATTGCATCCGAGAACTAGCGCCAGACCAGTATCCCCTTTTTCAGTACAACCTGCAACAACTGGAGAAACGCAAAGCCGCGCAAACAGCACATAATTCTTCGCAGAATCACCAGAGTGGTGGTGTGAATTCATCTTCGAGTTCTTCGAGGACCAATTCACATTCTTCCAGTGGCGGTGGCTATGTGATTAGTGGCGGAAGTAGTAAGATCTCTAGCGGAACAAGTCGTGGATCTCCTGGAAGTGGAGGCCAAACTCAAAGTCTCCAGACCAATTGCTTCTACGAAATCTTGCCTCCTTGTGTACCATCTTCAAGCTCCTCCTCCTCTTCGAGGTATGCATCCTATGCCTATGGACATCATCAAGAGCAGGAGGACTCTACTAAAGGAACTATAATATCTCCTGGCGAGGATCCTCCAATTTGTAGTGGTCTCCAAGTGCAGCATTCATCTGCTTCTGCGTGGCCTCCACCAGCTTTGCGCGTCTTGGATTGTGCTACAGGTTTAGAGGAGAGTTTCAAGAAAACGCAATATGTCATCGCCATCTACGACTTCCGGAATCCGCAGTCGCTCCAATCCGCACTCTCCAGACTAGAAACAGCAAGAGCATGTGGCGCTCAAGGGCTGTTGTTTGGAAATTTAGAGGGCTTTCTGGATCGGAATGCGCACTTGCGAACGGTATTGAGAGAACGGGAGGACTATGTTGATGGTGTTGGTGAATTGGATCGTATGGAAGTTGAAGGAGGAGCTTCTGAGCAAGACGACGAGATCACAACTTCGAGGATTAAGAATCACATGAAGCAAGGAGAATCGTCATCTTCACAACAAGACGAGGCAGCTGACCACTCACCTTGGGAAGGTTGTACAAATGGCGCACATTTCGAGGAGCGTGAACTGCCATCTATCTCCGCGTTTGAGCGACCTACTGGAGCTGCAAAGCATTTCTGCACCGTGTGGGAAGCCAAGAGCAAAGCAGCACAACTAGACTGTCTGAGTATCGAAGCCGTCAGCCTAGGCGAAGCTTTCCGTATGCTCTGTCGGGATTTTGACTTTTCTGCCTATAGGACGACAGCAAATAGTACTAAGATCATGTCCTCCACTTCTAGTACTGCAGGAGTGGTAGCAGGAGACAACTTTCATTCCTCCACCTACGCTGGGCGAAGAACTTTGGTCGAGCTTTCTCAAGTGACTTTTTTGAAGCCCAGTTTGGAGGAGTACGACGTCTGCCCTGACGTCTTGGACGAAAGACAGGAGGCTGATGGAACTTTGGCGAATATTGTAGTGGCTGATCGTGTTGTCACAAATCCACGTCATCAGGGTAAGGATCACAAGGAAGACCGCGACCGAGAACCTGCATCAATAAACGACACTGAGACAAACAACAAGTCCCCTCCTATCATTCTATTGGCGTTTAGCAGTTCAACCAGCTCACCTAGTGCCAGTTCATCATCTTCACATGGAGGTTCAGGCTCTTCTAGAGGGTCTGGATATACATCTGGATCTGCAGCCTCAGCCTCTCCCCAGCTACTTGCTGCAGCAAATGACGCCGGCGAAGTTTTCGTCTATGATGTAGAGAGAACATCCTTAGAACGCAGTCAGCAAGCACTAGTTGTTGGTCGGTCGCCTGCGACATCGTCGTCGTCTGCGTTTGACCATAGGACTGCAAGAGGAAGGAGAACTAGACATGGGAAAACGACTAAAGGATCTTCTGGTCTCTCATCATCATCATCTTCCAAAATCATGCTCCGTCGAAAGTGGCAAGCACATCCAAAAGAAGCTCTGATCACAGCGCTCAACTTTCCACCAAGGGGGCCGCCACAACACGTGTTCACGACGTCGTTAGGCAGCGCAACCAGAGGACCAGGCTGTGGAGAAGCCAAGCTGTGGAATTCTTATACTGGCGAATTACTTGTCTGCTACGAAGACAGCATGCCGATTACTTGTGCAGGATATTTGCCATTGTATACCACAAGTATTAAGGCTTTCGCTTTTTTTCCTTATTATCCATCTTTTTCTTCTGTTAAGGATAAGCATCTTGATTCTTGGAGCTGTCCCAGCATAACGAGAGAGAGAGAGGCATCTTCACGATGCTTGCATCTTATGATGCATCTTAAGCTGTAAGGGTGAGCTCTAAGAAGAGTAGCTTTAGTGGTGCACATGGACGAGATGGAGGGTGTGGAACGGCGAATAGTATCGTTAACAACGCGCCTCATCTTTTGTATGCGACTGCTGCACCAGCAGTGCGACTGATTTCAACGCAGAGGCATGCTGTAGTCCAGAAATTGAAGATGGAAGCAGAGGTGCGGTGTCTCGCTTTCGAGGAAGAGTTAAGGCTTCCCCTAGTCCATCGCCAAAAGCAATTTTTTAAGACCCTTCGTTCCGGGAGAGAACCAACGTCTTCGCGATCATCTATCTCAAGATCTGGCTTTGGATGCGGCTGAGCTCTAAAAGAAGCTGGTAGATTCACGCTGCTTGGTGGAGCGAACGGCTGTATCTACGTCATTGAAGCATACGCCAGAGGAGGTGGTGGTGGTGGTGGTGCTAATCAGAGCGGCGCTTTTGGGCCAGGTAATTCGTCAGCGACGATGTCAGCTGGTGTGACTAGCAGTTTTTCTGCATCAAATGCCATGGGTTTGGGGATGAATTCGAGTACTAGTATGATGGGCTCTTCTAGTAGAAGCTACAACATACACGCCTCCGCAAACAATCAGGCAGCACAGCCTATTGCTGGTCCATCTCCCTCTTCTTAAGGCTATCGCTATTGAAGCATCCTCAGCGCCATGCTTGGCTTCTTTTTCAAGAGGGAAAAGGGCCCAGGGATCATAGAGGACTTAACAAGGATGCGACGCGGTAGCTGCTCTAATCTACTCCTTCTCACGCGACACTACGCCTTCGTCCGATGTTAGTACAGTTTCAGTACGATTGTCGGGAAATCACGAGTCTGAAAGTGCAACCACGGTTGCCAAGTAAAGGGAGGCCACCTTTACTGTTGGTAAACTGTCTTGCGAGCGATGCAGTCGGCCTTCTGGAGCTTCAGTATCGAAATGGCGTGCTCATCATGCTACAGCTACTCCAACGAGTCTCGGTGTTCGGCAGCAACCAGTTTTTATGGCAAAAGTTTTCGAGGACACGCCGTGCTGCTGAGTTTATCGGATTTTAGTCTCAAGTACTTCGACTTTACAACTAGTTGTACCTAGTTGTAGAATCTTCGGTGATGTGAACTCAAGTAGAGGCTGCAAGCGCGTCGGCGTCATAAATAGAGTGGTGTCTTCACGATAAACCCCTGCCCCCTATGATCTAGTTAGTTGTAGATATCTCTTACCATTACGAATTACGTACCCTTGATGACCTATTCGCTAATTTTTCTCCCCATGCAGAGTTTATTCTGCTGCGAGCATTTTGCGGTTAGCGGAACGGAAGAGAGGCCTGGAGTATTACAGGTTCTCAGTCTGGATGGCGTTGACAATAATGTTCTAGAACCTGCTCAGCAAGGAGAACAACTACAACAGCATCTAGCACCTTCCAGGAGCAATGCATCGCTAGAGACGATATCGTGTACGACGACACGAAGACTATTGCCGTTTCTGGAGAGCAGGGGAGACGGATTTTCAAAGTCTAGTTCTTCAAGTCCTCTGGCACGAAACGCTGGTGGAGAACAAACTGCTTCCTCGTCTAGTCGTGGTGCTTATCAGGAAACGGCCAATTATGCAGTTACCTCTGCTCAACACAACAACAGGCATATAAAGTCCCAGCGAAATTCTTCAAGTTCTTCCCCCTCTTCGTCACCAGGAAAAACCCCTGCTGGACGTCGCTCAGGAGGCAAGAAAAAAACGAGTTCATCCAGTCCCTCAACTAGTACAGGCGCTTCGCCAGCGACACTGTCCCATGCTAGTGCACTATTATCGCGTACAAGTCTCACGCCAGTGAGGCTAAGTGCGAGAGCCTCTTCGGGTACCATATCACCTGCCGCTGCGTCGCCAAGGGATAGCAGTACACTGATTGTTCAACCCAGTCAACTACCCTGCATCACTAGCGCTTCATCGTTAATAGCAAATGGCATATCACAATTGGGCAGGATAACACAGGCGTCGGCACAGGGACACTTAAATGGAGGAGTAGGGACTTTGTTCAATCTAGACGAAGAACATGTTGAACAAGGAATGGAGGGGGACGAGCTGTATCCACCACCACGTGCTCGCGATCCGAGCAGTGGTCAACATCCTACAAATACAATGTCAAAATCAAAAACTATGGAGGTAACTACAACGACTCCAACCACTGCTGCGCCATCTCCGGTAGAAGCAGGACAGAACAGCCTGTCTCTGGGATCTCCTTCTCCATGCCCTAGCCCTAGTAGCAAGGTCATTGATGCTTACCCTCTGTCGTTAGCAGTGAATCCTGGTAGTACGATCCTGGCAGTAGGAGACACACATGGCGGGATTACTTTGTTGAGGCGGACTGCTACTAGACGGCGTCCTGATTAGTTTTTAGGCGTTTTTTGTTGACATTTTAGGCAAGGACACTCTGACTCTTTTTATGAGAAGAAGTGTGACGAAATTAACTGATAATTTTTGCTTATCTTGATCTTGAAACAAAGTACATATTATATAGCTATAGGATTCCGATCAGGACAGATACTAACTGCTGCCGGACCTATCTATGGGGTTTGTTTGGTGATCCTTAAATTCAATGTTTGTCTCTGTAGTTATACCTGTGGTATACCTTCTGTCTCACTCTCAGCATTGTTCTTTGTAAATTTGATTTGTTTCATAGCGACCATTCGTCGAGAAGGCCAAAACAAGATGAAAGGAAACGTATAAACCGACCAAAATCTTGCACATCGCAAGCAGCCATTGAGGGTTATTTTTTCCGTGGAACGACACAGACCATAATGTATATCTTGAAGATGCTCTTCCTCCATCACAACGTCATCTTCTTTTTTATGCATTTGAAATCACTGAGTACCAAGGCGCACGAGTCTTCAAAAGGGAACGGACAAGAAGGATGAGGAACTACATTTTCAATTTGAGGTTTCTTCATTTGTCAAATTTTATTTGGGTTTCTCAGTTTGTTAATCGTGGTGTATCCATCAGAAGCACTAGTATCACAGGAGTACTTAGTGTCAACAACCTTCTCCTATCTGAATTGGTCTCCCCTGGAGATCCTCTTTTTCTGGAAGTAGCAAACCCTGTTAGTTGTACCCCAGTGACCACCGTCCGGGAAAGAGGGGTGGAAAGTTCTGAGAATAGACTATCGAGGGTTCCTGGAGCACGGTTGCCGAAGTCTTTTCTCGCGTCCATGACCATGCTGCAGGACATTTTTTCTATCTCCCAGTGACAATCTTCATCTCGATGTGGATGCATTTTATGTCAGTCTACCGCATCAGGGGATACGCAGATGAATCAACGAGCCAGCTATTCTCTCAACCATCAACCAAGCCAACCAACCAACGAACAAACCGACTACTCGCTCAACGAACCAACCAGCTACTCTCTCAGCGAATCCATCAATTCTGATCCCCACTGCAGGCTTACACTATTTCCAAGATGTAGATGTTTTAGTAAAGACGGGAACAACTTTCTTCATTTTTCCTTTTACAACTAAGTACTTACAACAAGTCACAGTATAACAGATATTGATATGCTTTCCCATGATTAACAGTAAGACAATGGACGAGCAGAGACGGCGCTCTACATCGCCCCTTCAAGAGCGTCTGCTTAAGCAGAATCACCGTCAACAGGACGACGACGCGCCTTTTTTTCAACAAAATGCAAATGCTTCACCAAGACAACAGTTTTACTGCAGTAACGAAAATTTAACGACTTCGGCTAGCAGTTTCAGCACTCACGCACAGAACGCGGCTCGTGCTGCTTACACGAATCACACGACGCACCTGCCGAAGATCACACCATCAGCGACACTATTGCCGCTCTCGAAAATGGCGCCATCCTTGCCTTCCTCGTCCTTAATGTCAGCGAGCCACTCGATTTACCAGCACAACATCATGAAGCAGGTGGATGATTCTAGGTGCCAGGGCACCATCATGAAGACGAAGAATGATTCTAGTTACCAGAACAGCACTACGAAACAGAAGAAAGATTCTACTAGTGACCAAGACAGCATCGCTAAGGGGCAGAGTGATTTGGCTTACCACTACCAGGACGCGGCGATGAAGAATGATTCTAGTTACCAGGACAACATCATGAAGCGGCAGAATCGTTATCATGCCAGTCGCCTGGACAGAATCATGAACATGAAGACGACGGATGATTGTAGTTACATGGACGCCACGAGCAGGCAGATGAATGATTCACCTCCTTACCAGGGCAGCATCATGAAGATGCAAGGCGACTGCACTAGTGACCAAGACAGCACCATCAAGCGGCAGAGTGATTTGGCTTACCACTACCAGGACGCGACGACGAAGAAGGAGGAGCATTCTAGTTTTCGGAAGACCACAAGCGCTTCTAGCTACGAGAACACAAATGAGACGAAAAACAGCGACAGCAACATGATGGAGAGCAGTCCGCTAATGAATTTGCGCGAATCTCGCAACATCGACGCCATCGCTAAACCTGATCATGGTGGAGAAGGAGAAAATAGTCCTCCTCGTAGTAGGGTTTTCGATTCCTCCAAGATGAATCTTCTTACTTCTCCTATGTTGCAGCTTTCTGAGGGCAAGGGTGGAGAGAATACAGAGCCGCTGATGACTCGTGAGCGGCAGAATGAAAAACAATACAACAGTCGCGGTTTTAGTGAGATCTCTCTGAGGGGGATTGGTAGTAGGGTTAGTGATATTGGGATGCAAGGAATACAGTTACAGCTACCACTGTCACTGTCGAATAGTCCTGCGTCAACATCTGTCGTGGTAGCGTGTGAAAGGCCCAACACTATGGAACGGCGTAGTCTTGTTATTTCACCTCCGAGATCACGATCGCGGCCGCAAAGAGACAAATTTAAAGGCCGCGCCTTTGAGGATGAAAACAAGAAGGAAGACGATACGGACGAGATGAAATCGCGCCAGGCTGCAGCACCCTTTTCCCTTTTGCAGCCGGCTTTTGAGGCAGGAAGCCCGCTAGCTTCCTCGGCGTTTTCCTTAGCAGCAAGCCGGTGGAAGAGCCAAGCTCCTGCTGGGTCAGAAAATTATGACTCGCCTACTTTTCAGATGCAGTAAGAGACCAGCCGGCATTTTTTCAGACCTAATACTTTCTTGCCTTTTAGTTCTCTGAGAGTTGAAGATAGTAATGGTACTTAGCTAGGTGAGCTGGTCCAAGAATGGGAACAACTTCATCCCCCCAAGGCGATTTTCTACGCGAATTAGTACTAAAGACCTTAACAGCGCTTGCGCTTACACTTCTAACGGGCGCAGTCGCTCGGAGCTTTGAGGAAGCCTCACCGCTACGGTCGGCCTGCAAGGAGTCTATCACGGCCTGCCCGCTTCCTCGCGGCGGCTGCGTGTGTGCAGATTGCCGGTGGGATTCATCAGCAACACAAAGGAGACGAGTACGGAATGAAAGTGCTCACATGGTGGACAGGCTGCCTCTGTCAATAACCCTTTACTTTGTCTAAGGTAGCACGATATATTAGACTGCTGATGCCCCCAGTCGTGGCGCGAATGTGCCGGGCCGTTCTGCTTGGGTTAGGTCAACCTTCCTACTGGTTACTCAATATTATACTGCTTCCAAAATGGTTTCGTATTCGTGGTAGATACATAGGTCTAAGCAGTTGTAAAAACGAAATAAACCTAGATCGTCAGCGAATAATAAAGTCCCTGATACAGTAAGCGATGGCGGTAACGACCAACCCCCTTCACTATCATACGAAGGCAGACCCAGAGACCACAGGCAGAGGCGAAGGGGATGGAGAGACGCAAGGTGGGCCACCAGCAGGCACCGAGGGAAGCAGGGGACGAGGCTACGGCAGCAACAAGGTAACTCGTGACCGTGCTTGGCTCCTGGAAGAAAAAAAGGACCTGACTCTTCGTAACCAGTCCTCCATCTTCGACGAGAATCCCACCGGCGTCACGAGTTCTAAAGCGGCTTCTGCTTCTCTGCAAGACAACCCGTCCACAACAACAACTACAGATGTTGAACAAAACGCCGAGCAGGATAGTGCTTCTTCTACTTTCCAAATCAGGTTGGAACAAGGTGGTGACGAGGTGACTAGTAGTCAAGAGAAATCTTCTCCACCTTCTGACAGCGATGTGCTCGGTGTCACGGTTTCAGCGTCTTTGTCTTCAGATGGCACACGAGGCATTGCTTCAGAAACTCAGGATCTAGCGGCCTCGAGCTTTATCACTGCTTCAGCCTCAGAGCGTGTCATAAAGGAGTCTTGCGACAATCCGGACAGCAAGGCAGTTACTGAGTTGCCAGATGAAAACACGAGAGCAAGGCGGGTAGCGCAACAGCTTCCCGAGCTGACTAAACCAGAGGAGTTGCTCTCGTTTTTCGAAGCCTGTACCAATCGGAAACAAAAACAACACCAAGACGCAGCCGCAATCGTGGAACGTGCCTCGTCATATAACGGGGACGGCCCGGGTTTCAGGCTGAAAAGAGATCACTTCGATGGCGCGTCCGACTTGAGGCAGTGCACTGAGCTTCCTCGGGTTTTTGCAGCAAATAAACAGAAAAAGGCGCAAACAACCTCAACGACTATGCCATCGCAGGAATTATCTCGAAATCAACAGGCATCTACTTCTACTCGTACTCTAGAAGAAGGACTGCTAGATGAGTTTGAGTGTTTTCTTTCTGCACGCGAAGTTTGCCTCATGGGCCAGGGGCTGTTCGGCGGCGTCTGGTCTTTGTCTGAGAAGGGCTCGCAGTGTGACGCTGTGCCTGAAAGTGGGATTGCCGTGAAGCACCAGCTTAACGGCAGCCCGATGGTCGAAGCGTGTTTTGCTCTATACGTTTCCCGGCAGGAGAATTTGGCGCAGTACGTCGCTCAAGCTCATGAAGCTGTCGGATTTTTTAGGCAGGCGTGTTCGGGTGAATCGCCGCGCTTCTTCCTCGTGATGGATAAGTACAGCCGTTCCTTGCAGGACCAAATACTAGTCGACAAAGCTGACGCTCAGACAAGAGGATGCTCACCTCTCAAGGCAGGAATATCACTCCGCAATAGTGCGAAGAAGCAACCACTTGGACAAACTTCTTCTATGGCTTCAGAACGACCCCTGGAAGAACCGACAGCGGGGTCGGTAGTGGTAGAGCGGTTCATCAAGCGAGGACAGCACATGATAGAAGGGATAGTAGAGCTCGGCAGACTAGGAATAGCATCGAGAGACATCAAGCTGGAGAACTACCTTGTCGACGATAAAGCCCTTGAAAGTCCCAGGCTTGCTGACTGGGGACTTTCTACGGCATCGGGGCATTATACTGCTGAGCAACCCCTGGTTGGCAGTCCGTTGTTTCTAGACCCGCTAGCCAGCCTACTGAGCTACGCAAATTACGACGACTGGACTTCGAAAGGGTTGCGTGACGAAGCTTGTGCCAAACCAACATACATTCAGATGGATGCGTGGGGTCTTGGGGATGCTCTTCTGGAATTGTGGACCTCTCTGGAAGCACGGGTAGAAATTATTCAGCCATCTTATGCCAGATTCGGCCCTCTCGGGAGGGACTGGAAGGAGACACTCTCGTCGCGGAGTATTTCGGGGGACACTCTTACTACGTACGCAAAAGTTGTAGAAGAAGAATGCGAGAAGCATCTCCACCCAGCGATTCGTAAGTACTACTTAGAACAGACGCAAAGCGGAGGGGCAAGAACAAGCACCGTTTTCACGAGAACTGTGCTAGAGCTTCTTCTTCGCTATCCGCTTAACTGCACCCCGGACAAACGTGACATGGAGGAGTTCGCTGAGCTCTGGCAAGAACTGCTGGTCGACCAGATGGAGACATCACAAGAGGACAGGGGAAACCTCGGCAACGAAGTAGTAAATGAAAATGAGCTGAAGATCTCTCAAGACGCTACTAAAGACGAAGTGAAAGGCACGCTACGGAAGGCAGCAGGCCTGACAGACACTTCACAAGCGCCAGGCGCGTCTAGTACTTTCTCAGAAACGCTCAGCGCCAGCACATCTAGGAGAAGTACTTCATCAGGCTCAGACGGAGCGTCGAGTTCAGCTAGTACTCTACAGGAAACGCCCAGCACACCTAGTGCTCCAGAGGGAACGCCGAGTCTACCTAGTACTTCACAACAGGCAGCGGAGTCCTCTAGTCCAAAAGGGAAGCCAGACGGAGCCGCAGGACCTGGAGACGAAGGCCACAAGGCTTATCAGGCTACACCGACAGGCGGAAGTGGCACCAGGCACGGCGGTGACGTGCCTCCGGAAGTCATGGAAGTCACGGAGGTAACCCCAGGGGTCACACAGTCTTCCGAGACAAGTAGCCAACACCAAGTGGCTGCATCGTCGTGGAGCCAGGAGGCTTTGCAGGCTGCTGCGTCTGAGACTCCCACCGGCCACGAGCAGCTTGCTGGAGCTGGGACTGACGTGGGCCTCAACTTTGACGCGGCAGGACCGATGGCCACTGACATCACCGCAAAGGGAGCGGGTGGCACTATGTCGAGCATGGGCTCCGCTGTTCAGAGTGGACTCAGTGATGAAAACGCTAGGGACGCAATGGGCGGCGCAGTCGTTACGCCTCGAGATGCTCCCAGTTTTCTAATTGGTATAACTTCCTTCGAGGTTCTAACAATGGTGACTCACTTTCGCTTTCCATGATTCAAACCCGAGATTTTGACTTCATCACCAACCAGCGAGTCCACATTTCTAAATCTTACGCAAGGACCAGCGCCACAACTAGTGGAGAAGAAGAGGGAGCGTCGACAGCGGCTTCTAGAGAGAGAGTGGAAGTGGGCATGAAATCGACCGAGGGCAAAGCGAGCAATCTGGCGGGCAGTGAGCGTGCGGGAAAGAAGACGGTGAACCAGAGCAAGCTCCTCCGACGGGAGGACAGATAAGTGGTATAGTTAGATAGCAGCTTTTCGAGTTCGAACTTATCAGAACCAACAAGAGCAGCCGCGAACTAGTATGGTTACACTACACAACTTTTCTACTGAACTCGTGTGTCTCAAAAATGATAAAGATCCTCAGTAGGTGCAAGCTTGAGTGGGTAAATTATTGTCACGCAGCGTCAGCATTATCCATCATTACCATGATGATATCATCGCAATCCCTTCTCATACTTCTCCGCCTTGTCAGGTGGCTGCAGTATCGAGTATTATTATGTGTGTCCTGAGGAGAGGACCAAAAGATACGCCGTGAGAGGGCTTAGCTACAAATAGAAGCTGGGCCAACTATTTGTCACGAAATTCGATGTCGATGTAGCAGAATGAAAGAAAATAGCCGAACATTCAGAATTAGTCAGGTACTTACTGAGAACTGATACTGAACAGCATCCACTGGATTAGAAGAAATATACATGCGGGCAAGGCGCGGAGCGTTGTGCGCGAATGACTCACGACTATGTCGTTGACTTGGAAACTGGTTCTGCTGTAGAAAAAGCAGTTCTTTTTTTTTTGCTGGTTTGTTCAATTTACCATGCTATTGCTAAAAATGCTACTACCACTTTTCAGGTACTATGGTATTCGTGTTTACAACTTTTGGGAGATTATCGAACACTGATTGGATCAAAGTGGCGAGAATGATGCAGGGTTTGGAAAGCTTTTTTTTTGATGTTCGAGGAAACAAAGGCGATGCGCGTTCGATGTGCTTACAAAGCAATTAGTTCGGATATCCAAAAAAAAAACGACTACCCATGTGGGCCTGAGAAGACGAGGCTCTATAGCTTATAAGCTTTTTAGACACTAAAATAGCTTATAAGCTTTTTAGTCCGATGAAGGCTTAATTCATCGGACTGAAATGTACGTCGAGGGCCACCCTACACTCTACGACTATGGTACGACAAAGAAGCTCAGGCTCCTTGTACTAAAACAAGTAGGAATGAACCATCAGCATTCATCTTTTTTCTCAAAAATGGCAGCGCGTGAAACGTCAGGTACAAAAGTTATACGACGCATCACGTTTATTTTGATATTTCTACCAACCGTTTGGAGCTTCGGGAGGGAGTGCTGCAATCGAATTTTGAGGATGGCGAGATGATTGGACTTGTTGCGAATGCGTATGCGACCGTACTTATTCACTTTGTGTTCGTTGCCTACTCTTGATGGATTGGAATTCTTACAAATGCTGACTCTGCCTTAGAAGTTGGCTTTGGATGCTGCCTCTATCCCATTTACAACAAATTCGCACTTTTCTTCATCATTTTTTTGGATTGTGTTTCAACTTACCACCTCTGCCTTTAGCTTATGCCTATGTATAAATATGATGATCATCAACCTACCACTTCAGGTTGATGAATGACGAAAAAGATCGAGTTATGTGATGCCTCAACCTTCGAGCAGCAGGAAGGTGCGCTATCGACATTGGCAACGTGGCCGGATGAGAATTAGTCTTTTTTTAAAAAATATCACATGAATAATGATGATGAACTACTTAGCCCGGGATCCGGTCTAGAATTTACTGAATCAATTACGGTTAGGAGGAGTCGGCGCGACTTCTATCTATGTACTGGTGCACAGATGTTTCATCACAGGATTAGGAATTATGAAGGTTGTAAGAATTATATGTCAATAGAGCATAAGTGACACTTACAGGATCGAGTAGTCAGCCATAATATTTCTTAAGTACTCATACTTCAGTAAGCATTTTTACAGACGTCTCAGTTTAAGAGCTTTTGTACACAATGGATCTCTACTGCTGACTTCGAAGACATCAGACAAGCCGTCTTCTATTGACAAGCAACAGCTTTCGTTTGACATTGACAAGGACCACTCTTCTCAAAAAAATTACTATCTCTTGTCGTTTTGATCATTCTTCATTTGATGAGCTGACGCAGCGTGAATCTTTTGCCTGAAAAAACGAAGCCCAAAACTATATATGGTGAGGAGACCAAGGGACACGGACAGATGGTTAGCCGACGTGGTTGCCTGTTGATCTTGTCTCGTTCTTAAAAACATTTTTGTTCTTGCGTGTACTGAACGCAGCGAGTGATCTACTATGTGTAAATAAACGAGATCGCATCCATTAGAGCCCAGTGTCAGTCTCCAAAGGATTGCGACGATGAATTGGACATCATCAGGTCCAGCAAGACAGAGGGAGAGGAGAGAACAGTAAAGAGCGAGGCTTCTCGTCAGAACAGCTGTAAAGAACAAGGCATCCCATCTAGAAGAAAGCAATGTAATATTAAATTCAAACGCAAACTCTTGATTCAGCTTGTTGCAGCAGCTCAGGAGTCGCTATCGCAAAATGTACTTAGCCAATGATCAACAAAGAGACGCCACTACTACCAATTATTGGCGACGCATACCACTACCAAGCCTACGCCAGTAGATATTATAATAAATACTCAGATGCTCCTCGACGCCGTTCTTCTTGGGCTCGTTGCCTTCGTCAACGTTCGCATCTACAGAAACGGCGCAGCCACAGACGAATGTGCGATAGCATTGGTTGTGACCAGCCCCGCTTTTCAAATGTGCTTGCGAATATGAATTCGGGCTGATGGGTCTCAGTCTCTTTCTGGCGTCGGACAAGCGCAGCTATGTGGAGACATTCGAGCTAGGTGGAGACTACCTCCTCTACCACATGCTTACAAAGTAGGAACGAAAGCCGTGGGATCCAGCTGTGGGTTAGGTGGTCTGCGTAGTACCTCTAAGGTGAGCCTGGATACTTATGGAGGTGACACTTATCCGGTAGGGTAGGCGCAGCTTCGTTTGGCAGACGAGTTCGCTGTCGGCGATAGACCCTCTTCTAGCGCGAATGATGTTCGTGATGAAATCAACGCTCACGGCTATGGCGGGCGTGAAGTAGCGCGGAAGTAAAAAGAGTGAAAGAGGTGTTTGGAAACGACCACCATTCCTTCCTCCGCATTCTTGCGAATTTTACCAAGTGAAAAAAAAATGTCCTCCTCTATCCCGTCCTGGATTAGCACTTGCCTTTCTGGGCTTGTGTATCTCTTTTTCACGAGCACAAACACGTTAGTGACGAAGGCACTGAAAGAGGTCCGAATACCAAACGATAACAATGATGGTATTGTTAGTGGTATCCACATGCCCACCACGACAACTTCTACACATAAGTTTTCGCATGACATAATTTTCGTGAACATTATGGTTTTTGGTGAAAGCCTTTTGGCAGTATATTTCGTCATCGTCTACTTCAATTTCACGCCGAACGAAAGGGAGAGGGCGGGCCAAAGTGGAAGCACGGGATCCCAGCACACCAGTGGAGATGAACAAGATGAAGATCGTCATTCACAACCTTCACGAGAACAACGTGCCGAACATGTGCTTAAGGCAGGTGGGAGTGGAACGACGCGTGACAAAATCCTAGACGACGCGCAAGTAGCTATTTGTATCCATGACGACCATCCCACGTATAATCCGGAGGTTAAACAACTTAACTTCAAGAAGAATGAGAAGGAGAGGACCACAAGTCTGGAGTTGGCGGAAATCGTTCAACATCTAGGGGACACTGATGCTGATGAGAGACTTCCAAGAAGCATGTCTTCTTCTTGTAAGGAAGATGAGGAGGATGAGGAGGTCTTGACCACGTCTTTTGAAAGCGAAACCTCAACGTCTTCATCACAAGAAGAAACACGCAGATTTTCACAACACAAAGCTGGTGGACGACCTACAAAGAGTCTTCAAGGTGGTTCATCTTCAACAAGCAGAGCCCGATCGCCATTCGAACCTCTTGGGTTGCTTCCTTTTTGTCTGTCGGGACTTCTCGATTGGGTTTCATCGTTGTTGCAGGTTGTGGGACAGGGCTATATTGCAGCATCTGCCTATCAGATGCTGAAAACAAGTCGCTTACTCTTCGTTTTTTTCTTAAGAGAATGAATCTAGTGACAGTAGGTGTCTTTCATTCTCTAGTGACAGTAGGTGTCTTTTATTCTCTAGTGACAGTAGGTGTCTTGAAGCTATCCCAAGAACAGGAGATGAAAGTAGTGCCAAGAAGAGGTGGCACCTTCTCAGTTGTATGGATTTTTAGGTTCGTCTAATCTTCATCAGCCTACTGTTCGTCAAGATGCGCATCTTTAGCGAGGATCCTCGCAAAACTTTGACGCCCAGACAATTGAAGCGGCAACATTGGGGATTGGTCCTAGTTTTTCTCGGGGTTTTGAGCGTCAGTTGGGGGACAATAACTCTGGAAAGCAAGAACAAGAGTACTTCTAGCAAGATAAAGACTTCTATATTACCTGCTCCACCTGCTGAGACAAGTGCGACAAGAAATACAGGAGCAGTTATGAGTCATAAAGCCACAACCGGAGCCGGTGCTGGTGGTGTGACAACTCTTCCGGAAAATATTCCTGCTGTAAGTCAGGAATTGCAGACTGAAGAAGTAGATGGATTTGGAACACGAGAAGAAGGTGGAATAGACTTAGACACTGTAATACAACCAAAGATATTAACATCTTCAGTAGATGGTGAAAGGGAAACAAAGCAAGAGGAGCAAGAGGAAGAGCAAGACGCCTCTACTTCCCCCCAAGAAGAGCAGTTTGACTTTGCACGCGCTGCTGAAGTTTTAACAGGAATTTCGCTGGTGACGGTAGGTGTCTTTTGTTCTGCTCTACGCCTGGCATTGCAGGAAGCCTTTCTAAAGAAAAACCCTCATGTACCTCCAACCTTTGCTGTGGGGGTAGAAGGAATGTTTGGTTTGGTAATCGGCTTGTTGGTAGTCTTGGTGTTGAACACACCAACTGGAAGAGCTTCTGCGAGTGAGAGTCCAAGCACAACGAGTACTAGTGGCACCGGAGAACAAGATATTGCAAGAAGTGCAGATCATCATATGCCATCTTCTTCTTCTTCACCAAGTACTTCTATACGACCTGCTACACCTAGAAGTACTGTAAGTATGAGTGTTGACACACAGCATACACCACAAGAACATCAACTACAGCAGCAACGTCAACACCTTCCAGCAGTGCATGTCGGACAGTTTTTCCGCGACCTTGGGAATTCCAAGGGAGCCCAAATTTTGGTCATAGCCATATTGTTCGTGGCCATGGGCCACAATTTCTACGGCGCAGTGTTTGCAAAGAAGACCTCCTCCTCAGCACGGACGATCTTGGCGTCTGTAGCGACATTGTTCATTTTCAATGTGGAAAACGGTTTTTGTGAGATGATAGGCCAAGACTGGGGACTGCCGGATTTGTCTGTGAAGTACGACTTCTGGAAAGGGCATTTCTGGTTCCTACTCTTGGGGTACTTGTTGGCCCTAGGCGGGACGGGCGCTTACTTTCAACTCTTTTGAACAACGTTGAAGATGAAAGTTTTTTCAAAAAAAACAATAAGCCCTCCAGGTTGTAAGAATCCGTGTGTGTCTGACTCTGCTCCAACGAAAGCGATACGTCCAGGTTGATGTAAGAATCCTAGGAGCCAACCGCGGGCGTGAGGGATTTCGAACGGATTTGGAAAATTTTTGGTAAGAAATTCTTATCGTCCATGTGCGTCTGACTCTAATAACTAACAAGTAGGGCTTACACCCGTAAACTCTGCGCATATCGTCATCGTTATCGTCTGCTTCTGCTTCAGGGTCGTGGCGGGGGCAGAAGTATGAAGGTTGCCAACAGATACTATTGGGGCGACGGCATGGAGAGTAGATCAAGAAGGCCTGATGAATGATTTAGATTTTTACGCGAAGCGGACATTCAAGAGATCATGGCAAAAGCTTGTGAGAGGGACCGCAAACAGTCTAATTTACTTCAACGCCGTGGGAATTTTACCAGCTGGAAGATCGGTGTGAATCCCAAGCGACCTGTGTTGTCACTCATTTGAGTAGTTATTGTTATAGCGTCGTGCCCCTTCTTTTCAAACTACTTACTCCTCCCGACTACCCCTTCTGTTGCGTGCAAGCCACGATCCTAACCCCCTTGATATTTTCTGATTCCTGAAGTTTCTGGTGTGAAGATTTTCCACTTCTCTATATTCAAATTGTAGTTCTATTTCTACTTGTATATCTCATCATTAAGTTCTCCTTGTTGTGCAAAGGTCAACGTTTATGTTGTAGTCGTTCGTCACGACAATAGATATTTATACTAGAGCACTTCCTAAGATGGGTGATGGCTTGCATGGATTGCAATGCATTGCATGGATGGCATGGCCAGGCGGAGCGAAGGCGTGACCTTTTTAAAGGGGAAGCGCGCACTTCTCTGCTTGAACGCAGCGCCCCGCCGGACAAGGCCACAGGAGGGCCGTTGCCTTGCTTATCTTGTTGCGCTCTGCCCGCCCGCGGATAGGGGGGGCCGTTTCTCGTAGGGGTGAGGCCGCGCGGTTCGAGCTGGCTGCAGGGAGGACGCAGAGCCCCTGGCGCCTGGCCGCGTTGGAGATGCCAGGCAGCAAACTAGCTTAGACATTCGCAGCTAGATGGAAGCCGGGCCCCTAAGCAAGTGAATAATGGTCGATAGGCGTAAGCACTTAAGACGTTAGATTATGAAGTCCCCCATTGCCCCCCGGGATGGCATTGCCATGCTTGCGACCAGTGTGCTTACAGTATATCGATACTTAGCCTTTTTCGCTATGGGTTCGCGTTAGAAGTAACAGGAATTCGGTGGCTTTTGGCTTTCAGTCTCGCCTTGGTTTCCGGCTGGGTTTAAGTAGGCACGCAGCAAGTGCGCTAGTTTTCCTGCGTGCACAGGCTGCGGCGCGTCTCTATGGTCCCCTGCGTTGCCGGCGTTGGGGAGGTGGTCTTTGGGGGGGTGTTCTGACTGTTACCTGCGTACGCTGCGCCCGGATGCGAATGCTTCGGAGTTGCTTGCGCCCAAGCTGTTGGAAGGTGAGACGCGACTACAGTAAGTGCGGACGATGGCGCCCGAAGGGCGCCCTGAAAAAAATCTTAGTTCTAAAGAATGCCATCCATTGCCATGCATGCAATCCATACCATGCATTTTAGAAATCCGGAAAAAGCGAAACTCTCTATTATACTTCGCTACGTCCTACTGGCTGATTTATTCTATAAGAAACCATGAATCAGGGATACTATGTCGATCTTGCTGCGGCACACATACGTCGAGCCATCCTATCGCAACACAATGACGCAAGTGGCGCTAGAGGTGCTGCAGCCGAAGTCGAACAAGAAGAACAGCCACAATTATTGGAAGACGAGTCGACCCCTGTGCCACCTCTGAAAAAATCGAGAAGCGTTGCCGGAAGAACATCATCTGGCATCAATGATATTGACAACCTCGACTTTACAAACGATGGTGCCCTACTCAAGTGGATGCTATCTTCTTCTTCGTCAACGCCAGGAACAGCCACATCCAAGACTACGCAAGACCTCCGCAAAACCTTGTACCGCTTCAAGCGATACGAGAAGTTGTTGCCCAGAGTGCAGGCAGTGATAGGGGTAGTAAAAAGCCAATATGTTACGTCTATCCTGGACGTGGCGAGTCAAAGAGGAGCGCTGCTGTTTCCACTGATCTTAAGGAAAGAAATAGAAGTTCCTGCTTTTCAAGATCTTGCTGGTGAAATGATGATCTTGTTGAGTTATACATTGGACAACTTCTTAACATGATGCTTCCTTGTCGTGATGTTTTGTTATTAAGTTAAAAAAGCGATTCGTCCTATTCATTGAATTCTCCTTGTATAAGTAGGAAGGATTCATCAGAAAAAGACTTCTGCTTCCCCTAGAGTTGCTAATAACCGCCTCCACCGATATTCAATCTTCAGTGGAACGAGTGGTGTCGATTGACATTGAGCCTGCAATCATCCAGTTCCTCAAAACGATCGAATCCAGTACTACCTGTCGAAATCTGGCATTCGAGGCTCGATTAGCAGACTTCACGGACTTGCGAAGAGATCTAGATTTAGATCTACCTTCAGCTTTGTCGAATTTGAATCATGTTGAACTTGATGAGGCGAGGATTGCTCATGCTGGTGGTCGGGTCCAGAACCGTAATGCGGAAATTTTCGCAGACGAGGCATTTGAATGTGTCATCTGTTCGGAAATCCTGGAGCATCTCACGTCTGACGGTATCCGTAAAGCTGCAAGGGAGGCCCTGCGTGTGACGTCGCGAATAGTTGTGTGTACAGTACCGGCCCAGCCGGATAGCAATCCAGAACACGTACAACTTTTCTACCATTAAGGCTTCAAGTAGGATGATCCATCTTCATCTGAAGCATCTTAGATGGACCCTTTTTCAAAGAAAAAAGTCCCAGAGCTAGAGGGCGCCTAATTCAAATAACTACAAAGAAGATCATACTTCTCTCTCAGAATAGCAATACAGAAAGAAAAAAACTGCACGGAACAAGAAGAGGATACGTAAGATTAAGAAGAAGGAATCTACTATAAACTACTACTTCTAACACTTCAAAAAGCCGCATGATATGTCGAAAATTACGCGCAGAGTCCAAGAAAACCAAGAAGACTTGGAGAAGTTGTGGCTCGATGCGGGCGCTTCAAGCGTCAAAATTCAATTCGTCCAAGACGCAGCTATTTCCGTGCTACTAGCGGTTATTCAAAAGTAGTCGTAGAAGCGATGAAGGCCAGGCTTCGATTTCAGCAAGACCGACGCACATGCCTACCTTTGGAAGACGTCGTTTTTGGCTCAAAGCGGAAGAGGAGGAGGAGGAGGGGTAAGTATGTCGCTCGCGTGGTGCTGATGCCACACATCATGGTTTTGGCTCTTAAATAAAGTGTCAGCATGGTGAGGAAGTCTCGTTCAACTTCAAAGAAATGTCAAAGACTTTGGCTGATCGCTACAGTTGCAGACTTTCTGCTTTGCATTGCTCATATGCTCGTGGGTTTAATCAATGTCGAAAATGACCTCTTCCTTGCTCGTGTTCTTGGTGACACACAGAAACGTGGACTTTCAAGAATTATATGCTTTGCTACTGTTCCACCAATTTCGTGCGAGATCACTCCTGATGTTGATCATATCGCATCGCTACGTCAGTAGAACGGTTGCTCGAGAGAAGAGGCACAAAAGAGAGTACACTAGTACGAGACCATCCTGTCCCAGATTTTTGTAATCCAAGCAGAAACTGCTCCGGGCACTGTTGTCAAAACATTCGCCTTCATTCTTGCATGCCTGCTACATAACTGCCACTCTTTTTTCTGACAGGCCTTCATTCTGCTTTCACTTGTAGAACAGACTCGGAGATCGAAGACAAGCATCCCTTCCTGTAACCGCAACTGTTAACTACGGACTCCGTTGTGTCGAATTTGATAGTGCTTTTCCAGCAGATACTCCACCAAGCAACGCTACAGTTTCACAATTACCCCTGAACTTCAATCAACGATCAGCATGCATCAACACACAATCTCTCGCGCCCCGCACGCCAGAGCAGCAGACTTTTTTAGCCCCGTTGCTGGAGTTTCTCAACCCTGACTTTTCTTCTAAATCGATGGAACAACAAATATATATGCAGATGTGCTTCCCTTGCTTGGTTGCTCACTGCAGGAGTGCCTCTTCACAAACTCCTTGAAGATGAACGCTAAATAAAAGAAACCACAAAGTAGATGCTGAAGTTTATACATGTACTGTTCAAAGTCAAAACTGTGCAAGCCCTGTGATTTCACAAATAACCACGATGCCGCGTTTAATCTTCTTCATTAGAAACGAAAGGAAATACTTCGCCGCCAAAGATACTCCTTGCCTTTGCTAACTGCGGAGAGTCTTTTTCAGCCTCTGCTTGGCTCAAATCGATGTAGTACCGCGCGATGTGTCTTCTCCTTAGAGCTCTTTGAGATAAAAATTCATTTGCTTCGAAGTTCTAGATCTAGTTCACTCTCTCAGAATCCCTCCATATGTCCTTTTAGCTGCACGTGAAGAGAGAAAACGCCAAACCTACGTGTAAGTGAGTGAAAGAAAATGAATTATCTTGAGCCTTAACCGGCGTGGCCCGGTGTTTCGCATACCTCTTTTTGGTCGCCGGCAATGCATTGCCGCGTCTTCGAGCTTGTAAACGTAGAACATCGTTCGACCACGCGAGCAAGACGTGGCGTGCCCATCTCGAAACCAGTAGTCCAGCTCAATTCGCGGTATGATCCAAACGCCACGCAGTGAGTTTCTTGACTGCTGCTCTGCATAATCACAACATGCTTTCCCGCCATCGTATTCGCGGAAATGATACACGACTAGAAAATCCGGAAGGTCGCACTCGAACATGGGCATCTGTACGCCGCTGCCCCCATATTTTGAGAGACTCACGACCAGACTTGCCTCGTGACGCGGCGTTGGCGAGGCAACACGGTGCAGCACGGTCTTGTTGCTGCCTACAATCCGAAAGATGTTGCGCAAGTACCCGGTTCGCCGGGAGGCTGTCAGACGAAGCCCACAGCGCTGATACACCCTCTCGTCCAACTCCCGCAGAGCGCGAAAAACAAGACGATCACGACCGTGGTGCACGATTTTCTCGTAGATGGCGGTAGGGTGCTGAGCCTTCTCTACACTCCACAACGAGCGAAGATACGCCACGACCTGCTCCAATGTGCGCTCGCTCTCCATCGGAACGCCCAAAAGAATTCGATACGGGTCTGACGCACAGATGTGCTCCCGGCAGCCGTCGTCTCGCGTGAAGACAGAAAAAGTCACGCGCCTATTCGTGGCACAATCAGCCCCCGTCGAACTAGTAGCAGATCCACGATCAGTTCCACCATGGTCCAGCGGAGCGCGCATTGGTTCGGCAGCCGCCACGTGAGTTGAAGGGGTGCTGGTGCATTCAACAGACGAATAACCAACGAACAAGGTCGGGCTCCATTCTTCAGCATCGGGTTCCAGTTTCAGAAACGCGTCAGAATTGCGCACATTCGCTCGAAAAAACCGTCGTCCCCGCGCCGTGTGCCTCGGTCTCCTCTTCTGCAGGTACAGCGACAGCGGGAGCCATTTGTCAGAGGGGCCGCTCCTGTAACGCCACAGAAGACGAGCCCGTGTAATACTCGGCGCTCGACTGAACTCGAGTTCTGGGTCATTCTGCTGCAGTAGCAATGTGAAGGTATCAACTAGTGCTTCTTCCTCCTCCGCCCTCCTCAAAGCCGCATGCTGCCGTTCCACGTCCGCGAGGTACGGCGCATCATGCCAGGTTCGCCCTGGTGCAGTAGAATATTCCGCGATATTTGCGTCCGAACTGCCCAAAAAATCACGAATCCCCTGGTACTCAGAGCGGTACACCTGGCTGAGTTGAAGCGGAATCTCCGCTGGGACGTTTCCTGCACTCCTGGCCGCAAGCCAGTCTTTCCAGCTCCTAATCTTCATCGAGCGCGCGTACTCCCGCGCTTGCTCAAAGGGCCAAAATTGCCGCCGCTTGCGCCTTCTGCGCAGATCGACACCCAGAAAGTCACCGTAGCCCTGGAATTCCTCACTGTAAAACACATGCGGAGTCGAGGGACAATAGGATGGCCGGGCAGAACTCGCGGCCCAACAATGAAACTCCTGGCAACTCTGCAAGTCGAGTGTTCGCACGTACCTCCGCGCTTCGTCGAACGACATGAAGCCATCACGCAAAGCCGGACTCCCGAGCCTTGTTGAAGACTCAACCCACTCGCCAGACGTGTGTCGTGCGCGCTGCTCTGACGAGTAGCAGCGACTTGGAATACACTGAGGAGCGCTTCGTGAAATCTGAAACGCAGCGGGTCCTGGTAAAAAATTCATCTCAGCCAGCATTGTCGTCTGCAACTTAGAAGGCTCCTTAAGCTGGTTTGTTGCCGTAAAAATAAAGCAATGTTTCCGTCTCTCCGACATCCAACATTGGTGTTGCCGAGCGCGTCGTCGTCTCACAGCACCAGGTCTGCATAGAAGTGTCCCAACCGTCCCGTGCAACTGTTTTGCGCTGGCTCTACTCGCTCTCATCATTTTGACAAAGGGCCCACAAGGAGATCAATGCTTCAACTTCATCACACGCTAATATTAGACCCGCGGCTTTGTCTTTCTCTTTATTTTGAGTGAAGGGATTGAAACGAGGGAAAAGTTCGTCGGTTGAGTGTGCTCACAGTTTTGTGTTGAAAAATACAAGTAGAAATTGAAACCCTGCAACTGCAAAGGACACCATGATGATCAGCCACCCCTTCGTCCGACGTTTTTACTTTTTCGTTTTCCTATTAAGCCAGCTTAGCAGTTGTCACTCAAGGGTAGTAATACCACGGATTCCCCAATCTAGCGCAATTGCTTACGTCTCGTGTTCTGTCGTGTGCCTCCACTTCTCGTTGACATTCTCTCTGCCCGTGCCCGCGCTTTCGTGGTTTTCTAGTTCCTTCCTGAACCAAACTCTAATGAGGCTAGTACAATCGTAATGCGAATGGGACGTAGCGAACGTTTCAGGGAAAAATATCACTCAAAACAAATTTCCCACTGAACGCCGAAGATTGCCTTTTTCGGTTCCCATCAAGATTTCGTGGAAAGAGAGACGAGCCTAAATCCTAAGATCATAGTGAACCAGTGACATGTTCGTCGTGGATGTTTTCAGCTCCTGTACATGAGTAGTAAGTCGCTCCTTATTCTTATTGAGGTCTTTTACAAGATAGATCATCATCATGGTGTGTCAAATGGTCATTCTCTACAAGAGTCATGTTGTGTCATGTTGTAGTTGTTATTATACTTAGGGTGACTCCTCGGAGCCTCCCTCTTGTGTTGTTTAGATGGTCTCATATGGCGTATGCGTGGCTTTGGTCTCAGACCGAGTACAATTGCTCCATCTGATCACGTCGTCTTTTTGGAGCATCCGATGCTTCACTTGATAAAAATCATTATATCAACTATCTCTGTCCTCTAGTCAGTCGGATATGTTGTAATTCTACTTTTGCTCAGGTGAAGGGATATCACCGCGCCGGGAGTCCCACTGCCACCACCTCCGGTCCTTCGCATCAAGGATCATTATAGGGTTGCTGCTGGCGCTGTAACTACCTGCTCTTACTGCTCTGGCGATTTGGGTGGTAGTAGTTGCAGACTTTTTCTATACATCGCGCTGTCTGTGTCTTGATTTCGATCATGACTACACTCAGACTCTGACTCTACGACGGGTGCTAGGAACGGCACTATCAGGGGCATACGCATGACATTCTAAAAATTGATTATCATATAAATGCTACTAATTGATTCATTGTGGCGATAATGATGATCTTCGTAATAACGTTCTTGAACTTGGTGGCATTTTTCATCTTCATCTGGGTGCTGTTCAATCGAAGATCGAGTGATTGTCAATCTGATTAGCTGTAGATTCATCATAGAGTCAAGGAATAGATAAAAATTAATACTTTACTAGATTCAACATTGATGAAGTGACGGACACGATCTACCCCAACAATATTTTTCGATTACTTTTCATTATTGTACTACAACAAGAAATAGAACTACAAGTATTCATACACTGACGATAACGGACCTATTTGAGTGTGCAACTCCAAGTATTCATGTTAACAACCAATATCAAGAACATATGGATGAAAATGAATTTTTACGCAGTGGATGTTGTACTACTTCTAGGTCTTTCTGACCCTGTCTCGCGACTTAGATTTAGTAGTAGAACTATCGACGAAGCAGAGTCTCTAAATTGAAAAGCTATGTATTCTTGGTATTCTACACATTTGGAAAATCAAAATACAACCGACTTTTCAATTTTGTCAGAGCTCACTCCACACACGATTTTTTCCCAGAGCGCGCACTCACTCTTTTCTCCCAACCACTAGACGCAAACCACCTCCCGCACCTGACTTTTCCTTCTACAAACACCAGAACGAGCTGCCGCCCTAGTGCTTTTTTCTGTTCGTGCCGGTGCTCCAATCCGCATATTTGCTTACAACTGCACCGGTCTTTTTCCTTGAGTTTTTCCATTTTCTTGCTGTTCCAAACAAATTTTCAATGCTATCGTTATCTAATCTTCTCACCCTTTATCTTCTCCATTCTTGTTACAACGGTGGTGGCACTCTGGGTCTTAGAACGTGTTCTTGGTAGTATTGCGTCAGTTTCTGCGCTGCCACGGCCAATGCTGGCACCACTGCCTTTTCCACGACTGGCTTCAACACTGTGGCCAAAGGTTTGAGGACTGGTTGCACGACCAATGTATTCGCCAAATATACTGAGGAACCGAAGGCACCTACCATGGGCAACAAGGGTTCGGCACCCACCGCATGCACGACCTCCGTAGTCGTGGTTGCTCCGTATAAAGCCATTTTTCCGATCTGGTACATGGTAAACGCTCCGCCAGCAACGGCACCTACTCCGGTGAATAAACCCTGAGAAGCAAGTAAGTAGCCATCGTGAATGATGGCAATCGGCGTGGAATTCAAGCTCCAGGCTGAGTAAGCCACCGCGCCCAAGCTGGCGGCGACTGTAGTCTCGACTCTGCGAATTGCATTATTTTTCTGTGCCAGCACTTGGTCGTAGAGACAGAAAGACTGCAAAAACAGCCTCAGAAAATCCATGTCGGCGTTAGAGCTAGAAGAAACACATCTGGTAGATGAGCATCTTTTCTTGGTGCCTCTTTTGTTCCTTTCACAAACAGGAAGGCCAAGATGCTGGCAAAGATGGATAGACTTCTTCTACGAGCCTTAACAGCGGGATTGTTTTCACCTTCTTCCTTGCCTTCTCCACCACGACGGCCATCTCCATCGATAGCATTCCCACATAGTACAGGTGCTAGGTTAACGAAGGCAGTCTCGTCATCTTGAATCTCCATGCAACCGCATATGTCTCCCTCAGGTGGGTTAATCATCAGACTTGGATGCCAAGGACGGAAGAGCTGTAGTTGAATAGATTGGATTTTGTTTTTGCAGATTTATTCGTTTATTATAATATATTATAAATATCAATTATTTCAGGAGCAGCAGAAGCAGCAGAACTTTTCACTTCTTCTAGCTAGTATGTAAGTACTTAGTAGTACACATTTATTCTTCGCAGAAGAACGGAAGATCGCGAAGATGAACTAGGTCTATCGCCTCGTGGTCCTATAATTTTGTATAGCTATCAGATATTATATATAAATATCTTTTCAAGAGCATTACCTTGAACATCCTTCTTCCGGCTGCGAACCTTTTTCCGACATTGCTTCCCTCTAACAAGCCAGCGAATTCATCGTGGACGAGGTCAGCTCTCAGCAGGGCCATCATATGACTATGATTGAACATCTCTGCTTGACCTCCGTAGTTATTAGAAAGGAGCTGCATGATAATAGTAGTGGAAGTAGAAGCAATAGCAGTGGAAGTAGAAGTAATAGTAGTATTGTCAGAGAAGGAGCGTTGTTGAGTTTGGGATTAAAGAGGATGGTGGGATTTTTGTGCCATGTAAAAAGGCTATTTTTTGAGGTTAACGGAAAGCGGTTCACGTCGTGCTATATAAGGGGTTGCTCTATGTAAGGGGTTCTCGTGTTATATAGGGGGGTTCTCGTGCTATATAAGGGGTTGCTCTACCTCTAAAGGGCTGAAGATTGCGTCAATACACTGCTTTTTACAGTATTGCACTATTTATTATGTAAGTCAGCGAAGTGTGGGGAAAAAAAAACAAAAAAATAATCTATCACAGGGTGGATCACGTTCCTTTGGATCTATTCATTGATGTGTCTTGCCTGGGAATACAATTTATATGTCCGCACTGTTCATCTTGATCTTGATCTATCTTGCTTGGGAATACAGTCATGTCAATGCACAATGAATGTTTGTCAGTGTGAATGTAGTCGTAGAAGCCTTAATCTTATTGTTCTGGTAAATTCTGTAGGTGCTAGCTCCATTCTTCTTCTCCGGCTTAAAATCAATCTTCGCGTGGAGGTAAAATTTGCGAAAGCTAGACCCGGAAGTTGCGGCCGCTGTTGAAGATGAAGTAGATGACGAAGAGGTAGTAGTAGTTCGTCTTTTCTTCATTGGAGGTGCACCACTGCTTTCAGCAGATTCATCTTTACCTTCTTCGCCTTCCTTCCCTGCTTTCTGCTGCTGCTCTTCGAGCCACTTCTTCAAGAACAGTGGCATGTTCTCAGACGCTTCGGGTTCCTGGCCTTTGTAAGAGCGTATCGGCAGCCACACGTAAGTCGAGTTCGTCTGGTCATAGGACGTAGGTCGACACATGATGCTGATGACTTCCTGGGTCTCATGGTCTCGAACGAAGACTCCCAACCCATAAAAGTCTCCCTCGATGTCGTACATGACGCGGCCGCCTATTTTAGAACTACTCACGGACACCCCAATGCCAATCCATCTCATTTAGTAGACACACCATCTCATTTAGACACATGCATGTTGCTGGGTGCCGTTTCATTCTTGCCCAGTTCCTGGAAACAAACTCCAGCATGATTCATCAGGGACGAGGTGTCTCTCAAGATGGATTACTTGGTCGTGTGAGGCTTAATTTTGGCATCCGTGAACGAAAAGCGGCGTCTTGAGTCCAGGGATGTGGGAATACCAGGAATGCCACGCGTTGTGGAAGAACTCTGGCTGGTGGAACTTGAGGAGCTAGCTGATCCAATGCAACCAATATTTGTGTCTTAGAAAAGAAGTCGGTAAAATTCTAGAACAATTTTTTTCGGACTAGTGCTCTAGGAGTAAGACATGTCTATCAGATTGATAGATCATGATTCTTCAATTCTAGTAGGTAAAAGTATCTGAGTCTGTATGTATTTAAGAAAATCTTCAGGACGACAGATCCAAAGAAAATAGGGCATGGCAGTTCGACTCTGAAGACGGACCTGATGAGAATCTTCTACTTCTTTAGAAGTTCATCAAGGTCTTTCCTTCTTTCATGGTCAAATTCAACCTAGAAGTAGTACAAGCATCTATTTGTACCTGCAGCTACAACATATCGACATCCGACTCAGGAGCCATAATTGTTCAAAGCGGTCTTGTGATGCTGAAGCTTGAAAGGGTGCGAATTGGCGTAGTTGAACCTTGCGCGTTTTTCGAACGGACGCATGCACGTGTCCAAAGCCGTTTGTTCCCAAGATTAGAAATTTTTTTAGAATTAATTCTGGGAACAAACAGCTTTGGACACGACTACCTTAATGTTCATTCTTCTTGTAGTTGTCAGCAAGTTACTGGAAAATAAGCTGTAAAGAGAGAGCCTCAATGAGAAGCTGTTCATTGTTCTTATGAATGTTTATTCTTCTTACTAGAAGTAGAACTACACAATGGAAGGCAAAAGCTACTTATTTTAAGTACAACTTAATGGGTTTAGTTACATCAACTGCTCTGTCTAACGGTACAAATAATGCTACCAACCCAGCGTAAATACGACCTAGATAGAGCTGCTACCATGTAAAGAGAGAAATCCCTCGTCTACTCAGTAGTACAAGTTGCTCTCAGTAGTGCAAGGACAAGCTGAAGTCAGCAACCTGTACTATCATCATCATCATGCTCATGTTCGACGGAGAATTACTAGGCATTTACTTATTGTTATTTTTTTTTTGAAGATAAAATCATGTTGGATCTTTTACTTTTAACTTACTACCGATGAATCCAAGCAATGCATTTGATCCATAAGGGTGATCCTTGGCATGGTCTAGGACAGGATTCGCGAAAACCTCATCGTGTTCGTGACCGGCGACGGCTGGAACGATAGTTAGAGCAGCCGCATCATCTTGCTTTAATCTTCCTTTTTGAGCAGAGTAATGCTATTTTGTTACCCGTGGAGGGAGGTGAGCCGATACAGCTTTGCATGGTGGGATAGACCTCGGAGTTGAGGAAAATATAAAACTACGGTCATTTTTCCTTTATGTGTCTGAGCACCCAGAGTAATACTATTTTTTTACCCGTGCAGGAGAGGTGCACAGTTCCTTACTTACTACCTCCTTTGGTTGTGGAAAAGGGCTTTATTGAGGCGGGTACTATTGATATAATATTTACCTCCCTCTGTGAGCACCAGGGTAATACTATTACGAGCCTCTTTCTCTTTGCGGAGTGGGCGTCTCACATTTAGTAGAGGCGAAATGCCCTGCCTGGTGTTGAGGTGCAACGACATGGCAAGGCATTACAATAATGATAAGGATGAAAATGTATGTCGAAGTAAATAAGGCGTCCATGAGTTGTCTTTGACTTTTTACCCGGCGTTGCCCCCCAGGGAGCGCGCACTTCGCGTACTCGTATTTGGATCTCAATAAAGCAAGCTTTGAATTCCACATTAGTTTCTCCTTGTTGAAGAAAACGCTTTAGCAGTAGCCTTAAGATAGGTGGAGATCTTGATCCCCCTGAAGCCTGCTTCTCCTTGGGACCCTTCTTCGTTGACACTGCGGAACTGCCAGCCGTGCCTTTCTTTGAAGCTTTAGCCATCTTCTTTTTCACCATTTTGAAGTAGTCGTTAAAGGTAAACGTGGAGTGTGTCTATATTTCAAAATCAAAGGGGTACTAGGTACTGAGTTGTTGTGACTTGTGAAGTACTTACAGTAAGAAGACCCTAAAGATAAATACCTTGAGATGAATCGGTCGACGAGTTGTTGTACAACGTCCAAATATTAGACAACACATCAAAACAACCGTTCTACAACCTAGTACAACACAACAAATGATTACTAGGTCGGTAGTTTGTTACTGTGCACTACAAAAAAATTGGGAAGCCTGTGCGTTGGGTTCTAGCTTGATTTTCTTATTCTTTTACCAAAAAAAAATTGAAGAAAGCTCTAAAAACGCACTAGAACAATGAATAATTGATGAAAATAGTATCTCACTCTCATGATGAACAGAATTTATTCTCAACAGACACGAAGAAGAGGATTTTACCCAAAAGTAGCTCATTCTCTCGAACAGAACTCTCATGAAAAACAGAACTCTCATAATAGACTGTGCTCATCACAGTTTCTCTTTCTCTAATGTTCGGATCTGGCATGATCTTGTTACCCTCAACAGACACTAGCCTCGCAACAACAGATACTGCGCTCAAAAGAGGCCATGCATCGCTCATCCGACTAAGGCCAAAGAGCTGTGGACGAGGGCATCAAACAAGAGCTTCGCTGCTACCGAAGAGTCTTCTACTACGTACTACCTACCCAACATAAAAAGTTGGCACTCATCGCTTACAAACTCATCAGAGGACATCTGCAACTAGCTTGCTCATAAAACGTGGCCAGCAGTAGTAGCAGTAGCAGTAGCAAGAGGAGTAGGAGCAGGAGCAGGAGCAGGAGTAGGAGTAGGAGCAGTAGCAAGAGGAGTAGGAGCAGTAGCAGTAGCAGGAGTAGGAGCAGTAGCAGTAGCAAGAGGAGTAGGAGCAGTAGCAGTAGCAGGAGCAGTAGCAAGAGGAGTAGGAGCAGGAGCAGTAGCAGGAGTAGGAGCAGGAGCAGGAGGAGGAGCAGGAGCAGGAGCAGGAGCAGGAGGAGGAGTAGGAGTAGGAGTAGGAGTAGGAGTAGGAGTAGGAGTAGGAGTAGGAGTAGGAGTAGGAGTAGGAGTAGGAGTAGGAGTAGGAGCAGGAGCAGGAGCAGGAGCAGTAGCAGGAGCAGGAGCAGGAGCAGGAGCAGGAGCAGGAGCAGGAGCAGGAGCAGGAGCAGGAGCAGGAGCAGGAGCAGGAGCAGGAGCAGGAGCAGGAGCAGGAGCAGGAGCAGGAGCAGGAGGAGGAGTAGGAGCAGGAGCAGGAGCAGGAGCAGGAGCAGGAGCAGGAGCAGGAGTAGGAGTAGGAGTAGGAGTAGGAGTAGGACTAGGAGTAGGACTAAGAGTAGGACTAGGAGTAGGACGAGGAGTAGGACTAGGAGTAGGAGGAGGAGTAGGAGTAGGAGTAGGAGTAGGAGTAGGAGTAGGAGCAGGAGCAGGAGCAGGAGCAGGAGCAGGAGCAGGAGCAGGAGCAGGAGGAGGAGGAGGAGGAGGAGTAGGAGTAGGAGTAGGAGTAGGAGTAGGAGTAGGAGTAGGAGTAGGAGTAGGAGTAGGAGTAGGAGTAGGACTAGGAGTAGGACTAGGAGTAGGAGTAGGACTAGGAGTAGGACTAGGACTAGGAGTAGTAGCAGCAGGAGTCGGGGCTGGAGTAGTAGCAGTAGCAGTAGTCGTCGTAGTAGTCGTCGTAGTAGTCGTCGTAGTAGTCGTCGTAGTAGTAGTAGGAGTGCAAGAAGTTAGATGACCTAAGCGCCATCCATTGCGTCGAGAATGAGACTATTATACTAGTTAGTAGTACACGGATCCTGGAGGCGGGTCTCTATCTTGTTGAGATAGATAGCACATCCTGGCACACTTTGCAAATGAAAAGCCTCTTGAGGATACTCCACAAGATGCCCTCTTTCCCCTTGAGGTTGTAAAGCCCCTAACCTTCTTAGGATGACGTCTCTGAAACTCTCTCCTAGGGTGGTTTCTCTGAAACTCCTAGGATGCGTGACTTCACTGAAAAAAATGGATTCAACTAACATTTTTACGATCCAAGCCTTATAGAGTGCCTCAACCCAGGCAGACTGCGTCAATAGATCGGTAGGAGTAGAAGTTTCCGAGTACACGACGCAGTTCCGCATCGAACTGGTTAAGATTAGAAGAGTGGTAGTAGTGTTACTGTTAGTAACGTTGTAACAATAGAAGCTGCGTTGTTAGCAGGTGGTTCTTGAACAGCCGCCTGCTCCTCAGCAGGTGGTTCTTTAACAGCCGCCTGCTCCTCAGCAGGTGGTTCTGTAACAGCCGCCTGCTCCTCAGCAGGTGGTTCTTTAACAGTCGCCTGCTCCTCAGCAGGTTGTTCTTTAACAGCCGCCTGCTCTTCAGGAGCAGGTGGTTCTCCACCACAACAAGAACTCATCTTTCTCAGAAAAGAGACTAAGCAATGAATTCTAGTGGAGAAAACAAACGACAAAGAGCAACTACGCACCCTATTGTTCATGAAAGAAGGGTAGTAGTGCTAGTAGTACTAGTGTGTCCGATCGTGGGGTATACAAAGTTTGACTAGAAGAGCCTTGACCTCCTAGGATGCCGCTTTTCTGTTCACTCTACTAGCTTGCTGCTATTTTGATTCATCATCACTCACATCGAAGTGGCTTCTTCTTTTTACTTCAGAGCGACAGTCTCTCTCTCTCTTCTCTGTGGTTGGTTTTACAGTTGCCAATTTTTCAGTCCTCGTCCTTCATTGTTCGAGGACGTCGCGTATTCGTGCCCTAGGCACGTCGTTACAACTAGAATAGCAAATTTTTCGATATTTTTGACGCACCAGCATGAGTGGGCCCAGAGAAAGCAAGTAACACCGGAGAGAAGAAGCCCGTCCTTTATTGCTCGACGTCGTTTAGTGTTATTCGTTCCACCTAGGCAGCATAAGTAGTACTACTAGAAGCCTCTTGGCGTCTCTTTCTTCTACGATGTCTCCTATTCGCAATATGATGTGCTGTCCACTACGTATCCTGTTCATCTCCTGTTCATCTGTTGCAGTATTTCACGTATGCAACAGCACAGCTCCGCGTTGTTGCTCTGTTCATCTAGTACGTGGAACATGTTGTGCCTGTGCGTCGCTGACGTAATAAGTTGCAGGGTGATGGTCGTTGTGTACGTGATCGATGTTATATCTATATCATTAATTTTGATCCTATTTAAATCGTGAACAGACAATATACACATACATAGTAATAAATTGCAATCTATTCGGTTTCGGCAAGGTGCCTAATATTTCCCTGAACGAACAAGAACAACTATCCTACACGCGTACTTCCATACATACACGCATACTTCTATAATGTATTTATATGTATACTCCTACGGAGCGAAATCCTGTGCGAGTCTCTGTACAATTGCGATGGCAAAAGCTATCGCCTCATGAAGATGCATTTAATCGAAACGCAATACACGAAATTCAGATGCGCAAGGTTTGCGACATAATTTGATTACGAGTTTCTTTTTGAAAAATGGCCGCTGATTTGATTGATGTACCTAGCATCTCTAATTAGTTGCAAGACTGTCCTATATTTCTTCTTCCCTTTGTTGCATTTTGATATTGATTCTCAGATATGATATGAATGCTGAACTAAGTACGCATGATCTTGTCGTCGTGAATCCCAATAAACAAGGTTCTTACATAAAAACCCATCTAACGTGTTCGGCGCCTTCAGGCAGTGCTCAAGGACTCAGAAACGACTCGTCTCCTCTCGTTATAGTCTCTATCGCTACCTCAGTTGGCAGAGCCATAATCGAGCATAGTTCTCCTCCGTTGGCAGAGACAGAGACATAATCTTCCAGAGGTGGCGACAAGTGAAGCTTCTGAAGTTTGAGCTTCACCTTTAGGAAATTTCATATGCACAACTTCTATCTTCACATAACTCGAAGCGGTGGAATCGTTGGGTTTAACAAACTAGCGAAGATATACTACATGGAGGATGATTTGCTATTAGTTTTTTGTCGGTCAGATAATTTGTAGATATTTCTTGTATCTACTTACAGTTACACGCAATTTCTATCTTCGTTCATGCTGTCCATCTAAAATTTTTCGAATTTTTTCTAGCCTTCCAAATGACCCCCGGCGGCCACGCTGAGTCGTGCACGCAACTCATGCTCTTTACTCTACTTGGTACAAAGAAATACAGATATCCTCACATGGATTCAAATGCTTAAGCTTATCGTGTACATGTTGTATAATATTAAAACTGCACTAGTACAGGAAGATGCCACTTATCTACCAATATTTACCTCTTAGCCACGACGTTCAAGGCCCCTTTTACATGATTTGTTCACCTTTACACTGTTACTAGACATACTATATTATAACTATCAACATCAAAATCTTACCCAGTGTGTGCCATGTTTTTTGTTTTTCCTAGTTCCTGACTTCACGGCCAGGCATGCGGCTTACTGCTCTGTCGACCCATAGTCGTCCTTCGTTGCTGCGGCACCCAATAAGGGCCATTGGCTTGGGCTTCCATTTTCGATCAAAACGACGGATTCAATTGGCACCGGGCTGATTGGTGTTTTCGAGAGGTTGTACTTGTATCAATCTTAATAAGTAATCTTTTTTCAAGAAATTGTTATTGTAGAAGTTGACGCTGTTGATCTTTGTTGTTGATCTTTAGTCCCCATAGTCTTAAATAAAATACCATTGGAGTAACATGCTGCTCAAGCCCGCTTTGCTGTGTTTCGTACTACTCTCAATACTCATGACGTCGGATTTGATGCTGAGTGAGAGAGTGAGAGAGTGTCTGCAGCATCGAGTTGGCTGTTGAGTAGCAGTATTCAAATTGAGAGTCATTGTCATACTTATACAGCTTTTATTTTTACACGTAACTCAATTTGTTTGCCAGATGATTCTGAGCGTCCAGTATACGGCTTTTTCAGCTGTACAGTCTGAGTGTGACAAAGTAGGAGGACAGGCGCATGAAAATCAACGCCGCCGCGTTGTTCATGTTGTGGGATGTCGTGGTAGTAGAGGCGGCCAGCATCAAAGTGGTATCATCATGATCTAGCAGCGCACGCTGCCCGTATGTGATCATCGTGCTGAGAGTCGTCTTATCAACAGCTATCATAGTGGGACTCGTCGCATTTCTTGTATCAGTAATTTTCCATGTTGGCGCTGATTCGTTCACTACAATAGAGGACGTCAGATTCGAGGAAGAAAAAGTGGGAACTTGCGTCACAGGTATATTCCAGAAGAAAAAGTACGAAGTAGACACAACTGCATCGACAAACGCCATGCACCCGACCACATCGTTATCAGCCATATCGTTCTCAGCCACATGGTTCTCATGTGCATCCCTCTCACGTGCATCCTTCTCGTGTGCATCCTTCTCGTGTGCAATGGGGTTCGGTTTGGTGGGCGAGGGCCTGATCATGCAATTAATCAGTGAGGGAACCAGAACGCCCTAACTGATAAAGTTAAGCCTTGCTTTCAGTAGTGTCATGCGTTTGCTCTGCTGCCAAGTGAGCTTATTGCCTTAGTATTTGGCACTACGTATATCAATGCGACACTTTGCTTCGTACTTGAATCATGTCCACGATCGTGAAGATCATATCGTGTCTGGCACATCAAACCACAAGATTTTTAGTATCTTCTAATCTCTTAAATCATACAAAGAGAATTATAAATAAGAGTACGTAGGAAAAAGATAAGAAAGAGCAACAATAGAAAAAGTGCGATACGAAGACTTCGTGGCAAGGTCTCCTCCGCGCGCGACAAGCAAAGGGAATCCGCTTGATTGATTGATTGACTGTTTGGTGTGCGACGTGGTGGCAGAAGCGTCCATCTTGAACCAGACACCATCTGCGAGGGGCATGCGTCGACCGAGCGTAGAAATCGTGCTGCGGATAAAAGTTTGTAGCGGAGGTAGAAGTAGGCGCGAGTTTGTTGATATAATCTACTTCAACGAAAAATTTGGTTGGCACTAGATCTTCTAGCTCTTGCAAAATCGAACTTGAGAGAAGGTTCAGAGCAACAGACATGATCAATGTTAATTAGTAGAAATGAAAATCTTCGAAGTCGATACTTTAAAAAAGTGGTACGATGTCTTTCGGCCCTCGTTCGCATCCTGAAACATACTCTCATCGAGAGCATCGCTGTCGCGAGCGACATTGTCAGAGGTCCCAACATTGGTGATATCTTGTTCCTCAGCGTCGCTACTAAGCGACACCATCATCTTTTTAGACGAGCCACGCGCACCCGCACGACGCCGAAAGAAGAAACGAAGCAGCAACAAAACAATTCCCGCTCCAGCCATGCCAAGAAGAACGATCGACATTCCGTCTTCGTTCATATTTTCCGCATCGTTAATAGCGTTCATATCGTTGATTGCGAGGCTTCGTCCTGGTGGTGGTAGGTGCGTTGGAAGTAGATGTCATCACGTTCAGACTTCTCCTGGAAGGTAACACTAATAACTGTAGAGTATTTCGCGTGAAGATGTCAATCGTTGTCTTCCCTTTCTAAGTAGACACATTTACATGATTCATAAGAAAATATAATCAGAATCTGAGTCAATCAGTAGCTCAAAATATAGATACAAATAGCAATATCGTAGGAAGTGAGTAGTTAGCATGAGTATCAGAACGACCTGAACCGCGTAGCTGCTTCTCCGCAGGCGCTAGGCCATTCGGGTTGCGTGTCTGCAAAGAAGTCGGCATCTCCAGCGCACGACTCTCGAAGAGAGCTGAAGGTTCCCCGGAGGCGGCCGCTGACTTTGCCAAAAGATTCTTCAACTGCGCGTTGAGATCCGTGATGTCTTTCTTGCTCACCGGAATGTTGTAGAGGGACACGCGCCATTTACGATCGGCACCAGAGACATTAATACCAACACCAAGTCGCGCAAATAAGTTGCGCCCGGTGTCCTTCCCAAATTCTTTCCAAGTCTTGGCGTCCTTCATCTTGGTGTTGGTCTTGGGGTTTCCGTCGGAGATTCTTCGCTTTCTCCCGGCGGGAACCAGTCTCCACGGATGGGTTTCTCGATGGGAGGACTCATCTTTCGTTGCCGAAAACTCAACGTTGTTAACTGTGTGCTCGAACGAGAGGATGTTCGTCTTCAACTTCTTCTTGTCCTTGTTCTTGCGAGACGAGGAGGGGATCGTCTCCGTCTTCTCAAAGTCATCTTCTACACGATCATTCACGTGAGATTTGTAGCGCACTTCTGGATTTAGTTGCGCACTTTCGTTGTTCAACAATGTGTAGCGGAGGTTGAAAACGAACTTCACGGCGGCTTTTATCACTTTATTCGTGGCGTCGTAATCGGTTAGAGCTACTAGTGACGCAGAGGGGTTGCTGATGTAGAAGGTGATGTCATCCGGCCGAATTAATATTTGTCCTCCATTATCGTTCCTCTGCCGCTGATTAGAAGGACTAGTAACACACTGCACCTGTTTGGCGTACTGTTGAAGTAGTCCACGAAGTTTAGAAGCCAGAGCATCATCCTGGACCTTGAGGGGTGTGGCAAGTTCGTCATCGGCAAGAAGAAGTGGCCAATACGTGTTAACATTTCTCAGCCATTTTTCTCCGAACCCATCAAATTTGGCACTATTAAGCTCTTCGAAGAGCTTCTGTTGCCACGACGTGAACAGCGTGCGCACCTCTTCTAGCTTCGTCTCGAAAGAGTTCTTCAGGAAGCCGCTCCCGAGTCCTCTCTTCTCTAACTGTTCCTTAGTAGTGCATGCTGCAGCGCTGAAGGGCTTTTTAGACGCATCTTCAGGTAGTTGAGTCGCGCACGAAAGTAGATGCCTGATGTCTAAGCGTAACTCATCTAATTCCGCCTTACAGCCCTGCAACGCGCTAGGGAACTCGTACAGGTTATCCGCATCTGTTATGCCGACGAGGTCTCTCTCCACAGGCAGAGAAACCGGGCGGTCTACTCCACCTCCACCACGACGCCACATCTTTCTCGGAGAATATGACAAACTATGGAGTTACGATACTAGAGAATTTGGACATGTAAGCTTTGAAGCAGAGAAAAGAGTGCAAAAGATCGAGCTAGAAGTGTAATCCTTGTTCTTCTAATTATATTCTTCTAGATACTTCTTCTATTCTAGATGTTAGACCTAGAGGTAAGGTTACCTGTGGCATCCAATACAGAAGTCCTCTTCATGTTGTAGACCTATGAACTTTTCTACACACCAAAATAGTCTTCATGTTTCTATCAGCGCACCAGTCGCGAACTTACTTGTGTGTACTTCTCCTTGTGTGCAAAAATTCTTGCGTCTCTATTTCTGCACAAAGAAAAATCCTGCTCGAGTAAACGATGCCATCACTCATGTCATTCTCGTGGATCGTTCTCTCCCCTCGTGAAAAATGGGTACAAAACTACAGTCTTACGTCGACGAAACGGAAAGTCTTCGAATGAAAGAGACGAACGACGTGATTCGACGGTGTTCGTAAAGCTTCTGGTGGTGCTGTACTATGTATTTATAAGTATCTATAACTTCTTGGAGAAGTACAACCTCCTCCTACTCGACGACTTTCTTGGAAGGCCAAAGCTTCTGCCGCTGTACGTGTACTCTAAGTATAACTTGTTCGATTGGACGAGCACGCATCAGCCGGAGAAAGCATAGAATGGATCCCAGTTCGACTACCACGACTACGACAACTACGACTACGACGACAAAGACTACTACTAAAAAGTAGGCGTAGTAGTAGTAGCGTGCCCATTCGTGGGGTATTGGAGACATTTTAATCAGCAGGTGGCCATTCTTCCTTCTTCTCAGATCATCTTCAACTAGAAGTATAATGCTAAGAGGACACGACACACCACCAGACAGAGTCAGCGACCCTAGGAAGCAGAGACACTGCGTAATCGTAGTCTCATAGGAACCAAGTTTTTTCATCTCAACTCTCACCCAGACCAAACTCAAGGTCAAGAAAGACAGAGATTCCTTCGTAATAATCTAACCTCCGAAGATTACTCTCGTTCTCCTCGAGACAGAATAATATTTTCAGTTTTTTCCTCTGCCTGCAGTCTACTTCATGCACTAAGAACTACCCGCAGAGGCGCACCTGTGTCCTCAAAGAACTCATACAATGATCGTTGGTCTTCCTTGGACCACTCTATTCGACCTTCGTCAAGCGACAAATTGTCACTGCGGTACCGTCACTCCACAGTCGTGTATTCAATACTGTCAGTGTCGTGTTCATCGAGTTTCTGTCTCTCTAGTAGCAGCAGGAGCGGGAGTGGTAAAAAATAATGATATGCGCGTTGTGCTGAACTAACAATAGGTCTTGCAGGTTCCTACTTCCCTATAACAATATAAACACATCCCTATCCAAAAAATTCCCATGTGTTCTTCAGATTATCTAGGACACTGCTTTCACGTCTACGAATAGACTTAGGTTTGGGTGGAAGGTACAACTTCTAGTAGACGTGTAAGCTTCTAGACGTGTACGGGAAATGTTGTTACATCACCCACAATCATGACGATGCGAATCTATTCGGCAGATTGCCTAAGATCTCCCTGATCACCTGCAATCACACTCATGGCTCCATAATCATGGCTCCTCCCCAACGATGGCGCTGTTGATGACTGAATTGCAATGTCATGAACCCGTTCATGGTAAAAAATAACGTTTGAATAGACTTAGACTGTAAATACTTCTAAATGTTGAAAACGTTTGAAAGAATAGATGTCTTCTTCTAACTATACCTATAGGACGAATACATATGTTGTTGTTGGAGATGTAAAAATATTAATTTTTATATAACTTATCCTTGAAAATATCAAAATCAAAATCCTCTCTGTACTAGTACTAGTAGAATTCAAACTAGTACACGGACTACACGTGGAAGATGGAAAAAGTCTGGACGTGGAAAACTACTGCCGCAAAGTGCTCCTTTCTTGTTGATACATACATGAGGCAGCCAGGAGGTCGAAATAAGAGCTCGCTGTTCTCATGTACAACATAAGAACTTGTTGTTCGGACCAGCGCGGATTGCCACGCACTTGGCGGAACCTAGAACGGCTGGTCTCTTGTTGTTGTTTCTAAGAGGTTGTACACGTACATCGTACAGGTACACCTACACGCACATGTAGGTGCTTCCTATCCATTTGCAACTAGTACTGCTTACACTTGATACCTAGTTGTGTCTACTTGTGTCTACTGCTCAATCAGAACCTGTAGGAGGACAGCGAGGTTCACTAAAGAGTTCCAACATAATTAATACCCTTGATAATTAGTGTTAGGGTCTACGGGTGTCTAGTACTGCTCGGTTATCTTTCTAAGAATGTCGGACTACGACACTGCTACTTCCAGATAACGAGCTATCCACAGGCCACTTGCTAGACCACTTGATTTGTTTGAGGAAAATTTTGCAAGACTTCATCAGTGGAAAAGACGGGTTTTCCGTTTGACGCTCAAATAAGCTTGAAAGCGAAGAACTCAGTGCTTGAACATGATCTAGATGTACACCTATCAAATCCTCTACTTACCTCAAGGACTCAAAAATACAACCTCTAAAGGAACAAGTGCACCAGGAGCTGCACCAACTACCGCATCCACTACAACCTTATTCGCGTTCAAAGACCCCTGCCGCGCCCATTCCCGTACCAATGCACATGGAGATGACTCCCAATTTCTTGTTTTGCCTCTTCAATTCCGGAAAAAGGGTAGCGCAGATACGCGCTCCAGTAGCGCCTAAGGGATGACCCAAAGCAATCGCGCCGCCCTGTAGTAGTAGTAGTAGTAGTAGTAGTTTACCCACTCGGCGGGTAACTTCAGCAAGAGGAAGAGGGGAAGGGGGAGTGTTATTGAACGATATTGTTCCTCTTGGAAATGGATAGAGTATAATAGGTACTGTCATAAGCATGCAGACCTTAGAATATCAAGAAATCTAGTGAGATGGTACAACTATCATAGATCATAATTGAGTAAAAAAGTTAGTACTGTAATGAAGATCATGGTGGATAGTAGAGTGCATTGAAATATTAGAAAAAAATAGTACCTTCCTCGGATTCAGCTTATCCTTATCCATTGAAACTACATTAGAAAAAAATACAGTACCTTCGGATTCAGCTTATCCATAGGGACTCCGAGTTTCTCCACGCAGTAGGTCGCCTGCGATGCAAAAGCTTCGTTGATCTCGAAAAACACATTAGAGGTAGTTGCGAGAGTCCTGCAATGCCATGAATCTCGCACAAAGTTCGGTGCAGACTGCCATAGGGGCGTCATAGAGATAGAGGCGTTTTTTGAATATAGATAGGGCGGGTGCTTGTGGTGCTTTTTGGATATTGAAGATAGGCAGGATGCTTCTGGTGCTTTGTGGATGTTGAGGATAGCGAGGAGGAGGACCCTTAGTTAAGAAGTTCTTGCACTTGCACTTGTCGTGCTTTTCTAATCATGTTGATCTTAATAGGGAGTTTGATGTGGAGGACCAGAGTGAGTGCTTAAGATTTATTAGTACCACGACCAACTTACACTTCTTGAAGGTTGGACGACGCCTAGTAATGCTTTTACATAGTCAATCTAGTAAGTCTTGTTCATGTTGCACTAGAACTGAAGTCCTACCTTGGATATTTGCTTCTAGCAGGATATATTTTCCTTCAAGTTGTAAAAAGATATTTGCTTGAATTTTCTCCTCTAGAGTTATTATCTTAAAAAGCACTTTGTTCTAGAGCAGTTATCTTAATGTCTTAATCTGTCCAGAGAAGTTAAGTATCTTAATGACATCACTTAGAACAAAGTTATTATTATTATTATTATTGCGCGCGCGACCCGATCGTCTCGCACGTGTTAAGTTATAGAAGTATCTTAATGTTGACACTTAGAACAAAGTTATAGAATTAAATCTTAAATAATGTGTCCAGGAGCATAATATCAATATCCTGAATGGTGAGACCGGCTTTGCTTAGGGCACTTGGAATAGCGACCGCTGGGCCGATGCCCATAATTTCGGGATCACACCCTTCGACAGAGAACGATACCAATTTTCCAATAATGGGAAGGCCCAACCTGGTAGTTAAAGTGATACTAGCATAGGATTCGATTTAGGATATATAAACCTGGTTTGGCATTGGATAGGATATGATTGTTTAAGTAGGATATGATTGTTTAAGCAAGGATTGGATAGGATATGATTGTTTAAGTAGGATAAAATTGGTGGGCAATATTAAAGTGACATATAATTTGTGAATGCTTAAAGTCGTGATAGGGTAGGAAAGGATAGGACAGGATAGGAGTGGGTCAACCTAAAAATATCGCAGGCGGACGACCACTGCGATATTTCTGAATCTCAATGTCAACATGTTATTCAACATGTTCAACAAAGAACTGAGAAGTACTCCTTTGCTTTTTTCCTGCTTGCTAGGAGCACCATAGCCGCACCATCCGTGGTTTGACTTGAATTGCCGGCAGTCGTGCAGCCTCCCTTCTGAAAAGCTGGACCTAATTTCGACAAGTCTTCTGGCTTAATCCCCTGGCGTGGCCTTCTATTAGACCTATGCTAGTTCATCTTGGGCGATCATTTAATCCTATCAAGATTCAGCCTCTCTAGTTTAGTCTAACTACTTGTTGGCATCTGTTTGAGCAGTCACACGGCTTGAGTATCTCCAGTACGGAACTATTTGATTGATTGATGTACCTATTCGCGAGGTAGAGGGGCTACCTAAGTGCATGAGGGAGGGGGGACTGTTCTTAGTTTTTTCCTTTCTTCACTTCCACCTTTCTAGTGCTGAAGATCAAGTAGATACTACTAGTACTGATCAACGATCTTCCTTAACTTCATCCTTGGTAACGATGACTTTTGTTTCGGTTCCCTTCTTCTTGTCCTTCAAGGTAGCTTCCACCGGGATAATCTCCTCATCGTACCAACCTATGTTTTTGATGATTATACATAGTAGAACGAAGTAGTACAAGTGCTGCATGAATAGATTTGAAGGCCTCTCACCACGCCGGCCTATTGGTACTAGAATGTTAAATAAAATGTAAATTGTCTAGCACGTGTATTGTACTCAAGTTTTTGATTGATGGCGCAACACCCTAGGTGTGGCTGTGAATGATTCCGATCCGGTATTTTTGGTAACCTGAGTTGGATCACAAACGAAAAGAACAAGAAGAGAACCCTTGTGATCAAATTCAGATTACCAAATACCGGAACCATTCACAGTCACACCTAGGGTGTTGTACCATCAAGATCAATCAAACACTTGAATAGTACACTAAGACTGTGAGTCAACCAGTGACACAGGTCACCCAGAGAATATACTGTCTAATCATGCTTAGATACACGTCAACTACACGTATCAAGCATCCTCAAGATTCCTGCATAGTCCCTTGTCATGATTCTCCGGTGTCTATTGTTACGTTATTGAGCGCTTTCATCAAGTGCTGGAGCAAAAGTACGACATTGACGTTTTTATTGATGGCGTGAATCTATTCGGCAAACTGCCTAGGATTTCCGCCCTGAAATCTTTTTATACAATTCCAGTTCTCTTGTACTTTATTGAAAAGGCTTTCAAAAAGTAGAACAAGTGGAGCAAAAGTACAACATTATAAGTACAAGAAGAACAACATAGTATTAGTAATTGTCATTGTATTTATACCATTTTCTTGTGCTTTGAGCGCTTTCAAGTGACTGTTGAGTGCGAGCTTGTCTTGCACTTCTCGACTAACGCCGTACTTTTTTGCCACATTCTCGGATGTGATACCCATAGGAATCAAACAGTTCTGTGCACCTTCATGATCGAAAATCTTCAGAATTAGAGCACTACCTACAAGGAAGGAGGAAAAGGAGAGAGAACAAGGAGAGAGGAGGAAAAGGAGAGAGGAGAAAAAGGAGAGAGGAGAACAGGGAGAGAGGAGGGAAAGGAGAGAGGAGGGAAAGGGAAGAGGAGGAAAAGGAGGAAAGAGGAAAGGAAGACGGGCAAGTATACTAGAGCAGTAGGTTTATTAGGTTGTAGCTACAGATATTTTATCTTCGAAGTAGTTGTAGTTCTAGAGGGGTTTCACCTTCAAAGTAGTTCTAGAGAAGGGAGGTGTGCAGGTCCAAGTTGTAAATGTGATTAAGTATTTACTTCACGACACACTTGTTTCAGGACACATGCTAAGGAACTACATGAACTAACAGTACAATCACCAGTTTTTGTTTTTGACAGTTTCTTGAAAATAACAACAAGTGTAAAAACTATCTAACAAATCACTGAAGAATGAGTAGCAACCCTCCTGAACTATCTAACAAACAGTACAACAAGAAGTCTTAACTCAGACAGCTTTCTCGGATCTATGGTATCCATCATGTTGTTCATGCTCATGCTCTCAACACCACCTGCGATGGCGATGTCGTAATGGCCAGCGTTAATAGCAGCGCTGACGTTGGCAATCGTCTGGAGCCCACTCGAACACTGTCGGTTCACTGCGACAGCCTAGAGGGAAAGGGAGACAGTGGACGGAAGAAAGTGGTAAAGGGAGAATGTGAAAAAAGGTCCTCATTCTGAATAAAAATCTTGTCAACCGTACAGAATTGAAAACCCTGTTGCACAGAGAGATATTACAGATACAGTTCTCATTCATATTCCATACTTTCAAGTAGCAAAGTATATTCCATTCCATGAAGTCCATCGCTGGCTAGCATACCAGCACCTAGACTATGCGATGCTCTGCACCCTCAGAAGAGAAGACACAAGACGCAACGTGAGAAAATCTATCAAAGAATATAAGTGATCCAAAAACCTGAAGAGTGAAGGGTTTATGGGCTTATAATCCGGGGTCCATTGCTTAAAGGTACTGTTTATTCTATTTCTATTTGAGAAGCAATTATTCCAGTATTAACAAAAGTACCGAAGTATTGCTTGGGTATTTGGCCATAAACTGCGCAATCCTGGCTGACATAGCGCCTGCACCCGCTTGGAGAACGTTGCCTTGTCTTAGAAGCGACCTGAAGCTTCTTGCACGTAGTCAGTGTTGTGTTGTGCCCTTGTTCTTGTACTAAATAAACGTGATACTTCCTCTTCCCGGACGACAGTGTACTAGTTCTTTAAAAATCATGCCCTTGTATCAAAATGTGACACTTCTTCCTCTTCCGGGAGAAAGATACGGATACCTGCACCCTAAACATCATATCATTATTCCCAAAATCTATTATGTTGCCATAAAATCTGAGCATCCTGGATCAATGCTGGATTTATATTCGTCTTCTTCACGATGCCTTCGTAGCAAGCAGCCAACAACTCCTCTGGAGGGGTGTCCTGAAATTGTCAGAAAATCAAATCTGTCAAAGGCCATCATACCTCGATAAGTTGATTAACTAAAAATCAACTTCAATTGATATAACTGCAGCAACTTCTTTAATATTCTGACAAATCCAGTATGATAGTTCATTCAATCCTTCCAGTACCTATGACATGTACCATCAAACAAAAGTACCTACATAAACGCAAACTCACTCCAGTGCCAAAAAACTTCAGTATCTATGGGTTATATCAAAGATCTCCTTGTTCGGTACTTGTACTCGGGCCAGTAGTTGATGGACAAGACAGGCTTTGTCATTGTGAGAGAGAAAAAACGTCCACTTTTTGAAAAGAGAGACAAGAAATGAGCGTAGTATGTATCTAAAAAACGAAAGCGCTTCTTCTTCATCTTACTTACATACTCGGACTAGCTCAATATTTGGAGCGTTGCCGCTCCTTACCCGTAGATCGAGAACTAGCAACGGAGATCGCAGGCAACAAGTAATATACTACATAAAAAAAAGTTGAGTACCTTAAAGCTTCCTTTTTTGCTTTTTCCAAGTGCTGTTCGGACTGCGCAACAGATCACGGCATCGGTGTCAGCCTTAACGCCAATTTTCGCGGATGCATGGCCGCCGGTCACCTGACCAGCCACTGCTTCAATACGATGCATGTTGATGTCTGGGCTCTAGATTATGATTACTTCAAAATTTCAGACTATACTTTAGAAAAAGGAGGTAGTGGCTCACTTTAGACGATTACTTTAGAAAGAAGGACGTAGATCGCGGGTGGAGCGTCTAAGAAAAGATCTGTTACTACTACGATCGGAGAGGAGAGGATAAGAAACGACTCGCCGTCCATAGGATGCCCTAAAAAAAATGCAGGTTGGAACTACCAGACTCAGAGTAAAAAAACTCTTCGGTCGTCAAAAGGGATCCCTTTTTCTCACTGTTGTACATTTTTGGTGCAACAGGAGTAGACACGTGACGCATACAATTGCTCGCTCTCGATCCCTCGCGATCTCTTCGTCTTAGTGACACACTTCAGTCTGAGGGAAGACTTGCTCAACATGTAACTAAACTTTCACAACAAAAAACACGATCCAGTATAGAACCTGCTTTCATTTCGTTTTACATAACAAATGATTCATTCCGGAAAAAAAGAAACAGGCATTACATTTGCATGCTTGTTCAGCTGTGAGTTAGGAAAAAAATTATGACTCTGTTCGTCAAAAAACGTCGCTTGATGCCTCATGGCGAATGAGCCTCTTTCTCGAAAAAAACCATTTCACTCTCAGAAAAAAAAAGCCTTGTTCTATAACGAAGGAAAACATAAGAACAACAACTTTAGCGGACTCACCGCTGATCGCTCGTTCTCTTACTCTGAGGCACTCCTGTCTCTCTTTATTTCCTCTACGTACTAGGGCTGAGTCTCTACTTACCATGAGATACTTTCTCTCTCTCTCTGTTCCCCTAGCGTTCTTGAGTCTCTACAGTACCACCGAGGTTCTAGGTTCACTGGCCTCGACCAAGTCAGGGCGCCACGTGCACTGACATCACGAGATTTATAGGGTAGATCTGTTCGGCGTCACAGGCCACTTCGAAGGGCGCGACTAGGTAGCGAGTCCACTGATTACTCACTCCTTGAGCCTTTATGTCCAGCAACACTTCCACCAGCTGACGAGTCACGATGCCCCCGACTAAGTTGATAGTGAAGAAGATTTAAGTACGTGAGCAAGAAGTGTTGATGAAGATGTTTGCGAATGGAACGTCGGCGCTTTCTCTCCATTTTTCGCTCTCTCTACTGTTTCTCTACCGCTGACCAATCAACATTGTGAGAGCATGCTGTCAATCACTTATTGTGGCCTCAAATGTGATCTTGTTGAATAAGTACAATCTATGACTTCTGGAATAGCAAAAGCTCAAGCTGATATTCTTCTTCTACTCTTAAATCTAATTGCCCTTCTGGTTGTGGTTACACGATATTATGATAGATAACAATGAAAACAGATGTTAATGATAGATTTCCCCTTGAATTTATGAACAATGATCTTTGACGACAACTTAAGAAGTATTACATTATTACGAGGACGTGGATCTAATTCTTCATGACGTGTTCAAGAAAGACAAACTTGCGTGCAATTGAATTCTATGATGGACAACAACGTTGCTGATAGTCGCTACTTACACTTAGACAAACTAGTACGCGCTCCCCAATTAGTACCACCTGAGTGAGTGAATGAATGCTCCTAGCGCGAGGTGGTGCAAGTAATGTTTTATATCATTGCTGATAAATTGTTTTATATCATTTCTCATAAATTGAAAATGCTCTTTCCTTGTTGTGCTAACGTCCTATTCAAATACAACGAACTACCACAAAGGAGCAAAACTTCTTTTATCACTAACAACTTGTAGACTCACTTCTTGATGCAACTTGTACACAACTCACTTCTTGATGCGACTTGTAGACTCACTTCTTGATGCAACTTGTAGACTACTTCCTTGAGGGCAACATTATTTCTGTTTCATTGTCTACGACCCTCCACTTTCAGCGGTCGCATCCACGACTCCATCACCCACGCAACTGGAGCAGCTCCGCGCGCAGCAGGTGTCCTGAACCCACGATTAGAAAGATGTAGTACAAGTTCTAGATCTAGTTCATATTTGAACTAGATCCAGTTTTAATAGATCTTCATATTTATAGATAGTTCATATTCTAGATCCAGTTAATAGATCTTCATATAGATCTAGGTTAGGTTGGTTAGGTTCTGGATCCTTCACATCGAGCGCTGCGTAGATGTTGTGGTTAAAAATTATATAAATATGTAGATCATGAACTTTTTACTTAATTATATGTGTCCTGAACCCACGACCAGAAAGATTTGTTCGGGTATTCATCTTCGTATTCCCGATAAGTGAGAAAAGGGAATAAGAAGATGAATACCCGAACAACGTTTTAACTACGTCATGAACAACTACCATCCACAAATTGCGTCTCAAATGGTCACTCTGTAATAATATTGTCAAGACGAAACAGTTCCTGAAAGGATCTGTAGCGGCACCTACACCATCCCAAAACGACGCTTCGTTTCTTGGTGAACTGACTGTAGTACTACAAGTACAGTGAAGACGCAAGAACTTCTTCTGTATTAGTAATAGAAGTTCTTGCGTCTTCACTGTAATAGTAATAGGCTATTCTCTCTTACTTAGCTGCCATTGTATAGTAGTATTAGTATCTTATCGATGGTTAGTGACGACCATTTGAGATGCACAGGTGATGGTAGTATCAGTAGTGTACCCACAAGTCGGGGGTATAAGTGCTTTATAATCCAGTAGAAGTTGCTGTTCACGTAAATCCGACGAGACTTCTCCGACACCTCCTGCAAGTTTTTGTAGGCTTTTGCCTTTTTGGCTTCGTCTTTGTACGACGCGGCGCCAGAGGCAAGAGCTTTGCGCTCCGTGTCTTAGAAGAAGTATCTCGAGGATATTAGGGATAGGCAGAGCTGTCTAGCGGATAGAATCGGGCAGGATAGGATAGAACAGAACAGGATGGGGATATGTTAGGAAAGGTAATTCCATAGCTTTCCAGCTTGGCGTATTCTTCCGGGAGCTTTCCTAAGTCCACCTCCGCCCCGCTTTTATGTTTATCCATCGCCGCATATTAGATGTCAAGCGTGCGTCTCTGATAGTGCTGTCCGTAGCAACCGTAGAACTATTTTTTTTTTTGCGTAGAAACTAGTTCTGATAGTGAGAAAAGTTTAGTCATAAACTAGAAGAAGATACTTCTAGCTCTTTCTGGGGAAATACAATTACACCGACCACCCAGAACAGTATCAGAAGTAAGTGTGAGTGTCTTCGTAGAAGTGGCACTTACTAGTTGTGCATGTACTAGTAGGATAGGATATGAGTTGGCTCAGTAGGATAGAAGGATAAGATAGTAGTACTAGTAGCTACAAAAAAAGGTTACGTCACAAGAACTCTAGCTCTTTCTGGGGAAGAGGTCTAGCTCTCTGTCTTTCAGTGTTTTCACCTGGGCAGCAGGAGTAGTGGGAATAGTTCTTTAGTAGTAGCAACTTAGTAGTGCTAGTCGTAGGAGGCCTTTCTGGGGACCCGAGGTCTAGCTCTTTGTCTTTCAGCTCCTGGGCAGCAGTAGTTCTTGGATTAAGAATACATAGTGTCGTACTAGTATTGGTCGACGTAGTAGTTGTAGTGGCTAGCAGTAGTAGTAGTAGTGTACCCATTCGTGGGGTATTACAGACAGCTTTAATTAGTTATGCATTTTCCCCTTCATTCCTCTATTCTTTTTCCTCTGCATTTTTCCAGATGAGAGCGGAGAAAGTCAGCCCTTTTTGATTGTTGTCTCAGTGTCATCGAGGTCTGACAAAGCTCAATTTGCCACTTCTGGCTACCGCTACAAAAAATGAAAATAAAATTCCTTTTACACCACTACAGATGTACACACAGCAGTAGGAGTAATAGTAGCAGGCAAAAAGGAGAAGTTACTAGTGGCCGACGCCCAACACTATCATGCAGATGATCGCTAAAAATGTTACATCTCTGTATCGGGTACCTCACAATATAGATACTTCGGGCTGACTCAGTCATTCATTCATTCATTTACCTAGCACGAGGTGGTGTTCCAGTATTTAATTGTGGTGCATTGGGTAGAGGGGGGGCTATTTTGTGGCTTTCTTCTGTTTGCATTTCCCTATGTGAGGATCTATCCATATAAGCTTTGACGCAGCCAACTCAGTGCTTGAATATGCTAGAGTGCACACCTAGTATCAAAAAGCTTACCTTCGGAGTATAGTCAAATAAAAACCTAAGGGTGGAGGACGGGTTTCTACTATTTATCATTTGAGCTAAGCCAACATGATGTCTGTTTAACATAAGCTTTGGCGATAAACATTAACTTCGGTTTTTTCAAGATGTTTGTTTCAATGTGAGAATGTCCATGTCTTCATAAAAGGTCTTCACGTTCTCCCCGCCACCGCAATAGTAAAGGCCCAAGTCTCGTATTAGAGGGTCATAGAGAACAACAACTTATAACTAAAAAAGTGAAGCATCTTCTACACTCCACGATAACGATAATTGTGTACTTACACTACTGGTACTACTCTGAGTGATACAATTTATTATTCGATAAACTGAAATAAGCAAGTAGCTGCCCTTCGAATAACTGAGAATAAACTGAAAGAAGAGCAGCGTACTGACTCTGTTATTTCATCTAGCTACTCGCATATTTTCACTTTTCGAATAGATCTTTCAAGAGGCACTTGAAGTGACTTCTAGAGACCTAGTAAATCATTGAGAAGGAGCTCCTCTGGTCATAATTTCAAGCCAATGTCACTGCATCGTGCGTATGGATAGTCGAATATACGTTTTTGCCGTTTCGTTTGCGTGTTCACCTTTCGAAAGCGGCGGCGAGTACCTTGCCCTTCCTTTTCCTCCAATTATATTAGACGACTTCCATTACTTTCAGCTCCATCCTAGAGGTGTTATTATTTATTAGGAGAAGGATAGCCGGTTATCCACATAGAATAGAGTAGAATGATAGATTTGAATGACAGAACTAAAATTCTCGAATAATAGAATGAATGTAGTACTATCAGTGCACGTCAAATGATTATCGTTATCCTCAATCATTGGTGTTAAGATGAAACTAGTTGTAGAAGTATATTTACTATACCATAATTACGACCTCCTAGGAATATGAATAGCCACGTTATCGGTTTTCGTCACTACCTTCATTGAGATTGAGGAGCCTCACAGTGTTCGTCGCGTTGTAGACAGTTCTTGAACTAGTGCGGTGCGTGCTGGGTGCATTGAGATAGAGATACAGAAAGATCGTGGGTAGTAGGGAGCGAACCCCATGAGGCTGAAAAAAAAGAGCCGCGCGCCAGGCGGGTCTAGCAGAGGGCTACGGACTGTTTGCGAAATTGAGTAGGGTCAGTCCGGTCGTGGGGGGGGAATGCCACATGCGCACGAGGGGACGGCGTTTCAAAATAAAGTGCGGGAAAGGACAGAGCAACGCATGGCTCGCCATTCGCTGAAGAAAATGGAAAGGGCACGCCGCAGAAGAAGAGGGATCCGGTGAAGAAAATGCAAAAGGATGGGGCACGTCTGTCGGCCCTGTTATTCTGTGGCGCAGCGCGCGCCTTCACCTTGGCCTTCGCTTTGCCTTTGGCCTTTGCCTTCCCCCCGCGGCCTTTTTTGCCCTTGGCTTTCCCTCCTTCCGCACCTCTTTCGCCTGGTGCTCCGTTTGCAGCAAGAACAGCGCCAGGAGGAGGCTCTCCTCCTTGACCCGCAACACCAGCAACAGCATCACTCGGGAAAGAGAGGCGGGCACTTCCTACAGACACCGGCGCAACAGCATCGAGGCGCTGGGGTGTGGTGGAAGAGGCGCGCCGCCTCTGCAAAGAGCCAGCAACCACAAGGCGCACACTGAACAGGCGCCCAATCAATAGCAGGTAGCACATTCCGGACGACAGGCACACGGCCCGCCCCATCGGTTGCCCATCTGTCAGACATGCGGCGGCAAGTGTTGCCAGTAGCATCGTCCAAATCGAACCAGCAGCCAGGCCCCAAGTCTCCACATGTGAGACACGCACGCAACCCATGACCACCTTGAAGGTGCGCCATCTTCTTCCTCTTGGTTGTTCTTCTATCTTTACCGTAAAAGCAGATAGAGAGAGACCAGGGAACCACGATAGGGCGCGGCCCTCTTGCAAGGTAGACCGGCGCGCACTCTGCTACGCTCTGCGTCTCTTGTCGATCATGATCCCAAAGCTGACAACTTCCACGGGAAAGCGGCGTGAGGTGATGACCAAAAGGCGCGACATGCCGAACACCATCAGGGAGAGGCGCTGGCAGTGAGTGCGAAGGAGTGCGCGCACTTTGCGGAGTTCCACGGTGAAGAGGTTGAAGAGAGGTGCCAACTTGTAAGGGGGTCGCAAAGGGGGAGGAGAAATCGTAAGGGGTGGCCTGCATCATAAGGGCAGGCTGTAAGGAGGGGCTTGTAAGGGTGTCATAAGGGTCCCAAAGGGTATCACAAGGGGGGGGGGCGTAAGGGTCATAAGGGTCTGCGTAACGGTTCAAAGGAGGTGGGTTTAAGGGGGGTAAGGGTGTTATAACGGTAAGACAAACATTGTTATTAATATATATTAATCATAGACATTTTCAAGGAGACATGTTGGGTCTTAAAATAAGTATTCAATATAGTTCATAAAGTGAGCTTTGCTTCTACAGCTACGGCAATGAGCGACGCCTTCGCTACCACAGAGATCACCTTTTTCACCATCTTGTCTGCTCGTTGTTCACAGGAGTGTAAACAGGAGTAGAGTCCTCCTTGCTGTATCTAGGATGTTAATGTTGTTTTTAATACAAGCAGCACAACTTGGACTTGTTCTCAGTGAGGAATAAACATCTACAAGCATGCAGGGATGTGCATTCAATGAAGAGAGTTAGAGGAGCAGAGAAAGAGCAGCTTACGTAAGTCCCTAGTTGTTGCTTCTAGGTGCTAGAAGTTGTCCAATGAGAAGTTGTCCTGAAGCCAAGAATCCATGAAAATAGTGTACTTGCTAGAGTCGTGTGGTGGACGAGGCGTCAGTCTTCAATTCAAGGTAGGGGGACGAGGAAGGAGCTGTAGCAGTGAAGAGAGGAGGACAGATGGAGGTGGACAGAAATTCTTTTTCTCCAACCGATCTGAGTCGATCTCTGAAAGCTTGCTTTTGTACCAAGAATCCTCGGCACCGATAAGTAGAAGTTCAAATTTACTTCCAGGATCATCTTCTTGCCTTCATTCTTTGTTGATCATCTGCGGAAGATAACTACAGCCGAGACCGAAATCGATAAGCTCCAATTTACATAAGAACAAGGTTCACTCGTTCTTGAACACCATCATCCCTTCAATATTGTTCTGAGTTTTTGTCGCTGTGAGTTGTGCTTTGGTAGTTGTCACACGGAGATGGATCATAATTAGGGTGGAACGAGGATTGGTTGTCACATCATCGTCTTGCTAGACGATGATCATTCATCTTGCCTTCGCCAAGACAATGCCGAAGATGATGTTGTCGAGCTACGACATCACAACTCGATCAATCGAAGAGGTCGAATTCCATGTCATCCTCCTCTTCCTCAACCTTCTCTTCCTTCTTCTCCTCAGCGGCACCAGCGGCATCACCGCCAGCTGCGGCACCGCCAGCAGCGGCACCGCCGCCGCCACCGCCGCCGCCACCGCATGCCTCGAGCTTCGGCAAACCTATTTTCAAGGAAATACTTGGTGGAGTAGATGGAGGAGTAGACGACGACAATAACTACAATAGTATTTCATTAGAAACTTATATATACACATAAAAACAAGTACATTCAAACACCTGCACCTAGTACTTTAACTTCTCTTACAAGCTCTTCTGAGCTTGCCCGGTCTAAGTAAATTGACTTGATGAAGCTGCATCATCCATAGATTTAATCAGTTCATACCAGCAGCGATGATCTCCTGGACGGTTTTTCCAGCCATCTTCTTCAAGACCAAGTCGATCATTTCCTGCTCGAATTCGAGACCACCAGAAGTGAAGATGGCCTTGATGCTGTCGGCCGTGACCTCGTCGCCCTTCATGGCAGACAAGAGGTACGCCGAGGTGTACTTCAAACCACCACCCATGACTTTTTGAACTAAAAAAAAAAACGGGCTACGGGTACGACTACCTTACTTATTTAGCGACAGCAGCGACTTTATTTTCCCGAGGCCTGTTTGAGGAGTGTTGTGAAGCTGAAGATTGTAGTTCAGTAAAAATCAGTGATCATATAGGAAAGGATAAGGATGTTCATCTTCTTTGATTCGTGAGTGGATTCTTTGCTCATGTCATAGGATCAGGGTGATCGTGTTCGTGTTAGGATCTATCTTCACGAAGCATAAGTAGATCAGGGCCACACATGATCTGCCATATGTGCATTTCCGTCTTCTGCTGCCATAGGCGTGCAATATCAATTTCGCTGGTTCATGTGTCTGTCCGGACGTCGTCTTATGCCACACTGAGACAAAGTCCCTTAGTCCATTGCGCAGGTCGCGTGTAGGAAGGCACACGAGTTTGCGTGGCAAGAAATAGATGTAGAAGTTGCCTCTTTGTTGTTCATCCACGACGCAAGAGCAAATAAACTTCTTCTGCTTGCTGATAATTTAATAAGCCTCATCATAATCCCCGTGGTCATGATAAAGAACCTGCGTTCTTGCCGACTTTGGGCTCCTAGGAACATACTTAAAACATACAAGGTGAAGGAATCATGTTTTTAGTACTTAGGTACTTGAGATTCGACACAAGAAATAAAGTGTTGATGGTGCGCGGTGGTTGAAAAACTTCCAGTAACCAGGATGAAGAGGATCTCATCACAAGTTAGCAATCAAAATCACCCTGCTCCTCCTTTCAAGTAATCTAATATGTTCATCGAGTCCTACTAGTCATTCCTTTCAGACACGGACTATTCTCGAGCTCGATCTCCAAGAAGTCATCACCAATATCTTGAGGCACACCTCTAAATGGCTAGATCTCACACCTCTACCTGCTTAGATGTCATCGATATCCATGTCCCTTTCTTGGCCAATGTCACTGCCAACACCATAGTTTTGCTGGAGTCGTGCCTCCCCATCCCCAGGTGTCAGCAACGCGCCTCCTCTATCTGACCTAGGCCCTACACTCTGAGCCACAGAAGGATTGTGCGGCACACGAAAGCCGGCACCGGGATAGATTAGAAGTGCTCTGCTAAAAGGATGAAATTTTCTATTCTTGTGGAGCCGTTGTTTCTCGTAATACGAGAGAGGTGAGCACTCAAGGTGCTGATAGTACGCCAGCTGCTCTGTACGGTGAAGATGTCAATTGCTGTAGCCGATGAAGGACGCTGATGTTAGTCGGTTCGAAATCTACTTAGAATGTTGAGTATCATGAGATGAATCGATTTCATAAAAATGATCCGTCTTGCATTGATAGCCCGTCCTCGATTGCAACACTGATGCCAGGTGCCGTTCCTCCTTCTTGCAAGGCTGCATGCAGATCCCGAATATCTTGATTGAATCTCCGCAACTTATCCTTCCAGACTTTGAGGCCTGACGTAGTTGCGAAGATGGGATAAGATTGGAAGCAAAGTAGACTACTAACCCTATGGTGCATGAAGTCTAGATGTAGTCCAGCAACTTGTTCTTCAGCTCCGTATCTGGGATAAGATAGGAAATCACCAACATCTCATTTCAGAACCTATGATCAAAAAATATCTTTTAATGTAATTATACCTGCCATCACGATGCTTGCCGGTGTTCGTGCTCCTGTGCCCTCCACCTCAAAGAGCCACTTTCTTGGCTTGTGCGTTATCGTGATGTAGTTTCTGAGGCCATTTTCTGCACAGTATTCTTGCGGATTAGAGCAGATCAACTAAATCGAATTTAGTTTACTTCATGATCATGACGCAATAACGAAATAATAACAGTTTGCTCTAATGGAGGTAACTTTGTTAACATTAACTCAATAACGAAATAATAATAAAGAGTCAACATTCTATTTAACATGATCCAACATCATAAGTATTGAGTCGCAGTGGAGGCAGGCCAGAGGGTCTCGGACTCTCAAGTGTCCTGTATCGTCTAATTCCAAAGTCTTGCTTGGATCTGCCGCAATTATACCCTTTTTCTGCTCCAGGGATGGGTGATGCTGGAGGAGGAGTGCGTAATTGGACGTAGGATAGGAGGGTGAGACGAGTGTAAGTGATAGGAAGTGTGACGAGTGTAAATCAACAGAGTGAAGTGATTCTCTTAAGAAGTCGCGGATAAGAGTGACAATTAAGAAGTGGTCTCGGATAGGAGTGAAGTGAGTCTCTTCGTTTGTTGTAATGATACGTCAGTGGGCTGGCGGAAAGAAGATCATGTTGTACAAGAGACCGAAGGCCAAGAACCCCAACGAACTACGACTACCTCCGAGAAGATGAATCAACTTGAACAAGCATCAGCATGTAATTGGTGATGTACACATTCTATTTCTAGTGTAACTAAGTAAGAAAGTAAGTACCTTAACATTATCGAATGATATTTCCGCTTCTGTCTTCATGCTGACAGTTCCTGTGGGGTTGTGTTTGGCGTGAAATCTAGCTGTATTCTTCACCGCAATGGCGTCCAACTTTAGTCGTTGTTGAGGTGCTAGTTTCACAATCTTGATGCCATTCTGTTTGGCATCCTCCTCCTCTGTCAAACTGTTATCTCGTCTTGGCACTGGCACGCATTGGTACTTGCGTTGTCTGTGAAGGGTCAGATGGGATTCAGATAACATGGATTGGGAGAGGAATAGGATCGATTATTTTGGAAAAAAAATGTGACAATATTAGAGCAGTGTAATTCTTTCATCGATCATCTATTTCTACCTCCGTCTCGACTCCTCTTCCACTAGCTTCAAGTCGAAATGCGTCACATCAATCGGATGCATGGTAGTATTTTCGACGTCTAGTGTGAACTTGACTTCACATTGCGGACAGCCTCCGACACACTCACAACCGCCATCCTTCTCCTCTATGGCGGAAATCGCGTAGGTCAATCCAAAATTGTCTATGGCATCCTCATTAGTGCGCTTCTCGTTTTCGTACGCTGTCGTGGGTGATGTGTGTGTTTGAAGAGTGGGTTGGGACGATAATGTTGCATTTGTTAGGGATGGAAAAAGTTCTCGAATTTTCGGACGAGATAGAACCACAATGAGACAAAGAATAAGAATTTTCCAAAGTATAGATTCTATAAAAATAGGATTTTTCCGAGAACAACAACAGTAGACTTGAACTGATGTCACATACAGAACATCTTCCTTAATACTATACTTTTTGTGGCGGAGCCAAGCTACCTAGGAAAGATAGAACTATGTATTCTGGTATGTGTATTTCCGAGAACAACATCAACAGTAGTGTGTTACAACTAAGTAGACTTAGTGCGACTTGTATCATCAGTAATACTATACTGGCATGTGTATTACCAAGTTTACTGCCCATGCTAGGTGGCACGAGAGCGATGTCGTACCCACCTCTTCCTCCGTCTCGGTCGACTGCATGGTCCTCTAGCGTGTCTCCAATTCCATTGCTCTCCAGAGGTATCAAGCCTAATCGATGCGCGATGAACTCATCGAACAAAACACTGCTGTTCTCGACAATATGAAAAAGGAGAGGGAGGGAGTTGGTGTAGTGGTAGTGGTGTTAAGAACCGAAGAGTGTTGTAAATATCTCGACAATATGAAAAGGAAGAGATAAGGGGGAGGTTCTCGACAATATAATGAAAAGGTTATTAAATATCATGTTTGTGGGTTAGTGGTGTTTTGAACCGAAGAAGACCAAGATCTTTCTATCTCTTCAAACAAAAAAATATATCACTATCTTTCTGGGTGGTGGTAGAAATGTATCTATATGAACCACTTTCATCCCATTGATGATGAAAGGACTAGTCCATGGTATACATAACTTCAATTATAAATAACATCATTAGCGAATAAATGAATGAATGTACCCCCTCCAGAGGTGTAAAAGATGACTACACTACTTCGATCTAACCAAAGAAGTCATAATATATCGTGACCAAGTCGATTGCCAATGTCGGCACTTCTGCGATCAAGATCCTTCTCAACGCGTTGGCTACACTCGTATCGCACTCCTTCAGCCAGAAGGACATGCGGTCGTCGTTGACATCGACTATCTCCAACTCAGGCTCCTCCGGTACCGAAGAGTAGCCCTTCTCGAAGTCTATGTAGTGCTCCATCTTGTTGTTTGGGAGAGGGTGTTGGTTCTTGCTGGAGGTGCTTATGAGGAGGTTTTGTCCTTGTCTTTGTGTATTCCTTGTCTCTACTTGTCGTATGGTTTGGAACAGGTGACCCTAGGGATTGTTGCTTAGTTCTTTGGAGGGAGGTCATGAAGCGGGTTCCGCTTCTTGGGCTTGGGTTGTTCACTTTGTGTTCTTCCCGGTTCTCCGTTCTTCTCGAAGAGGAAGTTGAGCAACTATTTTCGGGTAGTTCAAAGCTACGTATACTGCCGTTGGTGTCGTTCTGAACTTCTATTATCCCCTATCGATCTCCTGCAAGAACTTCTCTTCTGTTCACAAAGGTGGTGCGCAGCTTCCTCCTCATCTTGTAGAAGCTATCACTACTCTTATAAACATATTATTATTAACTTCAATCAAACGCGAAAGCTGAAGTTTAACATAAGTAAATGCACTTTACTACAGTGGGCGCGACGTAGTCCTGCGTTCCTGAAAGTCGTTTCTGATGAATCAGTGAGCAGATGAGATACCCAGTTTACTTACTTAGGACCAAGAAGAAGAAAATGAGCTGCATGCTCAACATCACTTCTTGGGCAGCAACCAAGGGTCTTTTTCTTGCACTCAAGGTCAAGAAAGGACTTATTGTCATTTCAGTAAAATGATGAACTCTGATTCGTATCGCATCTTCTTATATTCCCATTTTCGATTTGAGACCTGTCGGACAAGAATCACACTTTCTTTGTGCCTTACCTTGAAGAGGACTCATAATAGTAGCAAGGTTATGGCATAACTCTAGTAGTTTTTTTCTCAAACTACCGAACAAGAGACATCACCATCAACAATCAATGCTGTAATTCCGATTCATTTCCATTTGCCCATTGCTTTCATCTTCTTGATTCTGTAGAAATCTTCGTTCGGTGTCTTTTTCTCTTTGTTGCGCAGTAGGGAGAGAGATCGTTCTTCAATTTAGAAAATATCAAGTGCAAAGGATTCATGACTGTTCATAGGAGATCTAATTTCAGAATCGCTTTCTTGACAAAGTAGGATAGACCTGGAGCTTCAAGGAAGCCTGAGCGTAGTACCAACATATAGACATTAGTAGACCTTGATAGATTTGGATTCTTGCCAGTTGTAAATCTAGACGGATGATCACAGAAGCAGCACAAGCACATGTATTTGCTTCCTCCACTTCACCGATCGTGAGTCTCTTTGTTCTTTTATTCCAAAAACTTCCCACAACCACAGAGGAGGAACCTAGCTACTTTGTATCTACTGCGAACCTTAAAACTCTCGCACGGTGAGTCGATTTCTCTTATTCCAAACTTTATTGGAATAAGAAATCACTTCTCATTTCAAATTCTGTAACAATCTGGCAGCTTGTCGACGAATCATGGGTAGTGGTGATTCGCGAAGTTGGAGTAGCCGAGGTCCGCAGATTCCGAAGATCTCGGATCGCGCTTCCTGCAGCGTAGCCAATGTACCCAGTAGTCGTAGACATTCAGTGGCAGTTTCTTTTAGAAATGGAGTAGGTCAGCAGAGGTTGTAAGAGGTTGTAAGAGGTATGAAGAGGTAGATGTTCGTGGTTTGATAAATTCAATTTCAAACTTCATTTTTTTACATTGATCTTGAAGTTCCGTCGACAACTAGTAACCATGATCTCAATCATAATTAATCAACTACAAAAGGACTATGTTGCCCATCAGGATATTACTGATTCCGTCTTCATTAGGACATAAATCTGCGATGTCCAATCTTGAGGCGCATACTGCTACCCCATTATTCTCGACGATACACCTCACTATTTGGTCTGGGAAATAGTTGGCGTCTGGAGTATCCGCTGGTATCCCTTTGGGGGGATCTAAATCGTACCCCGTTGCAGCTCGTGTGGATCTTGAGATCCGGTTAGAAGGAACGAATGCAGATAGAAGCATTGAGCACTCAAGAACAACTTATCATTCAAGTACTAGTTTCTCTTGTTCTGCCTCTGTCTTGTCTTTTACCACACAAGTGGTTCTTAGGATCAAAAGGATCTTCATCAGGACCATAGAACAAATTCTGACTACAACTTAGCAGCTTTAATAGAAATGGACGACTAACTATCGATTTTAATATTATAGCTTTGTTTTGCTTCTCTAATAAGTAAATACTTTGATTCTGCTCATAACTATGCTCTTTGAAGCCGTCAGAAGGGCATTGCTCTCTTCTGGAGCAGAACTCGCAGAACCATGATCTTCACTCTGAATAGCCGGATTTCGTCCGAATACAGGTCGTTGCAGTAACAGCTCCAGCTCTGTGTCCCTTAATGGTCGAGCGTATATCCGGAAATCTGCTAGGCACCCAAAAGGTTCATGTCCGCCTGACTCGTTGCCCAGGTAGGCAAGTTAGAAACTTTCAGTGGTCTCTCTATTAGAGCTGTCCGTCTTTCAAGTGCATCCTTGAAAAGTATGGGGGAGTATTCGCTTAGGATACTCCTCCATACGTAGTTCCAAGGATACGTCCAAAGATGTATTAGGTAGAGTCTAGGGTTAAAAAGGAAGAGGCAGCTCTGCCTCCCGGACCTGGTCCTCGTGCGGTGGGGAAAGCCTGCCCTAGTAGCAAGCCTCTGTTGTAGTCAAGGTTCAAGGTTCAAGGTCCGCGGCTCTGCGGCCAGGCCGCTTTGTCCGGGACGACACAGGCTCGAGTAGAGCCAGAGACCCGAATGCGCTAAGAATACTGTCATGCGCTAAGATGAATCAATAATATTATAGCTATAAAGTTGTCACGACCCTGATGTAAATGATGATTAATCACGAGCCTTAATAAAAGTCACTGTCTAGAAAGGTCTGCTTCGGCAACTGCGACTTCCAATCGTCCACGTAGACAGCTACGCCGTTGTAAGCGGGAGACGGCAAGGCTTCAGGGGTATTGCTCACTATGGCGAGTCGATGCCATCCGGTCGTAAGCGTTGGCACATCGATTAAATGCTCTTCTTTGTTTGCATCCCTCAATGCGATCTGTAGCCGTAACAGGAAAGGCTCGGCAGAGGTGCCGGAAGGAAGTTTAGAAGAAAGAGAGACGACTGAGAAAAAATATTATCTCAAAGTTGTAAACCCTAGTTGAGTAAGTGAAGATCATTTAGTGAGTCTGAGAAAAATAATTTCGAGGACATCTCACATGAAAACAGAATCTGAAGCAATCCATTCAAGGTCCACAACCAGCAGATCCTAGGAGTACTCCGAGCACCAGGAAAGTCTCAATATTGTCACGGACCACAGAACTGTGATATAATTTTTCCTCCTCCTCAAAAGCCCTACTTCCCTGTCCCACCATGCTTGCCAGAAACCCTGCTCTATTCGCTTCCCGCGTGACTATGAACTTGACCACAGCACTTGTGCCACTTCCACCCTGCACACTCTGCTGTACACTAGAAGCTCCAGCGCTAGACTGTATTAGACCTCAAAAAAAACGAACGAATGCGAAGTAAGGAGGAAACTGGTGCGAGAAATGGCTAGTAACTCGGATAAACATGCAAGCCCTTGTTCCCTTCAGGATAGACATGGCAAAAAAAAACCTTCCTCCTCGGCATCCCGAAGCAAAAATGATCACAACGAACTTGCGCTGCCCACGAAGAATAAATGAAACGTATTGAGCCTTAACTGTAGGAGTAGATGATTTGTGACTGTGCCTTCAGATGCACCTTCGCATAGCCTCTCGGGATCCCAGCAGAACCAGGTATGAATAGCAAAATGCCTTGCCTGTGGATGTTCTCCACTAGCGGAGCCACGTCTGCCGTTCGGAGACGAATTTCTACTACTTCTGCTTCGGGAAGCTTGAGCCGCTGTCTGTTTCATGACGTGTCCTTCGGGACCGAAGTAAGATCGAAAAGCGCCAGCGCTTCCGGTGTAGGTGTCGCTAGGACTCGCGCAAGTCAGGAAAGATGGTAAGGAGTTAGAGATAGCCTTCAACTACGAGTCACGATACTCTTCAACATCTTGTCAGTACCAGTATCAGGAGTATCTCGTTATCCATCATCCAGCATAACTTGGTGTATCCTCATTCCATCGGGGTGCAGTATTATGCCAGAACCTTCGTTAAAGTCGCATCCCCACGATCTCCGGTACATGCCACGTCCTAGGTCCATGGGTTTTGGCTGGCCTACGAGTAGGGGACACAGGACCCCACTCGCGTCACAGGCCAAATTTGACCCCGCATCGAACTTTAGCCAACAAACAAGCTGCTCACATCTAACATCCCCCATCCAACACATATTTGCGAGGACGGCCGCTGCCTCTCGTGCCTCAGGATACACAGCAGTGGCGACGCAGCCGAGTAACGTGCGAACTAGGTTGTCGCCATGCAGAGAAGTGGGAACTACATCGCTGCCGCGCTCGCCCATAAGGAGACAAAAGTTAGAAGAAGTAGATCTGTTGACAACTGCGACTACTTTCTTGAGCACATCTTTCTTCTTGCGCAGGAATATTAAAGCCTTGCTACACAAACAAGTCGAACTCCCACGACCTCTACTTCCTTCTATTACATCAACCTATATTTCCACTCAACTGCGCAACTTACAACTAGAATGAAAACCTCAAGCAGCACCTCTCCATAAGTTTATACCTCGGCTCCAATGCTAGTCTGCTGAGCATCTGCAGTATCAACAAGCTTTCGTACACTGAGGTAAACCTGAAAGACTCCCCAACTGTCGGAAAAGCTAGTTCTGCGCCACTGATGAAAGCGTTCGTTGCAGAGTAGGCCTCTATCTTTCGTATCTTATGCTCCAGCTCCCCCCCACCTCCTGCTGCGTCTGCTTCCTTTCTCTTGTCTAGGAATTCTGCTAAAACTCCAGATGCATCGTAGCCACCCAACCCTCCTCCCCCACTTACAGCTTTGTCTTCGTCCTGCTTGTTGCCGGACAGAAGATCTTTTTCTTCGATACTTTAGATGAGCGTCGTACAACACTCAATTTATTCTTGAATGCAGTAGCATTATAGAGATATCTTATCTTGACGGATGGAAGGTGAATATAGCCTCGAACTTGAAAAAATTGAATGTAGTGGTCCCCTAGGATCGATTGTACTAGAAGTGATGCGCTCCCCGTGGGTTGAATAAATTGAATATTCTGGTATAATTCTGACAAGCCTTAACTATACCTCATCGTACTATTGTCACACCACCACTGTAAGATGCCAAACAGCTTTTCGACCACGTCAAAGTGAAACACTCCGAAAACCTCCTCTTGTTGCAGTAACGAAGAGCGGACGAGAGAGAGCATCATGTCCAGGTTGGAACCGTAGATATCTGGTTGTGAGGTAGGACTGGAGTAGGGTAAGAAGTGTGATGTTGGTGATGTTTGTTGGAGTAGGGTAAGGATTGTGATGTTGATGGTGATGTTGATGGTCATATTCTAGCTCTTTTTCACATAATGGTCTCAAAACAAATCCGATAAATATCTCTACAAAGAAACGTGTCTCAACCAAACGACCATCGCCATCGGACTTCATTGAATCTCTAGTACAAGAAGTATCCGAACAGTTCCTAAAAAGGCACGAACAATCATTACGACCTAACAGAACATCGATCATTACTGAGTAAGTAGTAAAAACTAGAACAACAACAACCAAATATACCATCTGGCTTTGTTTTCACAGGTGGTTTATTCTTGTTCGCTTCTGCTGTTGCGGCCTTTTGTGTCTCACGTCTCGTTGACATTTGCATGATAAAATCATCCAACACATCCCTAGGCGGATAGTAGGCCATACTCATGGGATTAGAGCCTACGCTTACTCAAATTCATTACCCAAATTCATCTTGGAGGCACTATAGTGCTCACAAGTAGATTAGGAGAAAGATACTCACAAGGTGATATTACTCCAAATTCATCTTGAACAAGCACATCTTTGACCACTTTCTTTCCCCTTGAAAACATGCTTTTCTACTTGAAAAAGTGAAATAGAAATGGTCGAAAAATGGTTTCGAGCCAAGAAATGGCCAAAAATGCTTGTTCTCAAGATAAATTACTGTAGGGAACAAGCCTTAACAGGAGCATTCTTTCCACCCGCTCGCCGTCTCGCGTTAGCCTGCGGCGTCCACTCACAACGATGCAACGGGTGAATCGCAACGAGTGCTACGAGACGTGGCAATTAGATACGACTGAGTGGTGCTAGAGGAACAACGTTCAAGATAGAGCACCATGTATGATCACAGTGACTCACGAGATATAGTACAACAACCTCAAGAACAGCCTCTCCCTGATCTACGAACAGCTGACGTTCTCCTTGCTCGTCATGCTCATAAAATATGCCAAGCAACACCCTGCCCGTCTTTTCTCGTTCGTATAACGGATCGTTGCTCAGCACATCGTAAAGGTAAACGAGTTTGTTAAACAATCCCTGTTCTGCAAAGGAGCGAGAGATTAGCGCTAGAAATTTTTTACGTTTACTAGGTGCCTAGTATGGAATGGAGTTTCGCCCTGATCAGTATTCCGAAACTGTCGATGGGACTATTTATTACCTAGTATTGCGCATCCATGATCGGATAAAAATAAAATCCGATGTATCGTAAAATCACATCCCTCCGGAACGCCGCCAGGGAGATGCATTCCAAAAGCAGTTCTATAACTGGTAGTGGGAACTTCGCGTATTTTTTCAGGTTCACCTTTTGATGTTTACTCCCTGTTGGGTCTCCACTCCCAGTGCTTCTTTTAGAGGTAGGTTTTTGGTGCTCGCTTACCCCGCTTGTTACGCCTTTCTCTTCCTAAGGGAGAGAGGCATAAAAAGCGGTAAGAAAAGCACCTTTAGCCTACCCTTAATACCAGTGCTTCTTGCAGAACTTGTGGCCCCTCCTGTGCCACGTGCCGATGCTGCAGCTGCACCGCTTGCTGCTGACATTCTGGAACTCCCACCTGGTGTGGGTCCTCCTGGCACATTACAACTTGATGAATGCTTCCACTTACATTGAGAATCATGTCGACACTGTACGGCAATGTCGTTCCCCACTGTTCTCCTTCTCACTTACTTATAATTGTGGTGGAACGACATTTCTTGTTTACTTAGTTTTGTTCTCAAGAAGCGTCATAAATTTGAAGAAGTAGATGCTCCTCCAACAATCATGCCACCTCCTTCGTTTCCACCAGGAACAACAGTGCCTGCTTGCGCCAACAGTACTCCATTTCCTGTCAGCTCAGCGTGCTTGTCTACCAGGTAGATCAGAATCTCCACTAGCCGTTGTGCTAGGCGCTCCGATAAAGGGTCGCAACCAGCGGCCACAGCGGAAGCGTCTAGGACGTATTTCACTGTCCTCAAAACCCGATCCATCAGTGCCGTATTGAAAAGCGCTAAATGATCGACGACCGAAACCATCCTCGGACCTCCGTCAATCTCTAGAGCAGCTGCGTCGGGCTGAGATTGAGGGGGATGTATCTACGTATTCTCGGGATGTTGAACCAAAAAGAGGACTGACAGATTCGGATGATGCAGTTTGAGAAAGAAGAAATATTCACAACTCTCTGTTTCATTTCCTAGTCCTCTTCGTTCCATGAAAAAAAACTATTAACGACTCTCTGTGTGTTTGATTTCCTAGTCCTCTTCGTTCCAATCCTAACATCCTCAACTACGCAGCGAATTCCCGTAGGTGGTACCAGTAGTTCTCCATCAAAGTAGAACAAAGACTTATACTAGAGCTAGCCGTAGACTCTACATCAACCTAAGACTCTACAACCTAATTATAATAAGTAGAGACGTAGACTCTACTGAGGAGACTTCAGCTTCAAGAGAGAAGAAGTGCCTCTACATCAACCTAATAGGTAGACTTCAGCTCCTCCTTCAGGAAAAAGCAAGCTGAAGTCTACTTATTACTATTAGGTTGATGTAGAGGTACTTAGTAGTACCTTGCTTCCCGTATTCCCGGAAGGCGCGATCTCTAGCTGAATCATTGGTGGTGGTTCCAAGCTTAGCAGTTCGAAAATCAAGTCCTGTTGCACTAATCCCGCACAACTGAGAAGCCATCGCAGCGTGTGGTTGGGTAGAAGGATCGGGGGTTAGAAGAAGGAGGAAGATATGTAGACGTACAACTTGAATTTTGCTGGTCAGATCGATAGGAGTGAGAGGTGGAACAAAGACAAAGCATTCATGTGCCATTTTTTTTACAGCAAAAAAAGAATAGCATACCATAGTACCAAAAAACTCGTCTATGCCATAGTACCAAAAAACTCGTCTATGCCAAACCAAAAAACTCGTCTATACCATACCAAAATCAAGACTATATGCTGTGAGTATACCAAAGCAAGATAGTATGCCATACCAAAAAACTCTACGACTATGCCATACCAAAACAAGATGTTCATGTTGCACACGATATCTTTTCTCTTTAAGAGCTCGGCACCATTGTCCGCTAAGAGCCTTTCTCGGTCTTTAGCCGGTAGGTTATCTTGGTCCTTGATGATGTCGAAGCTAGGCATCACATGGACTTTCCAAAAGGCTACCTGGACGATCATAGGAGATCGAGATGGAGATTTTGATTCAAGAAGCAGCAAAACTAGGTACATCTAAATTCTTAGAAGATGCTAGGAAAACTGTAAGTACTGCTCCAACATCTTCTAGCCAACATCTAGCACCTAACCTTACCAAAAGGTCTCTGTCTCTCAAGAAGATAGGTTCCTAGTACCAAAATATCAATCCCGGTCTCCACTTTGCCGTCCGGGCTTGCTTCCGCTATGAGCTCTACTGGGTCTTTGGTGCTATTGCGGCAGTACCAGTAGAACACTCTTACCATATCAGGGAGAAACGTACTGCTGACCCAGAGCGGCAGCATACTGTCTGCTTCGATTGATATGAGCTTCAACAAATTATCCCTGTCCACTAGTGGGGGTCTCCGTTTTTTGTATTCGAGTTTAGCAGGCTTCAGAGTCTTCAGTGCTGTCGCAGTAGAAGAGGCAGTTGCTGAGGACCCTCCTGCTCCATCACTTGAAGATGGACGTCCTACTCCTACTCCAACTGCATCATCGGACGAAGCAGTACCGGATGCATCGCCTTGACCTGCTGCAATATTGTCGCCTCCAGCTCCAACTTCATCTCCTGGCCCACCTGCTGGACCATCACCTGCAGCATTATGCCCTGTAGTGCCATCACCAGCTACAACTTCGTGCCCAACATCGACATCCTCCAATGCCAACGCGTTGTTCTTAGAGCTACCGTGACCTCCACCTCCCCGAGAGCATCCCTACCTCCCTTTTCATGTTGAAAAAGAGCCAGGAACCAAGGATGCCTTATTTAAAAATGAATGTTACTTGCATTCGAAGAAGATAGCCTTAATGTTACTTGCATTCGCAAAAGCCCCTTCGGTTAGCTCCTTATACACAGCTGCTTGCATACAGGCAAGGACTATATCGTAGTCCAACTGCATCTCGAATCCGAACTTGAGGAATTGCCCTAAAGTAAAAGCACAATTGGCCAACGCGATCGATTGTGCTGCTGCTACCTCCGCATCCGTCTCTTTTTCTAGCTGAGTAAACGAAAGCTTGAAGTAACTTTCGAGGATGTCGCTGGAATTAGAAGGGGAGATGTTGTAGATGTTGAACATCAACATTATAAGTACTTAGGGTCGTAGTAGCCAGGTGGTAGCCGCTGCTATGTACTCCAATGGTCTAGACGAGGATTTTTGAGGTTTCCTGTTGAAGATGCTTGTTGTGTTGTGTGAGTTTCCCGTTTAAGATCAAGATCTTTCGATCAAAAATATCATGTTCTCCAACCAACACAAAGAACACTGCATCTTCATCAACTTCCTTCGCACCACTTACAACATAACAACCGATCCTTCCATCAGGATGATTAGATTCTCGCTGCGTCGTGAGAGTTTTGAGAATGTTAGTGTCACCAGCTCCTCCGCTTCCTCGACTTGGTTCAACAAAATGCACATGAAGTTGAGCACACTGCCACTGCACAAATCAGGCTCAAAATCCCGGTAGTCTGCCATGATACAAAACAGTCTAGCAGCAAAAATCTGCAACTGGCGCAGCTGGTCCGATCCTTCTTCTAGGTGTTAGAGGTGGTGATGTAACCCTAGTACCTGACGAGGCGACGATCCTGACTCAGTCACAGCAGTCCAATACACATCGTCCTCGTCATGTCATGTCATGTCATGTCATGTCATGTCATGTCATGAACCCTCTTAAGCCACGTGGTCAAGTAGCGTTGAGGTAATTCAGTGGTCTAATTGTACCTTCTAAAAAGAAGAGCAATTGGACCGAGTGATAGACTATCTTTCATATGTCACAACCATAGTCTTCACTTGCAGGCATCGTGAGGATCATAACAGCCTGTACGAAGTCAGATCGTATCAATCTTGACCGTGCTTTTTGGTAAGGGAAAAAAGCAATAGCCTTCTCTACTGCGTTTAACCGCCACTCGAGCTCCGGCGCATGATACTTTTGGGGTTCTTAGAGAAGTTTTGGTCGGATTGATATGTTCGCCACCAAATGTTGACGACTCATTTCTAAGTGCTTCAACTTCAACAGGGTACTAGAAAGAATCGCCCTATTTTTACGAAGACGAACTTTACTCGCCCCTGTACCCTTTCTTCACACCGTGATCACTGACGCTAACAGCTAGCTGGCAGCATCAACCAGAAGGAGGACTCCAACATTTTGTCTTAGTCCAGCATAAGACAAGACTTTAATCACGCCCTCGTCCACCAGTTGAACGTCGAAGCTTTCGCATCGTTTGGCTGACACGCCATCCCACAGGCCTTCCCAGTGGTCAAGAGGCGCTTTTTCTTCAATCGCCTTCATCAGTGCTTGAACCAACTCTGGAGCAAGCATATTCGCCGAAGCTTGCGCTGCCGCCGCCCCTGCGGCGGAGACGGGGCCACCTCCTTTTGACCCTTTGGCTCCCATTTTGCTTGTGGTTAATAAATGGGGTGGCAAAACTTCGTCAAGGTCCTCGTCAAGGGAGGACTTTGTGCTCCTACGGGCAATTCTGCAATCGTTATATCAAACGCGTCCTGGCTAGAAGATCACGAGAAAGTTGGCACAGCGTTGTCGCGTGACGACAGCCTCGAGGCGGACTAAAAACGAGTCCCATCTTAGTGCGCATGGTGCTGTCCTCTCATGTTTTCATAACGGCGTCTTCATTTGCATCATGTTGGTCTTTCCAAGGATATCCTGCTTCGGTTTTTTAGCTACTACCAATAAACCCGAGTGGCTTAGGCCCAACTGAACGAAACGAGACACCTCCTAGGACTATGAATCACTGTCTATCTTTTAAAGAAATCTGAACTTACTCCTGGGTCATAAGAAACAAATAGTACATACACAGAACTAGTCGATACAGTTGCTTCTTCCAATAAGGAGTAGAAAAAAGAAGCTGCGGGGTAATATCAGGGTTTCTCGGTGTAAGCTCTTGAGAGTTCACTATTAGAACTTATCTCTACGGGTACTAGGGACGGCACCATCTCCATCAGGGATACACACATACATACTCTCGGGTGCGAATTCAGCCTCTCAGTCATTCTCTCTAGCTCTCTCACTCTCTCTCTTTCTCCCATTGCCACTCGACTTCCCTGCAGCTCCAAGTTATGACCGATGTCAGATAAGCAGATTGGAGAGGTATAATTTGCGCTACTTGAAATTGATCGCTTAATAAAAACCTAAAAGCAGTATTTCTATTGCACTTGTTAATCCCCGGGTCCGCTCCTGAGTGTGTGTTCGTAGTAAAAAGCACGTTGATCATTTACAGCAGTTGTCATCGACTGTCAACCCAAATTCATGTTAATGACAGGAAGAGAACTGACGATAATACTGATTTTATTGGAGAGAAGGTGGTGCTGCTTGCGCGTAGATAGCAAGTGGTTAGAGACATGTGATTGCCTGATATCATTGAAATATCCACCTTAGAGTTTGGGGAAGGCATTTGATAGATAGAGTCGCCTCCGAGCTATGAGGGAACGCGTACCCTTAAAGGGACAGGTCCGATCGAAATGTTTTCTGGTAGGAATTCATATCACTTCATCTGAAAAACACTAGATGTTGTTCGTTAAATTTGAGTCGTGTTAAAGCAAGCCCTTAAATCGCAGAGCTTCTAGACTTTTAGATTTAGAATGGATATTATTTCTCCAAAATATGATGGATATGCATGAAGAGGCTTGTAATCACTAGCTTCAGCTTTATTTCTATGGTTTACAAAAATTTGAGTAAGTGCGTAGTTGTTACAAAACTGCAAAGTTCCCAAGGTCAATTCGATCCCTTTTACTTTTCGTTAACCAGTTAACCCCGATCGAAAATACATTCCTTGTCGAGATGTATCCCCATCACCATATTATGCCCCTCTTTCTCAACACAGCAGTTCCCGATGTTTTCTTTTTCTTTGACGTCACGCTTCCCTTCCAGCTCCACCTCCCGCAGTGACAACTTCAGCTGTTTTGATATTGAGGCGGATACTGTCTTCAGCGAGAAAATCGCCTTCCTCCACATGCTGCACCTGACACCGTTCCCATGCGATAGGATCCCAGCAAAACCATTCGCCAGTATTCGATCTCTCGTACCATCGCCTGAATTTCATTTTCTGAGGAGCTACTTTCATCTGACAGATTGATTCGACGCAACTTAAATCAGTCTAGAGCAACTTTAACTTCGTCCTCATATGGCAAAACGAACGTTGAAAAATTCGAGGATTGACATTGATGGAGCACCACAGCACCTGCTCAAATGAGCCTGAGCTTCTACTTCTTCAATGAATATTCATCAAACTCAAGAACTTCATCGAACGATACATTCATAGTACTGTAGGTAAATCAAAATCTAGCACGACAACGAAGGACTATCACGAGGATTAGGACGATTAGGATATTAGACATAAGAAAGTATAATTAGGATATTAACTACATATAAGTATATGGTAGATACTGGCTTTTCGGTTGGTATCTCCAGTTTCGCAGGTAAAGCTCTGTCGCAACGTAGGCTTGCAGCACATCAGCAGGCATTTGATAGAAGATGTAGAGCAAGGTCTCAATCGCAAATTTCTGCAAATGACTAGTCTTCAATTGCGGTGGCTGCGCGTAGTATGATGGTGCTATCCACGCATCCGTGTCGTAAAACGAAGGCGACCCTCCTGTAGATGGATTGGTACTTGTTGTTGCTGCTGCTGCCTTGTTGCTAGTATTAGTACTGTACAAGAATAAGATGAAGTGCTCATTTCGAATTGGTATTGGCAAGTCATCTTCGGGACTACTAAGAACCGTTCCCCTTCTAACCTTCTACTAAGATTTCTAACTCTATCTTTTTCAAGATGACTCTAGTGAAAAAATCCTGCTCTCATAACATTACGTCCTGTTGTGTTTCTAGAACTACAAGGATAAGTACTAGAAGACGTTATATGCAGTTCGCAAGGTTGTCCTGACGGCGGCGGCGGTCTTCTACGCCCAAAAGGACTCACAAACTCGTCTTCCCTGAAGGGTGATCGGAAACTATGGCATAGAGACCCTGAAGAATTAAGGTTCAGGCCTACATTAGAGCGAGCATTTTGGAGTTCTTTCTTAGCTTCCTCCGCTGGGATTAGCTATGCTTTTCGCTTCCCCCTTCAGGAAAGGCTGCATTGCCAAACCCAAAACTAACAACGGCAACAGAAACTACACCAAATGCCTGCCCTTAACTAAAGTGGTAATGTCGATTCCCAACGCCAATGTGGTTAAATCCGGGTCTGTCATCTTGATCACATCCAGGATGCCTAGTAGGCCATAGTCCTTCCCTGATCTGGAGTAGTTAGAGGTTACGGAGTTACATTCTTCAGAACATCCCTGGCGTCTGTTCTACTAGGAAAAGGGTCGGGGATGGTAGTGAGAAAAGAAATTCGGAAACCCTTAAAGGAAGAGGAAGCTGTGGCATGACTAGTTCTGGTATGTTGACTCTGCTGATGCTGCAGATGTGATTCCTGTTGCTGTGCTGCATGATCTATAATCTGATGTCCTGCTTGATGATGATGTTGCATAAAAGAATTTGTTGACTGTGTAAAAGAATTTGAAGCACCAGTAGAGTTCATCTGTTGATTCTCCACGACTCCTTCAACACCAACAGCGCCACCAGGTGTCGCATTACTACTACTCGTTGATGAAGAAGCAGTACTATTCATTGGTCCCAAAGTGGTGGCCGGTGCAAAGACATTTACACTCATTGACATCTGGTGATGGTGAGGTGGCGGAGGCGAGGACTCCGGTGGCGACCTAATGGAGCCAACTGTTGTGCGAGGTAACGAAGGTGGCTGTAATGGCGGTGGTGGATGCGGCAATAGACCGGGTGGGGCGACCTGGGGAAGGATGGAGAGTGGTTGAGAGTTATTTCTAGTACTTCAGTTTCTGCCTCTCATGATCATGTCATTCTAGTATCCTAATGAAGTTCATGTACTAGTAGCGATAGTATAAGTACATGAAAGTCCTAATAGTACATGTAAGTACTTCCCCGTATAATACATTTGATCTTGTTGTTTCTCCAGTAGGAACCTTATCCATTTTCATCCATCTTACCTTCGGCGGTCCGCTGGGCGGCGGTGGGCCACTTGGCGGTAGCTGGAAGGACGAAGGTGGCCCGGCTGGCGGAGGACCCTGCGGAATTTTGAAGGCAGGTCTCGGCGAACCTTCAGGCACGGGAGGAGGACGGTGTGGCGGTAACATTTTTTTGCTGATTGGTTTGTAGTACTAGTACGTGGAAGGTCACAAAAATCACAAAATCAAAATTATGTTGTGAAGTAATTGTTGTAGCAAGCTTTCTTGGAAGTACGAAGTAGTAAGTGGATGTTGTTTGGTTGTTCTTCGGTGTAGTTATTCCTTGCGCAGGATGATGGAGTTCTTGTTAAGCGGGTGTGATGCAGTGATCTCTCTAGCAACACCAAGAGAAGTGTGTAAGGTTGCCAAATAGACTCAAGAAGTGTTGCTGGTATCTGTATCTGAGATTGATCTAATTTCTAAGACTGACCATCTAGAGGTCTAATTTTGTCTTACTGGATATAACTTAGCGGTTTTGATGTAGTTGCTGCCTGTGTAGGAGGATGGATGAGAGGATGGATTGAGAGATGATAGATTCTTCAAAAAACTGCTCCTGTGACTCCTTGTTAACTTTTTCTTCAAATAATATGGAGTTAGTCACGAAGTGTGGAAGTGTATGAACCATAGTCACTCTAATTATTGACGGGTGACAATCACCCTAATCAAATCAGTGACATGCGATATGAATCCGTGTCTTCTACGCTTGCTCAACTTCTACGCTTACTCCGCCTCTGCGCTTACTCCAAGCCAAGAACGTCATCGGATCAACATAGATCCATCGAGGAAATAACGTTACACTGACGCTGCAAATCTTGATCTACTTTACAAGGCACGCTGCTACTTCGACTGATAGACATAGACCACAACCGCTTCTACCGCAATAGCATGAACACTGGACCTCCAAAATTCTCGGTAGCTGTCTGTGCCAGGACAACGACGACTAAAAATGACGGTCATCTACACTGTGTTAGCTAGTACCTTTCCTCGCTTGAAACAAAAGGCGATAAAAAAATCTTTCTTGTCGCGTTGGGTTAGTGCGTGGGGTGCACACTCTGATGCCATGATAGGGAAAAGGGTGTGGCATCGAATTGCCATGTCGGATATGAGTGGGAACAAAAAGTGAGGGTCAAACGAACAACGTGAACAATGGGAAAAATATGTTTGGTGTTGTCCAGAAGTATGATCGATTAAGTACATCAGAACAGAGTGTGCATCTACGGCGACCAAAAATCTGACTCCTGCAGAATTACGGCAGACGCATCTTCTCAGCAGACACCTTTTTATCTAGCCCAACGATCTCTGCAAAAGCTCTATGTTCGGCAGATCTTAACCCATTTCCTAACCTTGTTGCTTGATCCTTGTAATATGCACGTCGCATAGGATCCAACGTGTCTGCCAAGTCCTGGTATAGCTCAATAACTTGTGCTTTCAGTTCTTGACGTCGGGTTAGATCTACGTCTCTTTCTGCTTCTCTTGACTCGGAGTCGGATTCCGCTTCCGGGTGTCCTTCCAGCGACCAGTAGAGAGCTTCCGAAAGCCTTGCTTTGCTCAACACGGCTAAGTAACAATCAGGCTCCACACTGAGTAGCTCGTCGATCCGATTCAGTTCAGTCTCAACGATTTCCGGAGTCACTTGAAATCCTAGCTCAGAGGTTGCTGAAAGACTACAGGAAGCTTTTAGGACCCTCGGATCTTCCACATCTTTTTCCAGTAGTTTCAGCCTCAAAGTCCCTGCGGGAACGACTGTCTCATTTGAAGTAGACACAGCACCCCTATTGCCGTTCATTGTGCCCTTATTGCTACTGCTAGCCACATTCGAAGAATGTTGTGCGAATAGTTGACCTGCAAATGCCGGCGCAAGAGAGATGGAGATGTCAAGCTCGACCATGAAAATCTTCTGCTCCACCATTTCCTCATCCTGCAGACCTTCCATAACCTTGTCTGAAATCTCTATGTAGAAAATCGACGTGAATTTCTCAGCGTCTGGTATGATATGTTTGGAAGCGCCAGATCCAGTAGCTCTTCCTAATCCTCGACTCATTTTCCATGTTGTATGTGGATAGACAGGAAAACAAATTTTTTCGTTGTCCTTGTCATTCGCGACCCGCACTGTCACGTCTCTTGCCCGTACAGCTGCACTGAGGAGGAAGTAGAGTCGCCTTTTGTTGCTAGAAGGTGATGTTGAAGAGGAACAAGTCTTCTCAGGTACGACTGTTGGCCCGCACTCGAGAAGTAACCTCCCACCCTTGCCCCAGCTGCTCGCAGATTCGTTTGGCTCTGCTTGATGCCCTTCCTCTTCATGATCGCTTCCGCCAGGTAACTCTAGTACCTTCGCTTCTTGCAATTGTGGCGATCGATTTCGTAGAAGCAAAAACTCGTGATAGAACCAGATGCTCTGGTCGTTCGGCTCCGTGAATATTGCTTCTTGTAGCCACTCCAACTCTGTTTCAAGGTTGATATTCGCGTTTTCCTGGTTGAACAACGACTCCGCGTTCTTCAGTTTCGCCCTAGCGAACATACTGGCGCTGCTGGTACATTTTGCACGCAAGTGCCACGCTGAGTAGTTGCTGAAATTCTCGTTGATAAGTTTTTCGGAAAGAGCTAAATTTTCTTGGCCAAGGGAAAGACCAAAAGATGACCCGCTAGTAGAGCTGTGCGCCACCTTTTGTTCGCGACTACTCTCGTTCGACAGCTCGACTGCCGAAATGTGTTCAGACATTTCCCGCCTCTTCTGCACTACAAAGTCGCGGTAATTCCAGGCATGGTAATTTCTCGCGTCTAAGGCAAAGAAGCGATCTAGCTTTCCAACTTCCGTCTGTAAAAAAGCTGAGGCTGCAGCAAGAGCTTCTGCACGCTGCGTTATTACCTCCATCTTCCTGCTCAATACGCTAGTTGACGAAGATGTTGACACATCCACACCTACAACGTGCTCAGGTTTTTGTGGTGACGTAGAGGCCGTGCTCGTCGAAACCGGAGTGCCTTGACCTGCTGGCTCGACGTCGTCGCCTTGTTTTCTACTGTTGTCTTCTTCAACTTTGTATTTGTTAATGTCGACGTCTTCAACGTAGAAGTTGTTACTGACTTCGACTTCCTCCACGTTCATCTTCAACTCCAGAAGTTTGTTTATGACCCATCGCCTATGCATCCATAGACAGTACAATTTTCGTGCCCGCTCCATCGCCTTGTCGAGGAGAGCTACTTCACCTAGTAGCTGCGACTCCAAATCGGCTAAAGTTGTTTGTCCGCTTGAGCCTGTACTTGAGGAAGGAGGTGACGCTGTGCCTATTAGTAGTGTTGCCGTAGATGCCGTAGAAGCTGAGTTGTTTTCCATGGTATTATCGACCCCCGCACGACTTGCAGGAGTTTCAATTTGCTCCCTTATTTCCGCACGACTTGCAGAAGTTTCAACCTCCTCCCTTATTTCCTTCTCCAAACCACCACCCTGGTCCACAACATTCTTTTCCCCGCTCTCTTCGTTCTTTCCATCTCCATCTCCACCAGAGGTGGAGGTGCCGCTTCTACCACCAATTCGACTTCCATTTCCCCCACCACCAACGACCTTCAAAGCCTCTTGTCCCAAAGCTTCGAATAGTTCGCGTCTGATGTTCCATAGCGTACCGAAGTCGGGGTTCAGCAATAAGGCTTTCTTCGTCGCCTCCAGCAATTTGACAGGTGGCAACGTCCTACGACCAAGAAGGATCGTACGAAAGAGTTCGTTGCCCTTACGAACTTGCGCGCGCTCCTCAGCATCCTTTTCCGCCTGCTTCTCTTTGGAAAGAGTTTCTTTTTTACGACCGTGCATTTTGCAGTTTTTGTGATGGAGTCAGCGTCACTCTACGTTGAAAGAAAAACAAGACTGATGCGTGCGCATGCGATACCTATCTTCACTTTCAAAAGAGAACTGAGACTTAAAAATGCTGGACGTTTTCCAAGACACTTTAATACCAGATGAGATAAAACCCCTGAAAGTAGTGATGAACATCCAGTATATCAATACCTTGCTCTTGGTGTTCCATGTATTCACTTTCTACTGTCTTCATCACGCAACATTTATTACGTCGCATTTCAAGAATTCAATTCTCCGGGTCACATAGAAACTGCGAGTTGAGTAAATTCTTTGGCCTTGGTTGGAGTTCTTGATCCACGAACACGTTGCCACAACAAGGATTCTTGACGTAGTGTAGTACTAACAGAACAGCAGATCATTCTTGAAAATAACTCGAGGACTCCATATCATGGCGCGACTATCACTCTACAACTTTGTTTGAGTGCTGTTTGCAGCTATAGTTTGCTGTCGTGAGCGGCTTTTCTTCTTGTGGATTATATTATGTTGATCTTCATGCCTGTGCGACTAAACTATGATTGTAAGTGGTATCTTGATGTGCTGCCATTTAGTTTGCGCACATTCTCCAACATAAAAAGATGACTCTCAATTCGTCGCGACAGGCGCCTGCCACCTTGCGTCATCGATGCTTGGGTCGCGAAAGAATCATGGGCGTTGATAGCGTTTTCACCGCGTTTCATTCTTTCTTCTTCGCATTCCCTGTCTTAGCACTACTACCTCCAGCAGCTTCGTCAACCACACTAGCAGCTGCTTGACCGGTCAGCATTGAAGTCATTCTTTCGAATACGCCTAATACCCCTACTCGTTTCAGTGATTTGTGGACAATCGGTATCAACTTTAGAAGAGGAAGAGCTTTATTCATGATGCATCTTGTCTTGTGGACTACAGGAAAAATGCTTGTAGTGAGGATGACTTTATTAATCTATATGCCTTAAAAGAGCCATGGTTAGCGGGACTCGGATGGGCAGAGATAACTTGTGAATAGCCACGGCTACGACGAAGTCGGTACCTTGGTTCATTAATAGTGATAAAGAAGATCGATGATGCTCTTTTTATCATTCAAAGTGTAATTGGTAGAGCTTCAAAATTCATCAAACTGTTGCTCTTGTTGCTCGAAGATGCCAGTATTACTACATCTTCTGCAAGGAGATCATGCAAAGAAAGCTGTAATATCCTCAAAATCAAGTGCAAAACATTACTAAGATACCTTCCTTCGGCACATATTCTGGCAAATAGGGTATGAAGAGATTTCGATTCGCGTATACGCCGTAGTATATTGCCGCGAGCGCCGTCAGAGAAACGCTGTAGTGCGTTAGAAAGCCGATTGGGCCCCACTTTTTGACGAATTCAAAGCCTTTCTGAGCAGAAAAAAAACCCATCTTTTTGGTCTTCAAGATGAATCTTTATCTTGTACAGTTACCTAGATGAATTTCAAGTTGTTTCGAGTTCTTGAAATGATCATCAAGTTTCAAATAACGAGTTGAAATAACCATCCATATGATCAGAAAGACACAAATTCAAAAGTGTCTAATACAGTACCGCTGAACGTGACATACAAATACGTTGAAGAAGTTCTCTTTCTCTCCTCTACTAACATTGTACATCATAATGGCACCGAATTGGATATGATAAATGCTCCTGAGCCACCTGCGCTATAAGTAGATCTCGGTCTTTCGAATACATGATCTAGATCTTTTCTTGGCACAGACGATAGGATCCTTGAAAGAATTCGCTCACGACTTTTATCATGTCCAGCCAAATGCTGCATACGAAATCAACGGTGTCGAGCGCAACAGACACCGTCTGAAATAGAAGTGACATCGATGAGAACTCAAGTTTCTGAATACCGCGAAAACCACTGTGATGCGCTGAGCTCCTTGATGAAGCCACTCATTGTTGTACTACTCCAGAGTTCCAATACCGCACACAATTCGTGTTTGTTCTGTGTTTTTCGCAATCGACAAAAAAGTGAAATAAATTGAAATTAGCTGCTAGACTTCTTTTGTAAAAAAACCTTCAAAACTTCATCTGGTGTGATCTTCATGCTTTGATAAGCACAAGAGTATACAACTTGGTATTTGTTTCTTCAGGACTAGCTGTATCTTCTTGTTTGTTGTTGACTGTCAAACAGACAATACATTTTCACAGCGGATGTTATCTTCACGTCGCAATTATTTTTGGATACCTTGGAAGCCGGATGAAGTGTCGTCGTATCGTCACTGCCATTCTATCGGAGAAGCTACCAGTGCTCTAGAAGATGTGAAGTAAGTACTAATTCTTGAGGCAGTTCTCCGTTCCTTTCAGCAACATCTTGTATTTTTCATTAGTACAGTCGCTGGCTGTACTAGAACTATTGCGTGTCCAGAGACGGAGAAGAAGTGTACAATGGAGAAGGAAGAAGCATGCTCGTTGTACAGGAAAGGCTTCGTGCCTGCGGTGATCTACTACTTGTCAGAGCTCTTGTATTACTTTCGAAGTAGAGGTAAAAATGTCGCATGATTTCTTCGGCTATTACTATTTGTCTTTCTTGAGGCTCCAGCGTAGTTCTCTTTTTGAAAAGGCCTCTCCTGTGAAGAACAACCTTGTCCCTAGTAAACGCATAACCTTTAGTTTCTTTCAGAAGCTGCGGGGGTAGTGCCAGTGCGGTAAGCGCCTCCGTGTGCTTGATTAGGATGATCTTTTTCGCTCGCTGTGATGCTCTTTGATGTTGTGCCGCGTCCTCTGCCCTGTGCAGAAGCGTCACTCCACCCAACTACTTGATCTCGAACATCATTGACTACCCCATCTACACGTACTCCGACATCAACCGATGCCCTCATCTCCCGTACTTCGTTAACTAGAGTCATGACTTCATCGACGATGTTCTTGATGCTTGCACCGACTGTCCGTTCTAGGGCGGCAGCCTTCGCGGTGACTTCATCGAATTGCGCGGAGAGGGTAAAGACTGTCAGTTCTAGGTCGTCAAACTTCGTGGTGACTACTTCATCGATTTTGTCGGAGATGGTGCCGACTGTCATTTCTAGATGATCGTCGACCTTCGCGGTGACTACTTTCTCGATTTTGTCGGAGATGGTACCGACTGTCACTTCTAGATGATTGTCAACCTTCGCGGTGACTTTATCGATTTTGTCGGAGATGGTGCCGACTGTCCCTTCTAGCTCGCCAACCTTCGCGGTGACTCCATCGATTTTCTTGGAGATGGTGCCGACTGTCACTTCTAGATGATTGTCAACCTTCGCGGTGACTTTATCGATTTTGTCGGAGATGGTGCCGACTGTCCCTTCTAGCTCGCCAACCTTCGCGGTGACTCCATCGACTTTCTTGGAGAGGGTGCCGACTGTCATATCTAGAAGATTGCCAACCCTCGCGGTGACTTTATCGATTTTGTCGGAGATGGTACCGACTGTCCCTTCTAGCTCGCCAACCTTCGCGGTGACTCTAGCGACGTCCCTGGAGAGGGTACCGACGTCACTCAGCCGCCTGCTAGCGGCTGGCGTCCTACCGTCCAACGGCAGTTGAGGTTGAGCTCTTGGCTGTGATGCAGTTTCTGTCTGCTCCCTTTGGTGTAACAATGAACGAGCACGACTGTTGTAGTATTGCCTGGCGGCCAGCATTTCAGACTAGCCCACTAGCTCCAGACAGTCAATCGCGCAAATTGTGCAACTATGCAGCACGAGAGAGGCAAAGAAAAAGACTGCGAGGAGCTGCATGGGCGAGTGTGAAATGAGCCGAGGACACGAAAGCGCGAGAGTGTGAAAGTGAATGGGAGAAAGTAAAGAGGAGAACGGAATTAAGATGAACGGACTCCGAGATGCCGTGGAGTACCTGACGCGGCACAACAGGGCCGGAGGGAGGGAAAAGAAGATGAATAGAGAGCGAAGTGAGAATTGCGAGCGAATCGAACGGAACCGAATGGAGTGAATGGGCGCCCGCGTGTAGGATGCGCGGCCCCCGAATAGAGTGAATGAGTGCCCGCGTGTACTGTAGGACGCGCGGCCCCCGAATGAAATGTGGCCCCGTGTTCTCAGCCACTACAAAAGTGACCAAACCAGCTTAACCGAACAACTCCGCTGCCCTCCAAGTCTGGCACTATTTATACACGGGGCCGTCATACACTAACAAGATTACTAACAACAATAGGAAGGCAAAACAGGCGGGGAATCGGTGAGACACTGTTCCCGAGTAGCGAGGGCGCCCGCACGTAAACAACTCAACTTTGATTTCACTAACCAGACACACGCACACGCGCCGATCACTTTAGAAGCCTGCACGATTAACGGCTATGCTTCCTTCGCCTCACCGACAACACTACACCTCAAGGCAGCTGCACAAGGAACACAGGCACCAAATGACATCAAAGAAGGGACTCTAAAGAAGGAACTTCATAAGAGGTGTCAAGGGCAACCACCTGTCTTGTAGCTTCCAATGCGAAATGTGTCGAACTGAACATCAAACAGGACTGAAAGCGTCACGATTGATAATAATAAACAGCCGAAGCCTCATCTTCAATGCCACAATCTTCACCATGACCATCCGACTCACCGCCAGAATTTTCGGAAGCAGAATTACCAATATAGTCGCCTGACTTCAATTCGGCCCTCGCGGCCTTAATCATGCCCGCGCGCTGACGCTGGCGCTCGTTAACATACCGACGCCGTGCATGGTTCTTGTTACTCCAGGAGCCAGCTATGAGAATCTGACTCAAATTACCCCCAGCCGCCGCAATGGCAGCACAACCACCACGACGACAGGAATGGGTGCCCCATGTACCAATCTGCTGACTATCAGCAAGCGCACGACGAAGCGTAGCGAGGACAGTAGGACAATCTAATTTAGGGGAAACGCGCTGACCAGGCTCGTACTTCAAAGCGTGAGCCTTAAGGAACTTGTGGCAAGGGCAAAAGCCTCTAGCCCACGGAAAGGCTTGCAACTCACCCTCCTCCCCCGAGGAGTCGACGCCAGTACATGCACACTGCCGCGCGATGCAATCACCTTCCAACCTATTCTTCCTGGACCTAAGTCTAATTGTCACTGAACGTTCCTTCGTCATCATTACACCAGATAGCAGAGTGCTGGCGAAGCTTCTTGGTACAATCGCGATCCTCTGGAGAGACGGAACGCGTCAAAAGAATTCCTTCATCTCCACAACGAAGCAAGAAAATCCAACAAACTGAAGCTAACACCTTGAAGGCGCCAATAGTGCGAGGATCTTGGAGTATCAAACTCAAACAAGCAGGAGAGATAGGACCCATTGATCTAGGAGGGGGCTGCCACTTCTTGATCCCTCTGGAAATAGAAGCAGCCAGCATCAACCTCCGGAAACTTGACTTGGAAACAGTGGCAAACTTTCCTCAACGCGCACTTTGCTACATTCATCGAACTCGCACACTTCTGAGTCGCCAAATAACCTGCGATCTTTGGAGTAGTCATAGAGAAAGGCTTCCCCGCAAGAGAAACCGCAAAACCAGCATAACCATGAAAATGCGAGTAGTATGCTTTTGATCCTTAGATAGTCAAGAATCTTCTTAATCTGCATGAGATGAGCAGACTCCTTATTACAAGACAGAGACGGGCGCAGCGTGAGGGCATTTTTTGTTTTTCCTATTTGTGGCGCTGATTTTGCTTGAAGTTCCTAAATGGGTGGAGAGTGTGTATATTGCAGTCAAATTAATGAAAAGCTTGGAAGGTATAAGTTGGAGCTGTGTGGATTAGGAAAGTCTTGACCTGAAAAGGTGAAGTAATAGGAAAGTTGGGAAAGAATGAAGATAGAAGGCTTTACCTTAGAAAGTGTAAGTAAAGCAGTAGTCTACTAAAGTTAGAGCGCTCGGAGTAAAAGTCCCTGGCTTCTGCCACGTAAGGTCCTACCGGGTGAATAAAGGATAGTAGGTGCTCGCAATGATATCGGATCGGCGTTGTTGGCCTTGCTTATGGGTGCTAGCTCACGACCAAGGTCAACATCCGACATCATTCGACAGGAACTTAAGCCCTTCTATCTATATACTCCCTCTGTGCTTTCCACTTCCAGACAGGCCCACTTTTCCGCTTCGGTGCAGAGGTGTAGAGCATGGACGTTTCATTAATTTCGAAAATATACAATTACCGCCAGGACAATTCATCACACACTTGACTCCCACCCTTTAGTACGTGCAGCCCTCAATTAGAATTGGAAACGGTCTGCGTTTGAGGTAAAGAATATCGAGTGAGTGGAATTTAATTAGCCTTAGCTTTGTCTTCTTGTCGATAGCCGCGCATACACCCATACTATCTCAAAAGAATACCTTGCCGCCCTTTATTGGTTAGCCCCCTTTGATGTTATATAAGTCAACAGCTTAGACAGATAACGCCTGGCCTTAAGTGGGCTGCCCGTTGCCCTGTTTCTCGATTCGTATACTATTACACTTCCCGTCCGCTTTGTATCCGGATAGCACGCAAGCATGTAGACAGCCCATCGTCATAGACTAGCTACTGCTATTGTAAAAAGATGAGTTAGGAGCTAGCTGAAGGCGGTGGGGATGTGGACACTGTTGAAGGTCTTACTTGTTGACTATTAGATATATCAGACCGATGAGGGAGGAGATACTGCGCCGATTACTGAGATGTTATAAATAAGACCGACGGCACATCTATAAAGTCATAGACGAGAAAATGACGACGAGAGTCCTGATGGTGTTTGTCTTATAAATGCAAACGGCTATACTCAGTAGAGTCATTGGCAAGGAGTAGGCTTCTACGCTATTAATTTTGTAGTTCTCTCGACAGTCCTACACGATGAGGCCCGGCGAGTCATTCTGCTTAGCAAAGTATTTATACGAAGTGCGTCCTCTTAAGCCAACCGATCTGCCCACGTTCTCTCTTGTGTATTCTCTCACATTCACAATATTGGCAACTTGCTAGTTAATGGTAGAAAGAGGCGAGCTCAGTAAACGAATAGGCCATCCTTTAGTATTGAACAGTAACAAAAGAAAAAGGCTATATCGGCTTACGAGAATGGCAGACAACAAATGCGTGCCTATGCGTCTGCACGGATACCTGCGAGGGTAGCTTGTCTCACTTACCTGTGTCCAGTCGGGGCATTCCTCAGGCAATCGGAAAAAACACAGAAGCAGACAGAACCGAGAGGGGTAGAGAAGGGCTCACGGATGGTGAGGGGGAAGGCAGTGGCGTGGGTACCAGAATACCAGACACTACTAGTGCTGTGAACAGGAACACGAAAGAAAAGAAGAGCGAGGAGAGGAGTAGCAGACTGTGGCAGTGTTGAGTGTCTTAGTAAGTGTAGGACTGTACTGAGTATAGTCGTGGGCTGGTATTGTTAAAATTTAAGCTGTGCTTTGTTGTCGTACAGTTTCCGCCTTTCCTGCCTGCTGTTGTATAGCGTGGCGTGTGTCGCTAAATGCATAAAAGTGGACTGCTAAGGAACGCGATTGATTGAGGAGTAGTGGTAAGAGTAACTGGCAGAGAGTACATAGATCATATATCAGAGCCGATACTAGTGAGGATGCGACGGACAAGCTAACTTCACAGAATGAGAGACGACGTGAGAAAGAAAACTATTGACGCTGGTATTACTTACTTGCTCCCAACAAGGACTGAGAAAATGTAATAGAAGAATGGCCAAATGCTCTAAGAAAATTGACAAAAAGAGCGATGGAGTCTAGGTATCGAAAAGGTATCGTGAGTGTTGGCCCTAGACAATAAGCCAGCCTTTTGCTGCTAGCTTGTTCGCATAAGTGGAGTGGCAGACGATTTGCCAATCATTGTCACCGCTGTCAAAACTCCGATAGCCAGGCACTCCTTGCACTTTCTTGGTAGTTTGCGAGTGGTCTGCAAGAGTAGAGTCTGGCTTACTTTCTGCATTCTGGTAGCCTGCTTGGGAGGCTGTGGAAGCAGAGTAGTCGGCTTGATCGATGGTATGTCGCTGGTCGGTATGTAGAAGTTGCCAATTACTAGTAGGCGCCTTAGCGGATGTAGGTGCATAAGCAGACGAAGTGGTGGTCGCGCCATGTAGTGCTGCTTGAGTACTAATATCAATTCCATCCTGGTGCTGTAGTTGGAAGCTTAGGCCTTGTGGTAGACCTTCAACTTCTGATAGTTGCTGCTGCAAAGAGGTCAGGTCCTGCACGGTGTTAATCGTGGCGCGTGAGGGTAGTGCGAGGGTGAGGGTGTTACCATCGGAAGATCGTTCCACTGTCAGCCTTCGTCGGTGATTAATTTGCGTCGGCTCCTGTTGCTGCACTTGCAGGGTGTCACCAATGTAGCGCAAGGTAGTCACGCTTAATGATGATGGACTACTTACTGTCGTGCTGTAAGTGGATTCTTGCTATGGATTGTGAGTGGGGGCCTAGGGTGCATATTGAAGCAAGATCTAATAAGATGGCTAAGATGTTGCCGCAACAATGAGGCGGGACTGCCGTGAGGGAGGCAGGCAGGGGCACAAGAATCAGAAATGTGGGAGAGAGTTACATACTACACAGCCAGGGCTGAGCGAGGGTCTTGCGACATATAACTTGACTAGTGTTAAAGTCAGCCACTAATGCTTCAAAAGGTATTGCAAAAATATTACCACATACGCAGCTGAGGCGCGCTACTTGTTTTCTGCTTAGGATATGCCCAGAACCTCGCGGGTTCATTATAGGGCTGCCATCTATCCGTCTTCTAGTATGGATTAGAGTTTGGGTATGTTCAGTTGGAAGGCGTCCTTGCAGGCTTATGACATTGATAAAGGATTCTACAAACGCACTCGCTATAGGAGTGCTATACCATATAAAGGGAGAAGCCGACTGATCAGTCGACGCAATAGCGGCCCGGCTGTCTTGAAATTGTTTAACGGAGTCAGCAGGGCTGTGAAGAAAGCTAACAGGGTACTTGCGAAGGGCGTCACTATTGCTCAGACTTCTAGTAAGGTTGAATCGCTCCACGCTGGTAACTTGGGAAGTTAAGTCAATAACGACGCTGCGATAGCCTCTAGTAAGGAGCTTAAGAGTAAGTACCTGGGAGAGAAAACCAAGTAAGGTAAGACATGGGAAAGACACTCAGGAACGGTCGTGGTTAAGGGAAATAAGGTCGCAGCAAAGAGAGTAGTCGCGTAGATAAAAAATAAGAAGAGAGGAGTAATGACACTGCGACCAAGATGAAGGATGTAGAAAAAAGAGAATCTCTAGTAAGCACTCAAATGGTAGATGATTTAGAGCATGAAAGAGGGAAGCACTATCAATTGCATAAGGCCTTGAGTTGTTAAAAACCTTGACAGGGTCTAAGTGAGTCAGTCCTATGATGAAAAATAGGGATAGCACAACGCTGCACAAATGCAACAGGTACGCTAGACATATTCATTGCGTAATAGTAAAACCTTAACAGCGGTAAGAGGGAGAAAGGGAAAAAAGAACAGACCTACTGTTAGTGAGTGGATAGTGGCTTTTATATAAGAGGAGGGGAATAAGGTATTTACGGCAAAGACAAGAAAGGAGGAAGCAGAGACATGACCTATCTTGTTGGTATACTTAAGGCCCATATATGCCGCCACTTCTTACAAGAAAAAATTAAGAGCGAGCCGAGTGAGGAGCCTAGCCGATATGTGTTCCAAGTAGATTGGGAAACGCTTTCCCCCTTAATAAAATCGGCGCTACTCCTAGCTGTTCTTCTCGCCGCCGTCGGCCCCTGACTAGCTAAAACTTGAATCCTCTGAGCAGGTGTCTGCTCGCAATGTAGCGCCATCCTCTTCTGTGCGTCAATATACTTCTTAAACCTATCAGGCATAACTTCTACCTTGGTGGCTGAATTCATGAAAATAGCAAGATCAGCAGGAGCCAACAAACTGGCCTCGCCCTCCTTCTCTACTGCTCCTAGAGGCCTCGGCGGCCTCTTCCTGGACGAAGAACAAGAACTAGAGCTCGCAGCAGAAGATGACGAGACAACTCCCCCAGAATGCACCGCAAGCAAATTTGCACTGCCAGCGGCCTCTTTCACTCCTTCAGTCGAGTTGTTCGTAAAAGCCCTCAACTTTCCGCCCTTGCCAATAGTCCACGATCTAACGCCAGCAATCTTCTGCGTGCCACCAATACTACCACTTTTCTGCGAATCTGCTTCGCGTTGATTCTTCAAAAAAGCCCCAAGCATCTTAATCGATCAATTACTGAATACTAGCTCGCGTATGAGGATAAATATGCACACCCAGCCTATTACTAATTACTGCTTCAACAATCAGAGTCCCAAACTATCTCGAAATCCTATTACTAGAGGAAAAGCAGAAAATGACTTGTACAGTGTGACAACTACAATTCGTATGCACTAACACTAAACAAAGACAAACCAACGACCCAAAAGTTTGCACGACACGAAGGGAAGACTCTGAACAAAAGTTAGCCATCACGAGCGACTACGCTCAGGGAGCACGAGGCCGACTACAAGCAAATGACTCAACTCATCACAAATGACTACGAGCCTACGCATTCTGTGCACCAGCACCGGTAGCGGCACTATTTTCCGAAGTGCTCGCAGTATTGGGAACTCGTATTCGAGCCACTTCCCGACGACTGGCTAGTACCATTAGAACGAAGAACCCCACCACAGTAGTCGAGATCTAAACTCCAGTCCTGGAGAGAACGAGCAAGACCCTTGATATCTTGAGCTTCACCACGCGAGAGCGGTAACGAGTGATCAAGTCTACAACTGGGAAGACCGCAAGTCTTACCGCGATTCTGTCCTTGACGAATCCACGCGAAACGCCTACGACTCCCTTTACCTTTACCACTACCTTTGCCACCCTGTCCACCTTGCCCGTAAGGACTCGGCTTCCCAGGCGAAGACCAGTTCTTCAAACGTGAATCCACCAGCGCCATCTTGGCATCCCATTCAGCGTTCTTGCGCTGCGTCTCCAGCCTGAATGTGAGACAAAAGCCGACCACTATGTGCGCACTACAGTCATCTCTTGAAGAAGTACCTTAATACACATATAGACGAAAACTCTCAAAACACCAACTACGACAGCATCAAACCACATCAAAGGTTAAACGCCGCTCAGTTTTCAGCTCCGGCTGCTCCTGAAACGAGCCAAACGAGTAGAAGTCGCTGATGCGATTTGCGTAGTTTCCACCAACTAAACCGCCAACGCGCACCATTTTCGTCCGATAAACATCATTCAAGGCTTCCACGAGAACGGCGCCATCGCAGTTCTTCACCGCCTTACGAGAGAAGGTCGGCATGAGTGTCAACGAGTACCAATAAATCCACTAAAACAGCTCGTGCAAAAGAAAAAAAAAAAAAATTTGAGAAAAAGAAAATGAGACCATTTACACGCACAGCTTCAAACCCCGCCAAAACTAAAATAGGCAAATACCCGAATCACATTAGTGGCGACGCGATGGGCAGCGTTGAGGGTGACGCCAGGAATGGCCGCAGGAGCGGCTTCAGCCGGCGGGTCAGCCGCCGAATCAGCTTCAACAGGCGCCACATAGCCGGCAACCAGCGCCATCATAGCAGCGCCCTGGCGAGCAACTTTCTGAAGCTTCTCGGTGTCCGTCTTGGGTCTAAATTCTCGCTCATGGAGCGACCTGAAAAGTGCCAAGACAACATCACGCCCAATGTGTCAAAGCTTAAGTTCCAAACAAACAAACCATCTACCCTGTTAAGCAAACTCTAAAACTACTCTTACAACACCACCAAGAACGACACAGGCAAATTGTTAATAAAGCAAAATAATACGTAGCCATGTCCATGCGCTCGCGCTCAGCAGCCTCGCCCTCAGTCGAACAAGCGACAAGAGAAGATCGCCCATGTCTCTGCAAACTCCACGAATAAGCCTCACCTTCGCCACATTAGGGCGATCCTGCCGCTGTTCCTGCGCAATCAGGTTCAGCGCGTTGCTCAAACCCTCCTGATTTCCGGCCATCTTTGTCTATGGTCCGTCTCTCTGATTGAACGCAAGTAGGTAAGAAGAAAGCGAATCTTGTCGCTGAACCTCACAAGTATCAAAAGAAGATCTGAAAAGATTGCACAGCACTCCTATTCTGGTGGGAAGATCTGCAATATTCAAAAGCGATGGCACTCTGCCAATATGCGGACAAATCTGGCGCCTGGAGCACAAAGACCAAAACTCGAAAGCTCACGCAGCAAGGTACGGCTTGCCGCTGTTCATCCTAACTAAAAGCCCCTCGGCTGCCGAGTTATCCAAAAACCGTTCCACTTTACTACCACAAAACTTATCCCGCCACAAAGAAAAGGCCACAGCAGCAGCGTCCCCTTCTAAAAAGTTAATCGGGTACAAGCAAGCATCTTCAAAAGTCTGCTCCTTACAATTACAAACAGGAAACTCAAACTACTGGATCAAACCTAGCGACTTCTTCGATCCGGTGACGAGCATCAAATCTATCAAACAACCAGCGAGCCAACCTTTACCACGCTGCAAACTGGCATCTGTGTAAACAATATATCTAGTAGGCAAAAACACAAGCGACCGCGGAGGCAAGGCGAAAATAAAGGAGCTCAGCGCAAACGCTAAGCGAAGCGCTCAAAACGCGACGCAAAGAAACATCTGGAACAGACGAGAACATCCTCGCTAAGATGGGACGCGTGAGAGGATGAAGCATAGCATCCTCTCGCACACTGCGCAAAAAGCGACAGACAACCTGCCGCAAATGCGCGAAGCTTGATCAGCAGCCAAAGCATTCCGCTCTAAAACTTTCTTAGCTTCAGCTGCATAAACCGCCGCGCGATCACTCGAAACAGAAGTCGCTGGCTTGCTTCGCAGCGCAAAGACAGGCCCTAATAGCAAAGCCGCGGAGTCACTAACATCAACTTTCTCTGCCTTGTACTCAAAACCCAAAACATCAAGCAAAAAACAAATCTGATCAGCTGACTTCTGCCCGAAGTTCTTGCGGGCAAACGCGTGATAGTCATCAATGAAGACTGGCGAAGGAATCTTGAAACGGCCTCTAATTATCGAATTTATCAAAAGCGCAACCCTACACCAACACACTACACTATGTGTGTTACCGAGCAACAAACTAAGCCCACGGAAAGCAACGAGTTTCGGCTTTTCTACGTCCCAAACAACTACGAAGTTCCCACGCTCTTGACCTCTCGCAATTCCTAAGGTCTTATACGCTCCTTGGATATCTATCACAAGCCCGCCAGTGTTCGTGTTGTAAGACAAAGCATCTCCCAACTCGCTATCTACCGAAAACAGCAACTCACTCAACAAAGCGAAACCATCTGCGCACTGGGAGCCACTGGAATTACGCTTACGCGACTGAAAAGAAAAACACGACGCTACTCGAGCGTCGAGCCCAGGACAAGCCTGCAGCCGTGCCGTGACTGTCGCCGCTGCCAACGCCTGCAAAGGAGAAGGCAGCGGGACTCTACGATCTAACTCCGCGCCAAAGTTGAAAGTTCTCGCGTCGTCAATCATGCGATGACGAGACTTCTGCAAAATCGCAAAACGAGGAGTAACAAACTCAACAGAAGAAGGCAGGGCAGAAAGCTCAAAAGGCCCCGCAAGAGGGCCCCCATCCCTCTCTTGCGGCGTAGTGCTCCAGATGAGCTTCAACACATCAGAATCGACGTGCTTTGGAGGCCGCTTAAAAATGCTAGAATTCACCGCACACCGTCTAGAAACCTTACTCAACAAATCATCACCAGACTTAGGTCGCCGAAATCCCCAACCATCCGGGCAAAAGACCTTACGCATACAAGAACAAGCGCCACCAAGTAAAGGGAGCTTCCACGCCGAAGCATCCTCTTTGTGAAACAAGGGATTTAATTTACGCAACAGCGCAGCGCTCTTCCATCCAATTACTCGATGGCCCTCACGATCAAAAGAATTCAAACACTCGCTCGAACGAGCCGGAGCATACGACTCAGAAAGCAGAACCTCTAACAATTCACGACCACGGTCCAGCGACTCGTTGGAAGGGAGACGCTGTAAGGAACTGTCTAAATTCTGTGGATCTATCACTTCATCAGCCCGCCGACTCAGTGCAACACTAACATCTTCACAAATTCTATCAACGAACCTAGCAGAAACGTGCCTGATCTCATTCCCAGAAAATTTGTGCGCTTTACGCGACATATCGACAAATTCCAAATGATACAACAAGACAAAGAAACAAGGCAAAACAAAATGAGGGGTCAGCGGGGTCGTCTTCCTTCTATGATTCAAGAGTTTGAAATAGATGCTCAACCTGCAGCATTCCAAAGGATCTTCGCAATTTCGTCAGTAACGCCACACATTTGCGCTGGTTTGCCTTACAGGAGAGAAACCTTCGACGCCGAACTTCCATTCACATCGATTCAAAACCAAATCAAGATAAGCCGACTTTCGCGACAGGTTTCGACGATGTCAGCAGCTTGACGGGAAAGAAAACAGCAGTACTAACCATTATGGAAACCACATTCACTCTCTTAAAGCATCCACTTGCCGTCCTATGACCGTGTTCTTCCACTCATGTCATCCATCAAAAAAAAAAAACAAAACAACAACGCAACAAAACTACCAACTAACACCTTGAGAAGAAACTAGCGCCGCCCCACAGACAATCGCACTCTGAGAGGCTCGTCGTGACAAAGAGTAAACCAGCCCGAGGAACGCCAAAGGAGGGTAGCTTCTTCCGCAAAAGAGAGCTAACGAGCCTCGCAGAGACGAACCTGTAGGGCGGCGAAGGAGTGGGCGGGTGGGAAAAGAAAAGCCTAATACTCAATCCCTGCGCCAACTCCTAGTCCGTTACGGACGAAACAACTCTACGATTCAAAATTACAAGGCCAAACTAGCCAACAGCAACTGCGTTTGAGCTTCTAAAGGGTCTTTACACTCACGGCCCGACGATGGATGGAGAAAGAACAGACAAGAGATGACAGAAGTACTCGCTTCTGCCGTCCGGTGTATAAACAGAAATTTAAGCAAGCTCAAACTCCATATTTTTTCTCCGCCGTCTGCTCCTTCTTGTCCTTGTGATGCTTTATCAACGAAGCTCGCTGGCCTCTCACTACTATCACCGCCGACGGCGATCACGTCGCCATCTTGATCTATCTCAAGTGCGTGGCGCTGGCGCTGCATCGCCACGCCCACTTCAGAGAGAACGGACAAGGCAGCAACCTTCCTCATCTTCTGCTTTCGTGTCTCTTACTCTTTAGACGCAAAAATCCTAGTATTCTTGGTCGGCAACTAAAGTTAGTAACTAAGCAAGTTGTATAACGCAAATTACTGCTGAGTCGCCTGTCACCATAACCCCTTCAAGGCTTTCACTCGTCTTCCCAATTTGCTCGCTTTTCCAAATTTTTCAACGTCCTGATTTGCCGTCGTAAAGAAGCCTGGCGCATTTTTTGCATGTAATTCCCACGGCTCTCGCCCTCACTCTCCTTTCCTACTCCGCTACGGCTTGGAGGTGTTTATTGCTGGGCTATTGGTACACTCAATCTGCTCACGAAGACCTAGGGCACACGGATTCATACCCCCACATTTGGATTTGGATTTGGAGACTTCTCTATTTTTGTTTTTGTAATGCCAGGGAGGTTGAAAGAATCTCCTGACCTTTATCCAGTTCGCAAACCGGCAGCAGGTGCAGGCGGGGCAAGTTAGCCCCTCTAATATCAAACTATCACTACGAACCCGCCGATTTTAAAATGATCAAGAAACTAGGAGGTTGAGGGAATGACTACGCCACAATTCCCAGCGATATGCCGATCGCCTCACTCATAGCGCAGACACTCAGGTCGGGGCGAACAGGGTGCCACCTGCCACTTCTACCGACATCGACGCGCTCAACAACCGGCGAAAAAGAACTAGCTGATAGTCAATATTTTGGTGTAGGGCCCTCTATAAAAACACGCTGCTTAGTCACGTCAGTAAATCGCCACTACGCTAGTTTTCCTAAATCTCTTCAAGCCAAGTCTCCCCTTCGTCACTTGTCATGCATCCTTTCCGCGTCCCACCCAGACGGCCGCAGAGGCTTCCAGTGCTGCAGAAAGCTCCATCCGTCGCACGATCCCAATCCACGTCTGCTTGCACGAAAAAGACCGGAGAATACAAAACCGGAGAAACCGGAATACAGCACTGAAAAGCACAACAGGGAGACCTGTTCAGGGCGCACAGAAAAAAGCGCCGATAAGTTGCGGCAAAAAACCATGCAGGGTAGGTCTGGTGAAATGTGCTGTTTTGTTGCAGTACCAACGCCAGACCGATGCAGAAAAAAAGGCGTCCATCTCAAACCCTCCGAGGTGAACAAAAGACAGGGTCGAGCACTGATCAACTCGTCATTTGAAGCACTCCCAGCCATCAGATGCAAGGAGCAACTACAAATGCTCTCAGGAACACATTTCTGGCCACCAGATGGGGCGCATTGCAGTTTCTATAAATCCACTGGGGCACTCCGTATACTGGGACTACTGAAAGACCGGCCCCATCTTCATCCAGTTCGCAAACCGGCGGCGGGCGGAGCCTGGTGTTCCTCTATCACTCGATACTCCACGAGCCCGCCGATTTCAAAATGATCAAAAAGCTAGGAGGTTGAGGGAATGACTACGCCACAACGCCCAGCGATTTCCCGATCACCTCACTCATAACGCAGACACACAGGTCGGAGCGAGCAGGGTGCCACCTACTTCTTCGTCCTACATCGACGCGCCCCACAATTGGCGAAAAGGAGCTAGCTGATGGATAATAGCCAACATTTATTTGGTGACGTGAGGCCTTCTGTAAACACATTCTGTTTCGTCACATCAGTAAAGCGACACTACGCTAGTTCCCTTAGCTCTTCAAGCGCAGCCTCCTCTTCGTCACTTGTCACGCATCCTCTCCGCGTCCCACACAGACGGCTGCAGAGGCTTCCATTGCTGCAGAAGGCTCCATCCATCGCACGACTCCGATCGACATCTATTCGCACGCAAAAGACCAGAAAATACACCGAGGAGATTGAAAGAATCTCCTGGCCACCACATGGGGCGCAGTGCGTTTCACAAGCGACAGAGACAGAACAACATTGACCGTTTTTCTTCAGTAATGGGGTTTAGTGATTCCTCCTTATGGCAAGAGAAAAGACCTTGACTTTCCGTCGACAACAGATGAAGCAAAATAAAATGTTGTAGGCGTCCTGAGTAGATGCGTGCCACAACTTGCGAGAAACGCGATAATGCTTTTCGTCAAGGGTTCATTTAAGTACACTCGATGCGCTAATCGCAATATGCGTGCTGTAGTAAGAGCTTGAGAGAGACACTAAAAGTAGCATGTTCTGTTTTTTCTCTATTAGTTGGATCCTCTTGTTGCTTTGTGCTTGGATCTTGATCTTCTAGTTGCTTGCTGCTCCTCGCAACAAATAGACAGATGAAGATACGAGCCCAGTCGTGTCAAAGACAACTACTCCGCCTCCGCTAGGTGCTCCGCGCACCAGGTTGCCGTTGCTTGGTGTTGCTCATCAAGCATCAGGCTGTTTGTTTTTCAGTGGTATTTAGAATATATTATCATGAAGATAGTCTGGAATTATAGACATGCTCCATCCGAGCGAACTTGCATGCTTCTCCATGCAGTCAAGTAGGAAACTGGCTCGGCTCCCGTGGTGGGTGATGTGTTTCAAGATGGTGACAGGACTAAGATCATGCACAAGGAGACTCTTCTGGGATTAAGCTGCCAACGTTGTTAGCTTATGCACGCAACGATCCAAGAAAGTGAAGAGACTGAGCGAGTTGATTCCCATGCGCGACCCGGTGGTTCCTTCTTTTCCCTTCCTTCCTTCCTCTCTTTCCCTCTCCTGGTTACGCTTACGGCAAGGACGATCCGCTTGCTTCCGAACGCCACGGAGAAGCATATGAAGCACATGCCCAGAAAGCGGGCCCATCAAGCAGGGCCCGCTGCGCTGGGCATAGGTTAACAACTAAGCAGATTGACGACTAAGAGACAGAAAGACAAACGAAAAAAGTCGCCAAGCCTGCCCGCCAAGGCTGGGAAGCTGGCTCCCACTGTGGCGAGGCTAGTGAGGAGGCCACCGCTATGGCTACTGCCTTGGCCAACTTGCTTGCTAAGAGCAAGCCAATGGGCGCCAAGGCTGGCCCGCTGAGCGTCATGGAGTCCATGAGGAGGCCACGCTTGGACATATGTAGGCACAGAGGTTGGGCCCTTTTGAGTGTGACCATGTCCAAGAGAATCCTAAGGCATAGCATACCCATGGCAAAAGGCTGGCACTGACGAGCGTCATGGATGAGGCCCATGAGAAAGCCACGCCTGGGCATATCTATGCGCAAAGCCAGAAGCTGGGCCCCAACCTTCAGGCGCGGAGATGTGTCTATAAGCTTGGCTGTTTCATGGACATGATGCAAGACGCCCACCACGGTCCGCGCCTCAGACATGCAATGGCCCACAGTTATCATTCTCACCCGCAAGCATCGACGTCCTCAGCCTTCAGCCTTCACCGACGGAGATGCATGCGCCTGGCCTTCTCATGGACATGATGACGCCCACCAGGGTCCACCCTTATCTACTTCCCCACAGGCATCGACATCCTCCACGGCTTCGACTTTCACGCGCGAAGCTGTGTACCTTTGGCCCTCTCATAGATATGACGACGCCCACCAGGGTCCACCCTTCAGACACGCAAGTGCTCACGGCTATCATTCTCACAGACATCGACACCCTCAACAGCTTCGACTTTCAAGCGCCGAGGTGTATCTAGCTGGCTTTCTCATGAGTATGATCGACGATGCTCACCAAGGTCCACCCTTCAGGCCTGCAAGTGCTCACGGCTATCAGTCTCACAGACATCGACATCCGCAACGGCTTCGACACTCAAGCACGAAGGTGCATACTCTTGGCCTTCTCATGGATGTGGTGACGCTCACCAGGGTCCACCCTTCAGACATGCAAGCGCTCACGGCTAACATTCTCACAAACATCGACATCCTAAACAGCTTCGACTTTCAAGCGCAGCGATGTACATCTTTGGCCTTCTCATGAGTGTGATGATGCTCACCACCACCAGGGTCCACCCTTCAAACATGCAAGAGCTCACGGCGATCACTCTCACAGACATCGACATCTTCAACGGCTTCGACTTTCAAGCGCAGAGATGTATATCTTTGGCCTTCTCATGGATGTGATGACGCTCACCAAAGTCCACCCTTCAGACACGCAAGTGCTCACGGCTATCATTCTCACAGCCATCGACATCCTCAACGG